ATTTCATTCAAAATTTCGCTGTATAACTTTTTAATTATATAGAATATACCATTGCCACGGGACATGTGAAATGGGAGGCAGACAACTCGACTACACACGGACAACTCACCAGAGACAACTCGACTACAGATAGGCCTGGTGAGTTGTCCGTGTAGTCGAGTTGTCCATCAGCCCGAAACGGCTATGACAGTCACTGTACCGTAATTTGTACCCCGATTTAGGTGTTGTTAAGTTGACGCATGTTATTTAGTAACGTTTTTCTGTAAAAATTTTTGACTGTGCTTCATTACCTAATCTGGTAATACGGTACATAATTGACTCATATCACGAGATATTTCAATTTATGTTTCAATATAATCAAGAAGAATGTATCATTGTCACAGGACCTAAAATATCAACGACAGTCCCTGTATCGTCACGATACAGGTACTGGTATGTCACCGCATATGATTTTTTGGGAATTGGTCTGCGTGTCCATATATTTGAGCATTGCTGGTATTGGTGCTGGCTTGCATTCTTGGTATTTGACACGTTTTTAAAAAAAATGCTTTTCTTTTCGAATACTGGACCAATGAACCTTTCCCCGACTTTTGACCCCCGAACAATTCTTCCTATACTATACCATTGAAATTTTCGGAGCTATTTTAGGAGTGCTTTTGCGAGTTTGCGCCTGTAAAATGGGGTATGTTTGCAAACCCTCATTATGATTCATCGCATACAACAATCTGTTTTTTAAAAGTACCGGTAAAGAATTTTAGCCTAGTCTATCACAGCTATTTCTACACTAATTTTTTGATACTGCAATTAAATTAAAACTCCTAGGAAGACAAAGTGATCATTGAATTATCTGATTTATATTTGAGTTTACGAAACCAAACTGAAAACTAACGAATAGAGTTCTAAAACACAAAAACGAGGTAATGTTCACAACCACGCTTGAAAATCTGTCTGAGCGGATGCGGAAATGGAGCATTGTTACGTCACTTTTTGAATCTTGCTGATTGGCCAACGTCACGAAGTAAACAAGGATGTCGATGATCGGGGAAAGGTCCATTAGTTTCATCCACTTCAAACGTGTCCATATATTTGAGCATAGCTCTCTTGTTTCACTATATATTTCAAATGGTATAAATAGGGTATTCATAAAGTCTTAAAATATTTTAAAGTTGCAAAAAAAATTTATCGATACCGTATATTGTTTTGGCCATCACAGATGTATTGAATGAAGTAAAAATACCTAAAGCAATTACTGATTAAAAAACAACAAAACTGGATAAGGTATATTGAGAGCTGACTTCATAACAAAATTGAAATTGTAAAGCGACTTTATGGACACTATGTATGCCAAAATTTAGTGCAAGCATAATATATACGTAAAATTGGATAGAAAATTAATTCGATGTATAGTAAAAACTTTTCAACTAAGTAAAAGGTTCCTCAAACATCTATCAAACAATGAGTTGAAGGCGAATTGAAAAATGAGGTCAACGAAAATGTTTATGTTATTAAAGTTCTTTGGATACCATATAAGTATTAATATATATAGGAAAAAATAACCATTTTCTCCAAGTTCTCTTCAAGTTTTTCTGACTGCTTATCAGATTTCAGTCTTAAAGTATTTCTAAATGGTAAACTTTACCTTATTTCTGAATATTGATTTGAAAAACGACTAAATTTTGATTTGGCTTTTTTAATTTTTCTATAATGTAATCGATGTACAATCTTCAAACATGTATTTAGGGAGGATTGTAAGCAATGATGCGGATGGATGTTTTGCAAGTACTTATCATGCTCGGAGGCATGCTTTCTACTGCACTACTGCTTGGTGAATTCAGACATATATGGGATGCCGCAGCCGCATTGATTATGGCCCATATGCATTGCGCTTGTCGACAAAGGGACAGATACCACAGAAAACAAATCCTTGAATTTATGTATAATTGATGTAACACATGAATGATGGTATTATGTCCATGTGGATGGACATGTGGATTTCTAGTTTCAGTAACCTTCGGGCATGTTGCGCCGTTTTTAACTGGTCAGTGAATGTTTTGCTATAGCTATTTTATTACGATCGTGAGTTTTGTTTGAGTTTTTTATAAAAGTTATCTTTTGGGTACACGAATAATCTTAAGATATTCACTGTTGCACCTACGCTAAGACTGTTTCATTTCACACTGCTCACTTTTCCTGCAAGACTCTACCACAAGCAAAAAATAAATAAAAAATAAAATACCTCAAATGTTGTTGATTTCAAGCAATGAAGAACAGAATAAAGTAAATAATATTGTTGCATTGAGTAAGTGGTATCAGTGTTAATTAAGTTTCTACTTGTTTTCTCGTGAAATGTTGATTTTTTTATTATTTCGAATTAATGATTTCTCCATGACATCATGGTATTAATATTTTCACTTTCATTTTTTTTTAGGATTCAACAAAATATCATAGGCTAATCCAGAATTATTCGTCCCATTCATAAACTTTAAACTCTTTCGTTGCGGCATTTCTGAAACTAGACAAGTAAACGGAGCCAAAATGGAAAGAGGCGAGGAGCTTTCGGTGCATCAATACGAGATACTTCACGAATGAAACTAATTATGATATCTCAAACTCTAACGATGCAAAATACGAAGAAACAAGTTTTTAACCAAGCATCCTGAAATATTTAGTAATTTTGTACAAAGCATACTTTCATTTTATTCCGCTATATTGATTCACATTTCTTATTCCAGATCATAAGAAGCGTGTAAATCATCCATATTGACATACTACGCCATAGCCATACGCTAAATCATATATATATATTATTATAATATAATAATATTTCTAATATTTCGAAATTTATTGAGTAAATAAGTAAACATGAAAAGCAGAACACCTCATTAATTTTTATTCAATCACACATACTTTCACTCTCTGGACAAGTCAAGATCTTTTTGGTATAAATGTGATAAATTAACAATCAAGTTTAAAATAGGGATATTTTGTATTGAAAGTAGTTAACCATGGTAATGTGGCTTAGGCTATAGAGGTCCATTATGCCCCCCGAGACATGCTTCTGCAGTTTCCAAATTTTGTAAACCAAATGAACACATACGAGATAGTTTTGTATGATTAGTCCCGGTGTTCGCCATCTTGGTTCACACACTACATGAGTACTAAATATACAAGCAAAAGACAATACACAAAATGAAAATAAATGGATTGAATAAAACAAAAATATTAATATGTATTATGTGCTAAAATGTCAAAATAAGGGAAGAAGAAATGAGAGTAAAGGGAACAAGAGGAGAATATTAAAAATCGGAATGTATAGTTTAGAAACAAATGCGCGTAATATTATTTGGAAATTTGATATTGATGGCAGAAACAAATGTTTCAATCCAATCATTATACTTCGTCACACTAAATTTCGGACTGTTGCAATTTATGGCCCTTTTGGTCTATATCTTATGTTAGGTTTGGAATGGAACTTTTTCAAAAAGAAAGAAATGCAGTTTGCCTAGTTTGTTTAGTTATGCTCATATATGATCAATATATTAACGGGCTTATTGAAGTAACGTGTAATTAACGAAACTACAAACTATATATTAAATGTCCTCGCTGCGTTGAATTCCTACTCAAGACCTTGATCTCTATCCTTACAGAATAAAAACATATTCACAAAACGTGTTGAGATGTGCCACTGGTTTCAAAACACAATTGAAGATGACGCGGATTTCCTCAGTCGTGTATATTTATTATCTCGGTACGTAAACAGCAAAGATAATGTGTTCTAGAATCTAGACCACACAAGCACCAGAAGAGGTCCCCCAGAGACCACTATACTCTCTCGGCAGAAACACAGCAGGAAATAAATCATGAGAAGTGGTTCCAACAAGATTGAGCTATTCCACATACAGCCAATATCACATTAGAGTGGCTTCACCAGCAACAAATCTCTGTTCGTTTGATTAGCAGGAGGCGAATGGTCGCCACATTCACCTGACTTAAGTCGTTCAGATTTCTACCCATGGGGCTTGTTAAAAGAGTTTATCAGAATAATCATAAAACTACTGATGAATTGAAATCAGCCATTACGCAGAACATTTGTGCAAGGAAAAGAGAAGAATGTGCCAAAGTGATTGATAACTCTGTCCGACAGCTTTAAAAATGTCTGGGACGAATGGTGGTTATTTTGAGGATGAATTATGTCAAACGAGCTACGCTTAGTATATTGTCAATGTTTTGGTCAACATATGTCTGCGAATCTGTGTTTTCATCTGGGAATATTATAAATTAAGAGATGCTACAACAGCCACTTCCGCTTCTTCTACCTTAACACTGTATAGATTATTGCGCGAATCCCACTTGCTTATTAATTAAATCGATTTTTACTTTTACTAATTTTTCCTATGATGTGATTTTTTTTATGTGGGTATCGATGATATATGGGTAAAATGGCGCCACATTTTAATAATCTATCATGATTTACGTTTTAACCTTAACTTTTCCCTTTTTATATAACGCCGATGGTCACCCTCTCGCCTAGATTTCAAGTTCCCGCATCCCTCGCAGAAAGTACCGCTTTCTATTCAACAAAATACGAGAAATTACTTTTAGTATTTATTGCACCCGACGCCTTCATTCATCATCAAGTACATGCATTTAAAACAAACTCGCTGAATAATCCCGTATCCAACGTGAACTAGTCACCGGAAGGGAGGCCGTGGTACGTGGTATGATTGGGCCGTCTCATTGACTTTCCCCTTCCCGGGATAAATATGAAAATTCAAACCAATGCCCGATCATATCAAATGGGTAATGAAAGTAATTTTTGTGTGAACTTACTTATTGAGTGTCTGCGTCAGATTTTTTTACAACAAGAAAAAAAAATCGTCAGCCTCACCATTAATTGAGTGTACATCAGCCCTAATTCTATGATTAATAATAAATTCTATATACGATACCCGTACTTTCTGCTATGTGAGATTATCTACCTATATATCTGTACATAAACATTTTACCTATTATCATCATATTTATTTTTTGAATAATAATTATCAACCACAAATGTTTATTTTACAAATAGATTTTTGTCTCGATATTACAGGTAATATATGCGGAAAATGGTTTGTTGGCTTTTTTGTTTTTGTCGCCAAAGAAAGAAAAAACACATTGAAATTTTGTCTTTCTTTTTGAGTCTTCAATTTCATTTTTCCTGCTGATCTGAAAAGACATAGATTTATATTTTGATTTAAAATTATTTTTGATTCCACGACTTAGGAAATATATATATCAAAGATTTTCAAATTATCTGCATAACCATAAGTTTTTTACCTGAGTTTGTAGTGAATTTATTCGACGCGTAGGAATGCCTTAATACTTACCAAAATTTTCCTCAGTGATAGAATCCAAAATGTCTGGTAAAAATAAAGAACCCCTTTTATTAAAGTTATGATGGAACATTACTTGTATTGTAAGTCAAGTATGTGTCTAGTGCTTGATTTTTGATATTTTAAGAGGTTACAAATAAGTTAAAATCGCAATGCCCATTTTTCGTATTATTCTTTGAATAATTTATTCTTCAAAATTTCATCTCCCCAATAGGGTAACATTGGCACGCGTGTACTTTACTTGATATGATTTTACTTAAAAGTAATTGATAAAACCTTGAGTTAAAAGTTGGGCGTGATTTTATAAATGCAAAAAATGAAACATAATCTTATATATTATTTAAGCTAAGAGGTCAGGCCAGACGTCGCATACAACATCTGCGTTATTTTATACTATATAAAACATTTTCCTACCTTCCCGATATCGTTTTCCGCTATTACTAGTTCTCTGCCTTCTTCTTTTGTCTGTCGCCGAAACAAAAGATGTCAAAAGCCAAAGCAATAAAACGAGTTTGAATAATCTTCTGAACAACATTGTTGAATACAATTTTATAAACTGAAAACTATGCAAAAAATATGTCAGGTAAATCGCTCCAATAGTTGAGATTATGCTAGTTTCTATGAATTGCCAAACTTAGTTATGTGTCGCAGACCTATCCGTGTCTCTACCGCACGCTTTACTCGTTGTTATTTACAACTACACCCTGGAAATGAGCCGCATTTACATTTCCTGAAAAGTTATATTTGAAGCATGCACTGTCAAATAAGATACCTAACAAATTTTTTGTTTGTGGTATATATCTTCAAACATCCATTTTTTCTTCAAGTTCTCTCCTTTTGACACGGACAACATAAAAACTGATCACGGTCAACCGTGTTTCTGATTCGCTGCAGAGTAGATGATTTTAAAAGCTCAATATAATTAATCTGAGGGACCCCATAAATTAGAATCTCGTATGCTTAAGAGAAGTGTTCTTTTGAAACTTTTCGTATATTCATATCTGCAGAGCATAGAGCGATTTTGTTTTTTTTCAAAAATACCTGCAAGATTGAGCTCATGCCTGTAGACCAGGGCTGCTCAACTATTTTTACCGAAGATCCGCATAAAAAACTTCAAAAATATTTGGGTCCGGTCTTGCCAGAAATTATATTTCGGCATTCTTAAACGTGCACTTCCTCGGCCGGCTAATGATTATTAGAAAATAAAGATTGTTTATTATAGTGGTATAGTTCTTTTCATATATATTCAAAACTATGAAAGTCATTTTATAAAAGAAAACTTCAAAAGTGGGGCTAATGATTCAAAATAAAGAATTAGGTGCGGTCCGAATCAAATACTGGAAAGGTCCGAATTCGGACCGCGGTCCGCCAGTTGAGTAGCCCTGCTGTAGACTGTATTCTGTATATGTTATAGCCACACTTTTCTTCATGGTATCATCAAGTGGGGTGTATGTAAATTCAACCAAATTTCAACAAGAGAGCTATGCTCAAATATGTGGACACGTAGCGCCACCCAGTGGCAATAATTTTGATGACGTTTAGCGAGATAAAAAAAGTAATAGCCTTCTGGAGAAAAATTTTATCTTTAACCACTGAAAATATCAAAGCAATTGGTCCAGTATTCGAAGAGGAAAGCGATTTTTCAAAAATGGAGACGGAGACAAATAACAATAACAATAACAACAAAATTTTGAAACGATCGTTATGGCCACTAAACGTGTCCAATAAGCAGCCAAGGCCATATGTATATGAACCCAGCCACCCAATGTAATATGCATATACAGACAACTGAATATATATATATATATCCAACCATTTACGACAGGTGATGCACATATACAGCCAATGGTATATAGTATGAATACAGCCAGTGCCATATGCATATACGGCCAGTGTCATATGCATATACAGCCAGTATCATAAGCGTATACAGCCAACTAATGTCATTATCATGTATGAACATGCCTGTATAAACATTGCCTGTATGCAGGCATTATCTGTAAAGTGCTGTGGAAAGTATCAAAATTCACCAGAAAAGTATTAGTGTAAAATATACAAACTTCGGGTTTCAATAAAATGTTTAGAGGGGAAAGTCAAATCAATCCTTTCAACATTACAAATGATTTTAATAGACTTGACGATTTGAACTGATTTTTATATATTTTGCTTGTATATAAGCATTTCCCTTATAATCATGCAATCAAAGTCGTTCTTGTTCACCAGTTCTCCCAAACTATTCCGATTAAAGAGCAATTTAAAACGCTGGAAAAATATTTTATATTTATTTCAACTATTGTCTTGAGTATTTGCAAAAAATACTTTCGACTCTCTGTTCAGAGACTGCTTACTCCGGAAACTATGACTTCGGCCGCTGAGTAGAGTTTGGTTCGTACCACAATACAAGCAAACTGTGTCAACTCGTAATTAAAATGTTCTGCCTGCTTGTCACGCACCTACCTGGAACACAGAGATAATCCAGATCAATCTAGTGTGTAATATTATCAATCAAAGCTTAAACCCTTTTACCGTATGGCGTTTAAGATTCTGACGGAAATTTCGTTTGTTTAATTAATTATCGCCCTGAAGTTGAATGATCTAGTCCTATGCCCCCCAACACTGTGTGTCGTGAACATACAGTTTTCGATTAGGTCGAAAAATTGTGGCATTATCATTACGTAACAATTATGAAACAATGTAACAATTAGAATTATGCATTGTGCCTCGTTCATAATTTCAGTACGCACCTAACATGTTGGAAACAACTAGGCATATTAGTAATTTGTTGAATGCTTGTAGACAGTAGCAAAGACGACGGTGTATGTAATTGACAATCCTATGTCCAATGAGTTGCATTTCAAATACTAGCTAAACAGGTTTAATATACTTTATTTTAACTTTGTTTGATTTTTGTAAGCCACAATGGATAATTAAAAAAAGGTAAGCAGTAAAAGAAGAAAAGAAAGCTTGAAAAGTTGAAGTGAGAAAATATAACACTGATTGCATCAAATGTACTTTCATCAAGGCAGGAAATGACTTCGAGACAAAAGCACAATGTTCTGAGTGTTAATGCTACGTTACATGTGCGCTTGTCTCCTATCAATGTTCGACTTGATCTGATAATATGCAAGCTCAAGTTTAGCATTAGTAGTAAATTTCATGGGTATACTTTGTTTCTTTTCTCATATATATCTTCTAAACATCTTACTGTGAGTCGCACAGAAAAATTCAATAAGTGGGCCTCGAAATGAAAAAGGTTGAGAAGCACCGATCTAGGCTACGTTTTTGATGTTTTTCTTTTAATTATCTGACCCACTTTACAACTGTCACATTTCCCGTTGTTTTTCTCTTGAACTTATTTATAATGTAATACCAAGTCTTTCATATATATATACTTTTTTGCTATTGACTTTTTAAAGAAACTAGCCTATTTTTTACAATATGACAGCAGTAACTGAATACGTTATTATTTTGAAAAATTTTAGAATCAGTCTCGGTACTGACACCTTCCAGTGTTCCAGTGTTATTTCGTCACCCTTCCTCCCTTTGTTGTCATGTCGCGGCGTGGTCGATATTGATTCTATATTTATTGCGGCGCCGAAAAGTCAGAAAATGCGTAACTTAACTTTGAATATATCCTGCCCATTGCTTGATATGTTTGTATAATTCATGTTGTTAGGAAAATGAAAAACATTATTAATTATTATGTTTGGAAGATTAATCTAATCATTTAACGAGAAGTTGTTTGATTTTACTTCTCTTTCATGTTTCATCCATTCTAGCCCAAAAGTATGACGTTGACATGCAGTTGAATTATTCAGCGTAGTATCTACTTGCCTTGGGGAAGGATTTTTTTTTAGGCAGGCGATAATTAAAGTTGGTTCCCAAATCAGTGGAATAATGTATACCTAAAATGGCAAAACTTGAAAAAATAAATAACATTCCGTTTTATTGACTGTAACGATATCGCAGCAATGTGTGAGTTTGTCGATATAGCTGTTATCCAATTCTTCGTCGAATTTTTTGATAACGTGGTTCAGCATAATCAACCAGATATCACTTTTCAGATCTGACTCGAAAACACCGTTATTGACTAATGATAACAAGTTAAATTAACAATTTTAATAATACAATTATTAAATGCAACATTATAGACACATATTAAACGACGCATTTGATTTTTTATTTGTCATCAAGCATACGGTATTATCACCAAATAGGTCCATGATTTGAAAATACTTTGCTGGGATTTTCTTTCTATTTGCGAAAAGCTTCGTCTACGCCAATCACTTTTTCCCACATGGCTAAGTTGGGCCAATCAGAAAACCTCCCATACTCCCTTCAAGTGGCCCGATAGTTTACTGTGCATTTTTAGTACCTAAATATTTATATGCACCAACACGCGCGTCGATTAAGCGTTATGGGGTTACATCCTCTGCACTGACTCGGCACAATCATTTCCAAAATCTATATTTTTTCACATCTCAGATTAATAACATTAAAATGTAGTTGATCAATAATTTTCAAAGCCATCTACAGTTTTATTTGAATTTGTTATATATATGATCTACGTGGATTCTCTCAGTACACCAACATATATATATGTATACTAAATATTCGCATCAGGCTGGGATGTTTGCTAGGAAACAACTTTCACACTTGAAATTTTGATGTTTCTCAGTAATCGATTTGTCTATCTCCGCATATGAAATTGAGATATAAGCTTGAGCTTAAGCGAAATTACTGAGTATTCATAGTAAAAAATGTTGCCGGACTAAGAGTTAAGTATTGAACATTTATAAAAGTGTAAATTTTTTGAAACTTTTAAAATTAAAACCTCAAAATCTAAGCATGAATATATTACTTATTTTTTGGTTTGGAGAATCCGCTTATTTAATTTTATTTCTGCTACTTTTGGAACATCACGGTGTTTCAGGTTACGAAACGCGATTGCTTTAAATTTGTCTCACGTTATACGTAAAAGATACAAACAATTGGCAGTCATCAGAAAACCAATAATCTTGCTATAAATGCAATGATATTATAAATAATATACCATGGGGGAAAGTTTAATAATTTGTGAATTATATATAAATGTTCTTCATATATCACCAGAAGTGAAATATGTATATTGCACTATATGTTATGGCTATTTAGCTGTGTTTAAATGTTTGGGAAACCGAAATGTTGCCTTTATCAGAATAACTGATGAATTTAAATTTCAACGTCATCCTCATTTTTTCATGATTTGCATCAATAGTTGTTATTACACAAAATATTAATGTAGTTTATCAAGATATTAGTCATCTCTTTGTTTAAATGTCAAATGTGTATTGTGGTTTTTTAAGATTTTATCTTGAGCAGAGCTGAGATGTAATTAAATATTTTTACCCGGATTATACTCAAATTAATTTATAAATTTCCACTGCGCATCACCTGGTTACAATGAAGTGCGCTTGAGGTTTTCACATGAATTTGACGACATTCCAAGAAACACAAATCAAAGACTTGTTTCAGTTTTTTCCCTCAGTTCAACCTTTATCATGACAGTACTGGTATTTTGCAATGTAAACTATAAATAATCACACAAATTTTAAATTCATCTAATTTACACGTTCTCACGCACTGAGGCAAAAGTTTGTATATAAGAATAAAATATTTGATTTTTATCTGTAGTTCAACTTGATATTTGCAGTTCATAAGGAACATATTTATATTCCCGTCATAAGTACCATGGTCGTCTGTGTTGTAAAGTTCATTACTTGTAGATATTATAAACAGCATTTGTTTTGCCGCGGTCCGAACATTAAATAACATGTCCCACACCATGAATTACAGTTTTATTTGTGAAACATAACGAACGTGAACAATGAATATCGCTTTCAGGCAATAATAAGTTATAGAAAGCATAGAACTTTATTTCTCGGAGAATATCATTTCCAGACATTAAAATGCAGTTGATCAGTAAGTTGATCTAAGCCAGTGGTTCCCAAATTTTTTTTCGCGACCCCAATTTTCATAAAATCAAAACCTACAGAAACTCGCGACCGCACAACTAGAAACTTTCAGCAACTTCGAAAGTCAGTATATCAGTTTAATTATCTTCATCATATCGACTGCAAGTGGACGTTGACGGTGACGGTGAATATTGGCCTAAAAAAATATACGAACAAGTCCGACAATGCGCCGGAAAAACCTGAGAAGATTTGAAGACACATGGCATCGTATGTAAACCATGGTGTAAAAATCTCTTAGACCAGAATTATAATGAATCTTTGGCCAAACCTAGACGGACTTGATAAAATGTGGTAGATTGTAAGGAAGCGTACGATACTTCGAACATAGCAAGATCGCTTCTAAATATGCATAAATTTAAAATCCTATTTAGTATTCAGGGATAAATTCGTTATTTCTGGTAAAATTCATCAAAAAGACTGGAAATTGCTAATTTCGAATATCTCCGAATTCATGAATTGGATTGATATAGGGCCCGTTGTAATTAGACAAACAGATGACAACCAAAAATATAATTGGATCGATGACATATGGTAAGTAGTATTCCAAACCCGAATCGATAACCCTAATGGAATCGATATCACCATACGCACATACGCATAAATAAGGTTTTAATTGGATATTTGGAAGGGGAGAGGTATTAAGAGGTCTTGTATTAGGAGTCAAGTCGTATCAGTGTCGTTTCGTCATGTCTTCATCGTTTGTTCTTCTTGTATATTTACAACATGAAACTACATCAACAACGTTCAACAACATGTTCTTATAACCTACATGTTCTTTATTGGCTAAAAGTATATTTCAACAGTGTCTTTATTATTTTTAGTTCGATGTTAACATATTACAGATTGCTCCATTATTAATTCGAAAGTAAAACAGAGCATGAAAGTAAAATAGGAAAAATCGTGTACGGAATCACATCTTTTAAAATGTGCCTTGTATTATGCCTGAACTTGTTGTGGTTTTGTGTTTGACTGCTCGAAATGCTCCGAAATTACGTCTAACTACGTAATATTGCAATATGAAAATGTTCACTTTTATGTGGAGACCATGTGGACAAAACACGTAGACTACTCGTAGAATTTAGACACTTGCGCGAATTAAAACCTGATCGAAACCTAAAGTGTAATTACTCGGCCAAGACACCGCCTGGCAAACATTATACCATACTTGTCAATAAAAGGGCGTAGCCAGGGGGGTGGTTTTGGTGGTCGGGAATTAACAAACCAACATAATTTATAGCAGCCTGGCAAAATCCGATTTGTGGGTCAGCTACTCATTTGGATGTAACATGATCAAAAAACTATTGGAAGGAAAATATTATTGGAGCGCGTAACACTGTCACTCAATTACATTTACTAATACCGGTACCTGTCGAGCAGCTGGAAAGGTTAAGGTTTGGCGTATTTTGGATAATAAATGATCGAGTTATTGCTGAAAAATCCGAAGTTATCACTTTTACGGAACCCGCCGATCAAAACAAATTTCACTTTCAAATCCTGGTAACTTGTGTGTGCATTTTTGACAGAAATTAGGCGACCCCGGAAAATCTTTGCGCGACCCCATCCGGGGTTGCGACCCACAGTTTGGGAACCACCGATCTAAGCCATCTGTAGTTTTATTCCATCTGTAGTATGTATTTGTGATGATCTACGTTAACTCCCTTAGTGTACCAAAAGATATGTATATAAAATATCCGCAACAGGCTGGGATGGTTGCTAGAAAACAATTTTCACAAATAAAATGTTCAAGTTTTTCAATAATCGAATTGTCTATCTTTGCATATTAACTTGGAAATAAGATCTTTAACTCAGTAACGACACCACCGAAAGGCTATTTTGAATGAATTATGTCGTATAATTAGCGAGTTATCAATTAATTAGTGATGGGACACATGTGTCACTATGGAGTAAGAGCGCTGATTTGGCGATCCCCCAACTTTCGATCGATAAGTCTTCGGTCTCTGACCGATATTCTCGTTTATTTTATTGGACACGAAATGTGTCATGCATTCATCATATGTCGGACCAGAAGCCTATTGATTTTGGATGAATTATGTCGTATAATTAGCGAGTTATTAATTAATTAGTGATGGGACACAGGTGTCACTGTGGAGTAAGAGCGCTGTTTTGGGGATCCCCTAACTTTCGATCGATAAGTCTTCGGTCTCTGACCGATATTCTCGTTTATTTTATTGGACACGAAATGTGCATGTGGATCGTTTTGTTATAATGTTGTTTTTAGAATTCACTTCCTCATTCTTAACGTATGGAAAAATCACTTTTCTCATTAAAAACTGGACCTCTTGCTTCAAAATTCTCAGTGGTTCGGGATTGTATTTTTCGCTAGAAAGCTATTACTTTCATTTTTTATCAAAAAATTTTGTGCGCTATATGGGATTCGTTATTCGTATGCGATGACTTCATCAAAATTAAAAATTGTGCACTTTGTGGCAGTTTTGCGTTTGCGTTAGTGAGATGGTACAACACTTGCTTTTTGGATATGACGTCACGTACTATTGCACGTTTTCACCCACGTTCATTTTGACTAGGAATCATATATATAAGCCTACCTTTTTTCGACAAAATTAAATGCAACTGAAAATACTCTCTCTTTTATACAGCAAGCGAAATTACTGAATATTCGCAAAAAAATGTTGCCAAAATAAGTATTGAATATATCCATAATATATACACATAATATATCATGGGGGAAAGTATTTCTTGTGAGTTCGAATAACATCATGAATATAACCTTGGGCGATATTATTTAATTGTCGGGAACTTGATCTTGTAAATACGGATACATTTAAAAAAATCATTTTTGTTAACAATTTGCGACTTAATGTTCTTCATATATACCCAAATTATAAAGAAGTAAATTATTCATATTTCACTATATGTTTTGGACTTTTAGTTGTGTTTGAACGTTTGGAAAAACCGAACATGCAATGTTGCCTTTCATCAGAATAACTAATGACGTTAAATTTCAACTTGACACACGTTTATTCTTGATTTGCAGCAGTAGTTGTTATCTCAGAAAATATTATTCTAGTTTATCAGGATATTAGTCATCTCTTTATTTAGATGTCGAGTGTGTATTGTTTTTTTTTAAGATTTAATCTCGAGCAGAGCTAAGATGTAATTAAACATTTTTATCCGAATTATAATTAAATTAATTTATAAATTTCCACTGTGCATCACCTGGTTGTAATTAAATGCGTATTGGCTTAAAGTTTTCATGACCATTTGACGACATTCCAAGAGACACAAATCAAAGACTTTTTCAGTTTTTTTGCTTAGTTTAACCTTCCGTCATGACCTCACTGGTATTTGCAATGTAAACCATAAATAATCACACATGGATTCGTCTAACTTTACACGTTCTCACGCACTGAGGCAAAAGTTTGTATATAAGAATACCATACAGTATAAGATTTTTCTATCTGTAATTAAACTTGATATTTGAGTTTATCAGAAACGTATTTCATATATATCCCTGTTGGAAGTAGGCCAGGGTTGGCTGTATTGTAAAGTTTATTTCTTGCAGATATTATCGTAATAAACAGCATTTGGTTTGCAATAAATATCATGTCCCACACCATGAATTAAAGATTTTGTGAAATATAACGTATGTGAACAATGAATAACGCTTTCGGGCAATAATAGGTTATATAGAAAGTATAAAACTTTATATCTCCGAGTCTTATTTTCGTTCCTAAACCAGCTCCTATAAACAATATTCACTTTTGAGAAGAATAATTCACACAAAATGTGCTGGGCCTATTGCCACCGTAACATACATCGCCAGTCGTAGAAAATCCGCTATTATGAGAAGTAAGATCTAAGTTTTGATACCAATGTAAGTGCCAACATTTTAAGACTAATACAAAAATACTTCATATACCAAAATACTTTATTCGAAAACTTCATTTATTTAGACCGAAGTATTAGTATTTTTCACGAGTGCACTTCGAATATGGCGAATATGAGCGTTTTGTTTACATTCGTAAACAAAATTGCAAACAAAAAAAGGGAATATGAAATACCAATATGTCCTAATAAAGCATTTCTGAGTGAAGCATTTTCACGCAACCTGTCAAACATAGATTGCCTTTCCTGTTATGCACACAAGATGTCGCTACACCACGAGACAACATTTGATGATTGACAAAGTTTCAGATTGCTGGACTCCTATATTGTACCAAACAGATTTCTGTTGAATATACTGCAAAGATTATTATTTTGCTTATTATGGTGCTGTGGCAATTTTACATTGCAGCAGCTACGAACTAAAACTAGTTCTGAAGAAACACTAGGTTAGTGCAGGAATCGCCAGAGTTTTTAACCGGTTTTCTTCAAGGCTATTCGCCCAACACCAGAGTGAAACATCACTTGTATCAATGCTATAGTTCAGTTTGTTTTGTGCAATATTCCATCAAAATTTTCCACATTCCACGTACTAGTAATGTAAACCAGTAAATATTGAGAATGTCAAGAAACGCACCGGCAGAAAACCACATCATGTGGATATACATCGGAACTCTGAAAATCATGACATAGTATTCAAAATATCAGTAGTCTACTTAATGAATGATGTGATGAATAGAAAAGGCATTTAATAGACAACGTCTTTATTCCATTATGCAAATACATATAGGCAAAGATACGATTGTATATTTTTCATTTCATTTTATACCCAATAATTGTTGTTAGTTGAAACATTTATTTACAAAACCTAGTAACCTACCTGTCAAACCGGTCATCACCCAAAATTTCCCAAAGCTTTGTATAGAATAGTAATTGAGAAAAAATTCGAGTTAAAGTAATAAAAGTCATCGTGAAGCAAAGTGCGTTCAAAACATAAAAAATAGGTAGCTTGATGTTGGCGTCTTTCAAAAATTCCCTAGAAAAGTTTCATATAACGAAAAGTGTAAGCATAAATTCATAGATAAAATTAACAAAGCACTTTGGTGTATTTTGTGTGAGTAGCTATCTCATGGACCTCAAAATGTTTAGGAAACCTGTTGACGATTAGCAACAAAATGAATCTTACGGTAACGGAACATTTGATTGTCGAGACAAATTTCATGAATGGGCCCGGTGCTGGCTTTTACATATACGTAATAAAATATAATATTTTATTATATAGTTCAGGGGTGGCCAACACGTCGATCGCCACGTCTCGAGCAGTCGATCGCGTCTGATGTTGAGTGAATTTTATTGAAATACCCCCGAAAATTGCTTCGAACCAGTTGTGTGTTTTACAACAGGATGAATACAGTACTGTACATGCGCAGAATACAATATACACATACAATAATTGAGTCTGGGCAAGCCCGATGAAGCATATCATTACGTGACAAATGCAAGTTTTTCCGCTGCCAAGGTTTAAAAATGAAGTGTCGAATATCGCATGTCTAGACTGACAAACGATCCTACAAGTATGCGGAAATTATTGTCTAACTCAGCGTTTCCCAACCTTTTTTGGTCGCGGACTATTTTCTCACCGGCGAAAACCTTTGCGGACTCAAGGTGCGTTTATTGCAACCGTACTCTGTGTAAAGAAGCAATAAAACCAAACACAACAAAAATTTAACGGATCTCAAAATCGGAAATTCGCTGCATTACGTGTTCGTTAAAAGAGCCGACTTTTTTGGTGTATAATGGACTATTCTGTCGCACAGTATTCAATCCATGACAACGACGAGAATTTAAAATGTCTTTCTATTTTAACTTAATTGTGTTCATCATGGTAACTCGCGGTTGCGTCGACTTACGACAAGATTAAAGCATTTCTTTTTTTTTAAATTCCACTGCCATCTGCGAACATTATTAAGAGATTATATTCAGCTTTGATGCATATTTTTTTGCGATCTTGTGAATTTGTTATCGCTGTTAGAAAAAATCATACTATCTGCTATAAATTTCCAGAATGTACAACTTAATTTAGTATTTATTAAGAATATATATAAAGTATATATATATGTATTAGTAAATCGAAAATACATATTCATCGCATTGAAATTCTCGCGAACAACTTCTGAAGTAATCGTCGCGTATACGTCACCCGTTAAAAGAGCCGACTTTTCATTGATTTTTCTTGTTGCATAAAATATTCAATCCATCCACATGTGTGATTCTTTAATCTGCGGTTGTGTTGACGAAATAAGAGCAATACTACTCAGAAAATACTATGACAATCCGTGGGCACAAAATTGCGTTGTAAAGTGCTCGATTATATCTTGTTTTGATTCATATTTTTGTGAATTCGACAAATCTGTGTGAATTCGACATTACTACTGTGCGTACTTACTGGGCGACATGACTAATGTGGAGGCAGTAAAGAAGAGAATTCTAAAGGAAAATGCCCTGGTACGTATACTACGGTAGCACCCGAAATTTTGCGATTTGCAATGTCTAAAAAAGCGTTTTTAATCGGTCGCGGACCGCTTTTCATTTTAGAAAATTTGGGTTGCCACCATTTACACCTACCAGAAAAATAATTTATTCCTCGTTGTTCGAACTAGCGAGAAACACCTATTACGAATCTATCGAAGCGTGTACAGACTCTTGTTTTCGTCGGAAATCCACAAGTGAGTTGTGAAATCCAATCGTTTGATTAAGCGACTCGCAAGTGACCTGTTGCGTCACGTGTTACCAAATTTTCGATTAGTAAATGTTCTATTCTAATAGTTGAATATTCGAATATAAGTCAGCCCTACTCAGTAACCAGTAATTATTGACGCGATTAATGTCATGTGAACTGACTTTTTATGTTTTTTTTTGTAAATTCTAACGCAAATCTTAACTTGGCTAATAGTTAATTAAGTTTCGCAAAAACGTTTGCGGCCCGCAGTGAATTTCTGACGCTCTGCGGACTCATTTGAGACCGCGGACTCGGGTTGGGAAACACTGGTCTAACTCCAAGAGTAGTGTGATAATTTTTATTCGCAATGGTAGAAGTGCTATCAAAATGCCCAATTTGTTCTAAGTCCAAGCAAGCGAAGAATCGCGTTTGAAGGAAATTGTAAATTAGATATATACTGAAGTTTGAGAAGTTATGACATTCATGGTTTGAGAATATTTATTTTTCGCTGTTTGAATAATACTTGGCAAGGTTTCCTGAAGAATTTCAACACGTACGACTAAAAATTAGGCACGTCCTTCATCTGGATTGCATTATTTAAATAAATCTTTACATTTATGAAACATTTACCTCGGGTACAATTAAATAATCAAATCAACAACTTAAATGAAACATAAAAAATACAAATTTTGTTTCGGTTTTAATAATAATGTGCCCACAAAGACTTCTGATGGGCAGCGGTGTAATTTTTTGTATGTGTGTGTGCAGTTACCTGCACCTTCAGTGCCCATTCGTTTTTGTGTAGGACCTTATTACCGATCAGTCGAGCGCGGTCGAAAGCAGGTTGACCACCCCTGATTATAGTTAATAACTTACCTGAAATGTAAGAATGGTTGGGATAACTCAGACAACAAACGAATCGACAACAAGTGTCCCAACATAGGATAGCTCTAAAAATTAAAGATATTTCAAAAGATAGTATAGGACAGTAAAGTATGCGCATATATTACTAAATAAGATGGGATTATATTTCTGAATTAATTAATCAATTTATGGATCAACTGAAGAATCTCCCCTCAAGGATACCCAACTGAAGAATCTCCACCCCAACTAAGACCAACTGTCGAATCTCCACCCAAACTAAGACCATCTAACCCTACCAAATAATTAGTTCAGGTCAAATAAAGGATCAACTGGTATTATCGGCTTAGGTGGGTTGGGAGAGGGGGAAATTTTTCAGTTGGGAAATGGGATCAACTGAAGAATCTCCACCCCAACTAAGATCAACTGAAGAATCATACCCCCTCTCCAGGTGATTCCAACTGAAAAATTTCCTCTCCGGTCGGGTCCGGGGGAAAGACTCCTCAGTTGATCCCAATTTATATCTGTATTATCGGTGAGGCCAACTACAAATTCTACTAAAAATTTAAGTTGCAGATTATCAATAACCTAACTGATTCAGACAATTTTGGAAAATTCCAATTAATGTTGTCGAGTCTTACCTACACCTTGACTAGATACTCTAATGTACTTATCATAATAGCTTAGTTGCGTTTTACCAGAATACTGTAAAATCCGAACAGAGAAAACACGTGATGAAATTTATAGGCGTAATGAGCTCCTGATTCCACGGGATACCGTAACATCCAATACATATCTATATAAGTAATAATAAACCTGTTTATATAATTTAGTTTATAGGATAATTGTAAAAAAATAAAAAAAAATCCAACAACATTAGCAAACCTGCAACAAAGTAACCGGCTGTGATGGAGATACTTGCTTGGACCGACCAAGGATGAGCTCTGTGGAAAATAATATTTCATATATATTATGGTGTTGATATTATTTCAATGACATCAGAATCCTTGTTTTTGAATATTTTTTGTTAGTGGGATATGTCGATTTGGCATACACAGAAGATATATATATATTAAAATGCGCTGGAATTGTTTTTGATATACATGTTAGCTTGGATAAAGTTCCGGGGCCACATTTATATATATATACTGCATACATATATATATATTATTTTTTCATATCTTGTTACAATATTTTTTGAAAAAAAAAAGATCATTGATGCAGCATCCAGCAACAAATAGAGTCAAACAAACACCTCGGAGAGGGGTTATCTCAAACAAAAGTTACACAACAAACGTTAATCAATTCGCCCAATCAATCATCGTTTGTCCAATAAACGATTTACTCACTGAAAAGGATTGGTCCAAACTCCCGGTTTAGATAATGAAACCACAGCCAGTGTAACGACAATGATACTGTTGGATATCGAAGAAAATCTGAATAAAAGTTGTTTATTTACTGTTATAGCCATACGACACATCAATTATGTAATATAAGCCCTAATCATCCAACTTTCCCCATCTGCTAGCATATTAGTAAACACAAACGAGTAAATACTTAAAAAATGCACCTTATTCCCCAGGCCCGCTTCTTTCCCGTCGATAGCCGTCCATAATCTTTTGTGTAACAATGAAACAGTGCCGGTGCAACTATGATTCGTAGAATTTCGTAGAGTAATGCTGAAGAAATTATCCATGCAAGATGCAGTATCGCGGGTGTTGATGTCGGACTCATTTTGGTATAGGCAAAGTTGATGCCGAATGAAGATTGTATTGCCTATATCTATCTACAATATATTATATATGATCAAATTGATATAATTCAATACCTTAGAAAAGAAACGACAAAATATATATTAGAGCGCAAGATAGTATATATGGATAGTAATTTTAAAACAATCTGAAATCGAATCGAGTATCACTCGCTCTAAAAATATTACGGAACTGCCTGTCTTAAGTGTCGTTTTGTTTATTTTCTGGCAACTCTCAAGTTTTATGAGACTTATAGATCGATCCTCCACTAACATACTCATCGACTAGTTTTGCCCTTACCGCCACCCGAAACAATTATTGAGGATCATTTATAAACAGAACGAATATAGCAAATGACTTTACATATATTTGATGCTACGGTTGCCCGTTGTTGCAGTGTCGTTTGTGATCAATACAACCCCGTGTAACTCCGGAAATTTCTCCTGATGTTGAACTCCCGACACGCTTGACTTGGTTCAATTTATTTCAATTTTCAGCATCAACTGCAACTTCATGTCTCTCGCTTCACCACAATGTAAGGATCATAGCCATTTTTAAATCCGAACTCATAACTCAATGTTATTATTATTCGGGATGAATAGGCAATCACATCCCATACTTGTTCTTGACACTTATGGTGACTAAGACTAATTATACTTAATATTACAAATATTACAATTACATATTTATTGAGTTGCACCTCTGGAAGCCTTCCCAAAATAATATTAAAACGCTTGAGGCTGAAAATAGAAATCATAAATTTCATAACGAATTAGATATCGGAAATCGGTCGTCCCAAGATGACCATCTTTGGCGAGTTCACATATATCTGTTGTTTAAAGCAGAATAATTTATTTTGTAACCGGAGGCAACATTTCGCAAACGCACTGCGGTCATTTCCCTGTAACCGTTTCGATGTGGCCACGAGTTTCGTCCGTCCCAACTGAAGACGGGCAGTGGAAGAAATCCACAAGAAGTCGTTTCTGAGTAGGCTACAGAAATGTTAATTAGAAAGTAGGCCTACCCGACCCCACCCCCCCCCCCACCCCCGTTTGAATTTTCTGAAAAGTGAAAAAGTTGCCGATAACACGTGCAATTGCCCTCTGCTGAAATCGCCGTTCGTTTTCATCAACGCGGCGTGTTATTTATGCCGTGAACGCCCTTCACATTGGTGTTAATTCTCTTTAAATCACAAATTTGTGCCGCGGGAACAATGATAATCATTTTATTTTTGTACTCGCATGGAAATGTGGAAACTGAAAAAGCGTGCAATTGCCTTCTGCTAAAATCGCCCATGTTTTCATCAGCGTGTTATTTAGGCCGTAAACGCCCTTACGTCGGTTTTTATTCTTTCTAAATCATAAATTTGTGCCACGATAAACATGATAATTATTTTATTTTTGTACTTTGCACGGAATTGTGAATTCGTGAGTTATTAATTTTTATTATACGTTCATCGGTGGCGAGGTTCTAAAGACAAAGGGAGTAAAGGCGCGGCGGTGTGGCTCAACGGGCTAAGCGTTAGGAATACGCTCGCCACCGCACCTCTAATTACTCTGCGTGGGTTCGCAGGTTCGAATCCCATGCCGGGATGGTTATGTGCGAGAGGATTGCTGGACTCCTCGCCGTCGTTGGGTGGTTCACGTAACCGCTGGTCGGTTACGGCTTCCTCCACCACCAAGTCCATGCTTCCGAAAACAAACAATACAGTAAAAACTAATCCCATACCCGACTTGGAATGGTAACCGGACGAGAGGCCGTGGTTCGCCATATGGATAATCCGTCTTATCGGCTTTCCTCTCCCCCGGGATAAATATGTAAATCCTATCCTATCCTAAAACCGCGATCTAAATTTGATTGAAAAGCGGCATTATAAAATACTGAAAATAAAACCGTAAACAATATAAGTTTTGTTGAGTCCCGCGACAGTCTAAAAACGCTTTTCTAGTCGCAAAATCGCAAAATTTCGTGTTCCTACGGCGCACATTATGTTTGGTCGCCGTTTAGGAACATACCGTCACTAAAATCGAAACACGGTTAATTGTGGGTGGGATTTGCCTTTTATCCATTACTTTAAAATTGTCGTAGAAAATTTTCATGTTATCTTTAAACAGAGTTTTAGCAGAGTTTTTATAGCCATGCTATGGTTTCCGAGAGTTACAGGATAAAACGGAGACAAAACAATGGAAATGCCTTCAGAATTTAATTCAGTAACACTGGTAAACATAAATGAAGCTCGATGCATAAGATATCAAAATTTCCATTACACACGCTCTTATCTGGTTATATACATCTGATCGAAAGTCCTTTGATTGCATATCATCAATACATTATCAAACTTGTAATGCATAGTTAATATAAAACTGCATAGTTTTTATCGATATTATACATTTATATAAATGAAGAAATATAGAAATGGAACAGAATTTGAAAAATGGAACAACGATATATAAATATTAGAAATGATCACCGGCACACCGATTTATCCAGTGTGAAGCCTTCAAAATGATCAATCATATTCAAATCCAAGACTTTTCACCCAAATGACAGGCATTGCATTAGTTAGATATGATACTAATTTATTGCACAGTATGGGCGATGATTTGAGAAAAATAATCTAGAAAAACTTACCATAGAAACATCAAACAGTTAAGATTATTTTGTTCAAGTATAGATATCTATCTACCCGAATAAAGATAACCGACATGAATACATGTTTGTTAAAATTAAGTGTTTTAACAACTACAAATGTCCTAGATTTGGTTTATGAGACACATTTTGAGTCTTTAGAATAGTCTAGCTTTAAGTACCAAATGAACAAAATATTCGGATGTCAAAATATATAGCTTAAAATACTTTAAATTACTGAAACAAAATTGACAACCTGTTTTGAAAAGCAAATAAATTCACACTAATTGTTTACGAATTTCTTTCCATAACTTCACTTTATGTTCCTTCACAGTTTCTTCTGGAACAGTTGAAAAATGTACAAGATGAAATTCATAAAATATTGATGGACCAGCAGTATTGGGACGAATTCTGAAAAATGGAAGCAAGAGCGACTCAATTATTGTTTGTCACTCACTTTGTAATACTGAAGGACAGTGATATGGATAATAAGTTAGAAGCATAATTCAAAATGTGGACATTACGGTAATTGCTAGGATCCCTGCAATATCTTCAGGTTATTTCTTGTAAACTTCAGAGAAAAAACTAAATTGAAAATTTGACATGAAAAAATGTTCACTTCAGCTGCGGCATCCTCCATCATCAAGTCCATGCATCTAAAATGAGAGGCCGGGATTCGCCATATGATTAAGCTATTATATCGGCTTACCTATCCCCTGTCATTGTAAAGTAAAATCTGATCCTCACCTTTATTGTTATTATATTTTAAATGTCAGATTTGCGTCAGAATTTTGAATGGCTTCGATGATAACTCCTGATAATAGTACTGAAAATACCACCAAGCATACCCTGTTGCTCTGAAGCACATGGTAAAGGCAGCAGTAGATAGTCAGTATTGCACTAGAGTAGCAAAGGTGATTTTCTATCTTCTAATACCTGCGAAAAGGACTTTCAACCCCACTAATGAAGGCTTTTCCAACCCAAGTCGCTTTGATATTTGCTAGTGTATTTGAAACAGTTTGGCTTGAGGTTTGATTTTCCATCAATCTCACCCAAAAATATGATGAGAAAAAAAAATCCCCAACAACAGCTGTATATTCTTTCACTCCATCTTTACCATTTACCATAGAATAGGCAAGCAACACGCCTTTCCAAATCTAAAAAACATGCAAACATGCAAAAGCATGTATCAAATCTGGTACTGATAGTCTACTGTAGGGTGGCCCAAACCCAGGCCAGGACTAGAAAATACAGAAATAAATGGATAAAATTGAAAACCAAATCCAAGAGCATAGCCTAAACTAAGCATGTTATTACACAAAAATCATGCAAGGTGCATAATGCTCAAAAGCATTTATAATCAACTATTCAACATATTCATGGATAACGAAACTTTCCACACATCCATTTAAAACATAGGTTGTATATCATACCTGTCTTTGCAGCAATGTGACTACATCCATATTAATATCTTCCGGAACATCATCCACGTTAGAATTTGAATTGAGTGATATATGTGATGAAGTAAATACTTCATTCATATCCATCTACGAAATACATACATTTGTCAGAAAGCTATTCATATATTTAACTCCTGATATGACAAATCGTAATTAATGTAATTCTAAAAAAATAAACTGTGATGTAATAACTTGACTCACCATTCCATTGGCGTCAGATTTGGTTATAGATCTTTTAATGACAATGAAGTGAAGTAATCCAGGATAATTATCAGCAACCCAACTTATTCCTACATTTTTACTTGATTTCACAATAAGGAAATCATAGTAATCTGAATGGAAGTATTTTTGAATTTTGTGGCACCATAAGTGATAATTTATAAGCATGAATTCAACAAATAATAAATTATTGTGAGAATAGGAACTTTGATAATTGATAAAACAGCTCAATAATATAGGAAACCAAAACAATACTTGTAAGCATCCATCATAATACATGTTTACTCTCAAACAATCAACATTCATGGTGCTGGTGAGTCTTCAACGAGCATAATGTAGCCTTAATGGTAAATAAACCAGCAAGAGAAACAAGCTTCGAGGGTGTCACTCAACCCACCCCTCAAATTCCAAAATTTACCATATTTAAATTTTCTAATACTATTCCATATCTTTTATGTATTATTATGTAATCAGTCATTTGACATATTACCTTTGAGATTTTCTTGCATTTTAATCTTCAGTGTAGCAAGTTCTTCTCTCCAACCTCTTTTGGATTTATTTGGTTTCAACAAGAACAGACGATAGAATAATCGTCTCAAATTCGAAGTCAGACCATCAACATCTTGTTCTAATCTGGGAGAAAAAAATATTTCAAAAAAAATTTGACATGAATCAGGATAGGAGTTTATAGTTACTACAAGAGAGAAGAAATTTAATTAGATGAATAGACAAAACAGTGCTATATGCTAATACCCAAGATAAGTTTTAGCAAATACCTTGCAACATCATCAGAACTGAGTTGTTTCAACTCAAATAATTGCTTCAAAACCGCTTCCCAAAATTTAAATATTTTGTTTACATGTTGATCTGAGTGCTTAGGCCTGCAAAAGACACATATGCACATTAGTATGAATAAATACATTTAATGCATTCAAAATGTAATTCACATTATCTTACTTCCAATAAAATATTGATAAAATATCATTGGTGGTAACTTTGATGATCTTAACGAATGGTATTGTTAACAGAGAGAGGAAAGGGGCACCCTATGGCGGCGAAGAGTCCAGCAATCCTCTTGCACACAATTTCTCCCACAAAATTCGGACCTGCGAACCCACGCGGGATTATTAGAGGTGTGGTGGTGAGTGTAATCCTAACGCTTAGCATGATGTGTCACACCGCCAAGTATAGGCTATACTAGTTATTTTGTATTCTGGTTGGACAAAAGCAATAAATTCTCTCTCTCTCACCATAATCAACATTTTTCATGAAGTCTGCTCAAAGCTATTTATTGAGGCCACAACTTAAAGTGGAATTGAGGTCCAGCAATAACTGAAAACAAGTTTGATCGGTCTAATTTTAATGTAATTCAAACAAAGAATCAAACAAACCTGAGTTTCATTTTTAAATCTTTATTAAATTTCAGGAGTTCATCCAAAACGTTTTGATCCCCATTAACGCTTACTGTTGCTTTTTGGATTTGTCCAGCAGTGGCAGCAGAGTCATAATTAAATTTAATTTTTCTCAGAAAATTAAGTGATTTACATATAATGCTCGCAATATCACCACCTTTCATCTGTCAATTACAAAAGAAGTCAATGTTAGTAATGTGTAAATCTTGATATCTATCATCTAATGGGAGATAAAAATATTCTGAAAAATTATTAAACAATTGAAAGAAATGAGATTATCAACTTCAATCTGGTAAAATAGCAAGGCTTCAAACTCGCTACTAAAAGCAAGGAAAGCCGCCCATAAAAGCTGAATGCTTGACTCTCATGGCAGTAAAACAATTTTATCTTATATACTATGTGAAATACTCTACATGATACACATTGCAATGGAGCAATTCGAAATATCTTTAAATCATACCCACATATAATAACTCTGTAATCATATTTATAATATAAAATGAAAAATGAAGGTTTCAATAAAACATATTTTGGAATTTGGGAAGAGTTTATTCAGGGGACGGCAAACTTTTGTCGCTCGAGGCCCAAAATTAAGGGTTGCAAGCCATTGCCGGACATATTTTTAGAAAGTTGAAAACCGAACGGATGATACTTTTCATAATAGAAATCAAGCAGTGATACATCTCTCGGATAGAATATAGATTTATTTCCTCAATAAATCTCAAAAAATTCCATTTGAATATTTTTGGCGACATTGAACCCTTTGCACTTAAACATCAACTTTTCTGCGTTTTTTGCCATTTGTCTAATTATAATTAAATTATAGGCTCATGAAACGAGTACTTGTGCAATATATACTTGTTAGGTTATAATATAATTTAGTATACACATGTCTCACAATAAATTCTGTTACGTAAAGAATATAATCGTCAAAACAGCTGTTTTGTTACTGTAATTCAGTGAAGTTTCGCGGACCGGATTATAATACTCCACGGGCCGGATCCGGTCTGCGGGCCGTAGTTTGCCGACCCCTGGTTTAGGTATATGACAGCTGTCAGAAAATTTATAATTTTAGTAATCTGACAGACAAAAAAGCATTATTTATTCCGAGTGAATTGCAATTTATCCCAATGGAGAAGGAAGCTGATAAGATGGCTTATTCATAAGGTGAACAAATAGTCTGTCCATGTAGCGCATGAGAATAGCTAGCTAGCTACTATTCTAGATACATGAACTTCATGATGGAGGTAGCCACACCTGGCCAGCAGTTACATGAATTCCCTGAGACAGTACCGTAACTAGTTCAGCAATCCCCATGCACATAATTATTACCCACAGCATGATAAGACTGTTTAAATACCAAATCATCGATTATAACATGACATTTTAAAATAAGGAAATGAATTTTTTAAATTTACCTTTTGCTCAAATCAAAATCACTACTTTACCTCTGAAAGCACTATAAATTTAACTTGATCAGCAATCTTCACATTATGCATTAGAAATGGTGTGAGACGACAAGATGCTGTATGTAGAAAAACTGGATATGTTTGAATGTCTCTCTGAATAGAAAAAAATGTTACAAATATTTACAGGTGCATATGAAATATATGAAATAAAATCAGGCCTGTTCCAAATCATTTTAACACAAATTGAAACAAATTTAGTAAACATGGCAACAGAAAAATATACCGGTATTTGTATTTGTAGTGTAATCAAAATATCTTCTTCCTTCATTATGTTTATAGAAATTCTCTATTCATTGAAATTACACATATTGAATCAACAGTTTCAGAATCATTTCATAATTTTTGGAATATTCATACTTTTTTATAAAATTTTGCAATTCCAAATTTTCCATTCAAAAGACATTTAATTGATGATATGATATAGGTACAAGATCATTGAGATCGTTTCACAACCAACCTCTTCACAAATTTAATATAGTACAATAACCTTTGAATAATAGGAAATTTCTCAGAATAATTGTATCTTTTGAAAAAGCTTGTGAGATCTTAATAAAAATAGACAAAATCGACGTACAGGATCAACTTTATCAAGAATATCTCTTCCAGCAACTATTGGAATTGAATCAGGAAAACTTTTTGATCCAGTTGAATGCAGAGTTCTACGACTATGTACATGAAGTGAAGAAGTCTGAATAGTATAGAAATATAAAATAGACAGAGTTATTGTTTTAACAGACAAAAACAGTCATCACCAAAACAAAAATACCATAACCAACACATCATGGTTTTTTGGTATAAACTAGATGTAGTGAATTGAACACTGTCATGAAAGTCAATTCCTTCCATATTGACAGTTCTGTATGGGATTTATGGAAGGAAGAATTTAGAGAAAGATATAGTTTAAAATAGACAGAATTGAACCATGAAAGAACAAACCATGGAGGAACATACCACAGTAAGATTAGTAAGATAATCAAATTTGTGAATGTAATAACAAAAATTTGAATGTAGATTGTCTGATAAAGTAGCTATAATATTTAGGATTAGACTAAGTAAAGATGAGTAGATTTTAACTGAACAAATACCTCAGCAGAATCCTCACTTCCATCTGCTACATTTTTCAAAATCGGAATGAAATTTTCATATGCGGTATTTGAACGAGATCTCAATACTGAGTCTGACTGAGAATGCTTCAATTTTGTTTTATTTTGGTGCAATTGATCAGCAGTACTACTCTCATCATTCGGCTCTTGGAAAACTTCGTCAGTTGAAGTAATTTCAATAGTTGGTATTGGGACATCAAGGCTTGAACTTGATATAGGAGGAGATTTTTCTATAGCAGTTAATGTTCCACAATCAGTTTTTTCACTATCATCTCCGGATGGATCATCAGGCTCTAGTGTAGCGTCAGAATAAGGGAGATCAAAAGCGTCATTGGCAGATGAAGCTTCATACTGAACAATATGATTGAACAGAAGATAATAAAATTTTATACTTTCAATTCAGTGGTGAGAAATGTTTTTCAAATGCTGCTTTCAGAAAACCTTGCAAAAGGGCATATTGAGAAAAGTACCTGATTTTTACAAAGTATCATATTATCATAATAATTACTATTATGAAAGTGTCAAATTTAAAGGTGGCTGACATTGTTGAACAGGAGAAGAAAAAAAAGGAGATTTTGAATGAGGTTCAAAAATAAATCTAAATGTTGTATCGAATTCTCACAACTTGCCTCTGTAGCAGAGGGGCACAAAAAATTCTCTGGCGGGCCGTAGTTAGCCCATTCCCAATCTGACCAAAGTTTAGAGAACTCGAGTAACGACTCCACTTGAGTCACATTTGTTCTAAAGCAATCAGATTAATAACTAATACTATAATAACTAAAGTATTAATCTTACATGGAACAAACGGGAATCTGAACAATGCCAGACATTTTAAATTATATATCGTAATCGTGATGCGCAACAATAATTACTATATGTATTAAAAAGTACTTCAAATGTTCTGCATTCAATACTGATTTGGTAAAATGAATCACTTGAAACTTTCATTTTAAGCTACAGCATTCTCAGACAGTCCGACTACACAAATGCACATTTGAAATAAATATCCTAAAAACAATTGAATACGCTATTTTTAAAATCAAGTATACACTATACATTATGAATATATTCCAAAATTGCTTCTCTAAATTAGATTTAGAAGACTGCATAGTTCAATTTGAGATCATTAAACATACAATAGAGAATGAAGTTTATATCATGGTAATTGACTTAATTTCATTTCTGATGACTACTACTTACTGCAGATGCAAGTTCTTCAATTTCTCTATAATTTGAATTGATAACAATGAGTATTCTCAACAAATCCCCAGTGGATAGTTTATGTTTATATTTTGTACTGAAGAAAAATATATTAAATCATTTGTTAAAATATAATCAGTAGTATAATTTATATACCAAATTGAGTGAAGAAAAAAGCAATCTTTTGACTGATTCAAATTAATTAAGAAATTAATTGACTGCAAAATTGCTTTATTATTTGTAGGGACAACATTATTTACTCATACAAAAAAGGTTGTTAGCGCCATATAACAAATTATGTTCTTTTGCATAATTCAAAAAAACAAAGACAAATAAATATGATAATGCAAATTTCTTCCTTAATTATTATAATGTATTGATAAAATGGGTACTTTAATTCAAATATTTATAATGCTTGAAAAAGATTTAAATCATTTTTTTAGTTATGACAAAAAACGGCCTGGGTTTGCAGGTCCTGTTGTCCTGTGGGGAATGACCCACTCCAAAATGGTCTCCAGGCCATCACAAGGTGGGTCATAAAAACCAATGGCAAATTGCAGATTTCTCCAACAACTACCAGTAGGTTCGTGCAACTGAAAATATCAACCTGGTAACTATAACCATTACTCACCATACTTGTAACCAAAATGCAAATTTTTCGTTCTGAATATACTTGGCTGTTGGATATCCTTACCTCGGGTGATATGTAAGAAGTTTGTTGCCAACAAATAAAACACCAAATGTAACTCTCTCATTCTTAAGATTTTGTTCAAGTATTCCTAAACGTTTATCCACAATGTTTAAACATTCAGATTTGACATCTTCATTAACATGTAGAGTATCTATACAACCAACTAAAAAACTTGGTTCGCTTTGATGCAATCGACAAAATGAATGCAAAGCTTCCGTCAGTTTGGCCCAAGTTCTATAGAAAAAAAAAAAAAATTAAAAATATTTGGCAACATACAATTCTAAAATCTCAACTTAGATATAAAGGCAAGCCTATTAAATACAATCTTGATGAAGTGTTATGCCGCATACTCATCAGCACTGATATGAGAGATATAATATATTCAGGGCCCTCATTGTCAATTTTACTAACAATTTTACCAAGCATATTACAAAAAGCGTGAGATTCCCATTTTAAATACAATTCCAATTACTGATTCAAAACATCAAATCAATCACATCAAAAATTACCATAGACAAAAGTGGTATGCAGAAGATATGCAAAGAAATAAAACAACCTGCTTCTGTCAATTGGATTTTCAGGATTGATATATTGTCGACAAGGTCCAAATAAAAATTTTGTCATTTCATGTAATACACTAAGTTCTTTCTTCATTTTATATTGACCAACTTCACACATTTTATAAAAACCTAAAAATTTGAAAATATTATATTATATATGAATAATTATGTTAGTGAAAATTTGTAGCCATTGGTACATGATTTTAAGTGAATAATGTGAATTTTAGTGATTGCACATAAATAAAATGCTATGAAATAAATAAATACAAAAATTGTTTATTTTTCGCATAAAATTGAAATAAAATTTGACTCACCCAAATACAGAAGATCACCACGCTGCTGAAATAGTATCTCACAACCGACCTTTTTGCATGATATTACTGAACATGTATCATTAAATTTTGTTTGGAGCAAAAAATAAGCGAGAAAAATTGGATTCAGTAACTGCTTAATGCAATGCAGATTTTCATTGGGAGCCTTCTGAAAATAAAACACAATTTTTGTAAAAGTTCATGCAAATTAAACATTGACATGGTAATTACAATGTGTTGGGATTTACATATTTATCCTAGGGGAGAGGAAAACCGATAAGGTGTTTTAATGATATGATCGAACCATGCCCTTTCATCCGGTTACAAGTCTATGTCGATATGGGATTAGTTAGCCAGTTATTTGTTTTCCGAAAGCAAGGATTTGATGGTGAAGGAATCCGTAACAGACCAGCGTACGGTGACGAGGAGTCGAGCAATCCTCTCGCACATAACTATCCCCACATGGGAATCAAACCTGCAAACCCACGAAGGGTAATCCAGCAATCAGAGGTGCGGTGGCAAGCATATTGTTAACGCTTAGCACCATCAGACCATGCGCCACTCTTGAAACCATAAAGTATTATACTGTCCCTTAAATAATATTTATGTTGAACACTTAATGAAAAAACTCATAAAATACTTACTGACAGCTGAGCCACGTCCTCTTGATTCTGACATAAATACTTCAACCTGTTCAGAAATTCATCGTCATGCCATACAAATTGAACTTCAGTGTCATCTCTCACGATCACGTAAGCTTTCATGGCGCACCTCCGTCGACTATCACTTATCCGAGACAAATAACTCCACCACTAAGTTTAAACAAAAATGCTGCAAATGCATATTTTCGTTGTAATCATTTTGAAATATCCAGCGAATGTAGGAAGGGTGAAGATACAAATCACAGCAGTGATGCATTTGCAAACATTTGTCACGTGAGTAAACAAAGGGTTCGTGCCTCCAACACACCCATGTTTATGCAGCAGGGTCGAACACTTCTGCATTTTGTACACCAAGTGGCGGTGTTGTCACCACTGTTGCTGTTATTGTTAAGAGAGTGATTTTAATTGGAATAAATTGTATATGGATATCTTTTATTGTACTATTGAAACTAAATTGCAATCTTTTCATGTAAAGCTATTTCATGGTGCCATAGTACTAAACGATAGATTGTATAAATTTAAACTTGTTTCATCAGAGTTATGTGATTTCTGTCATTCGAATGTTGAAACTACTGACCATTTCTTCTATGATTGTATAGTTGTCCAACAGTTTTGGGAATTTCTGAACATGTGGATATATTCAAAAACAGGGATTAATTTTAACTTTTCAAAGAAAGATTGCATGTTGGGATATGTTTGCCAATTCTATAACAAATTGTGTAATTGTATACTTCTTACTGCCCGGTTTTATCTATATCGTTGTAAGATACAGAAAAAGAAACCACTGTTCTATGTTTTTACCTCATATCTTCATGAAGTGAGGGAAATTGAGCGGTTCATTGCACATAAAAATGGCAAAATAAAGAAACATTATCAAAAATGGAAAATTTTAGGATATACGCACAATAATTGATTATTTTTATATGATGAATTGTGATTATGTAGTTTCTATGAATATTGATTAATAATGCTGTAGCTATTGTAGATGTATCGATTAACTGTGTTTTATATAATAATAAATATATATAAAAAAAAAAAAAAAAAAAAAAAAAAAAAAAAAAAAAACAAGAAATTTGTCTAAGAAATCGTTCTGCTTCAAATTATTCGACCGATTTCTATCAGATTTTCTGCAGTTATAGTTGAAAGTTTTATCTTTGAATGCTTTACTTTTTATTTTGCGCATTCCTGGGAACAGATGAAATCATGAGAAAAAACATCACAAATAACAAAAGGAACCTAACTTAAATTGTGTGATAGGAGTCGCGAGAAACCGCGAGGTTTTTATTTAGCAGCGACACATACTTTGTATTAAATTAAAAGGTATTCTCAACAATTTGGGTATATTCTAGCCTACCGAAACCTAATGCAATGATGTTTATGTTTAGCCGTTTATCATGTCATTTTGGCATATTTAACCGTAAATATATACTAACAAATTCTGCTGTGTTTTATATGTGGTATGGGCAATGTTGCTAGATGACGCAAACAACATATTTCAATCTTCGTAAACTGTAAACTGGAGTTCATTGAAACCCGAACACTTCATACTCAAGAAAACATAGAATAGTATAATGTAGAAACATGTATCACCATTTTCGAACACGTTAATAGAAGAACGTCTTTACACGAACATTGCACTAAATAGACAGTGCGCAACGGGTGTGGCAGCCATAAAAATCGATATGACCTTTACGGAGGAAGCCATTCAAAGAGCGAATAGGATCAACTAGCTATCTCTACACCCAACCGCTACAAATTGAGTGATTGTGGAATGTTTGTGGCTGTTTAAAGTCGATTTAACAAAGTTTAAAAGTGATTTTGTGCAAAATTTTAGGATTATTGTAAATCAATCGAAATTTCAACTGGAATACAAAAAGTACATCTACGAAGAAGTCGAGAAAGGCGCTTGTAGGCTACAAATCCATTTTTTTCTGATTCATCAAACTTGTCATGACAAATATGTATCTAAGTTATTTGCTCATGCAAGCTATGCGTATTTTTCATGTTAATGTAATATATATCATCAATACGTCTTACGACACTTATGTAAATTTGAAAACATACTAATGATTATTCAAAGTTTTTTTCGACAGTATACCTACCGAACCACGTCTTGTTACTTGAATCTCATGGAAGAATATGATGGTGTCGTGATTATAAACAAAATCCCAAGTCATTGAGATTTTTTATTTTTAAATTATGAATATTTTATTTCCAAACAAATAAAGCAGGAACTCAATGAAAGAAATTCAGTCAAAAAGTAAAATGTGAGACACAAATAGTATATATATGAAGTTTCGTCAACGACGCCTACGAACGTTGCCACATAAATATTAAAACAATTGACGGGAAACAACATGTCGAGACGGTTAGGAACAAGCTTACTAGTAGTGCGTCCACATCCACAAGTTCATATAAAAAAAATCAGCAAAGGACATGATTTGATTGGTTGACATGATCCAAAAAAAGTAATGCAAACGTATAATAATCGAATAACACGATCTCCCGTGTGTGCACTATTCATGCCACCAATAGTATGGTTCGTCTGAAATGAAAAAGGAAGAAGTCATACTGTCTGTCAGTCGAGTTATGTACAGGTTTTAATATGTTACATACAGAACTTGTCATGTGAGTTCAAGGTCACAGTACGTTATTAGGTTTATATTATTTAACATGTCATCCCAATTTTAGATTTCCATAGTGCTGTAGGATATTATTGTATTTTTTGCAACTGTGAGATGGTCTTATCTATTATTGGGGATATTTTCAAAAAAAGTCAAAATACTGCTGACTGCACTGACTGAAATGCAATTTCGGTAAATCTCAATTGCTTGACTTATCATTTCAACATACCGTTAGGACAGTAATTGCATTGCTGCCAAGGCACTTGTTGCGGATGTTGAAACATGCCGGATGTTGTCATTGGGTCATGAAAATATACTGTTCCATTATGCATCACTGCTGGTGGGGCAATATATTGTATTTTGCTGATATCGAAAGGGTGTGGCTGAAATTGGAAAGCCACAAAGTACAATTATATATCAGTATTTATATATGTATATCAAGTGGAAAAATTCAACTTTTTAGAATGAGACACCGAAGGAATAAAGCTATTCACCTAATTTAAGAAAGAACAATTTTTGCCCATTTTTGGTTTAAAGAACATGCTTTATACTATTTTCTGTACTTTATTTGCCCAACGGAAGACAAGAACAACCAATGGTTTCCAGGATATCGAGATAGTAATATTACCATTAAACTAATATATTATTTTAGTTCGAATAAGGAAAAAAAATGTTTACATACAAGATAATGGTTCATGTAAGAATCGTAAGGTGGTAAGGTCGGAGGTGTTGGTGGAACGAAGAAATCACCGCCGTAGTAAACTTGCGGATTCGCACCTGAAATAGAGATGATTTAAATTTCTGCGCAATTTTTAATTCACACGTTATTTTTATTTTCGTGTCAACTCCAGATAAAGTTGATGAATCGCCTAATTTTTATTTTGTTCAATCATTGTATATTAGATATTACCCAGGAATCATTCTACACAACAATCAGTTATGCGAAACCATCTTCAAACCAAATTGAGATAATATTCCCTTCCCAACTATTACGCAAATTTGAAAATCAGAAACGGGTACTTTTCTGTTTGAGGAAATTTAATTGTGTGTATGCCCCAATCAAGAGAAAAACTAACTAATTATATTGCATTTGAAGTATTACGAAAATACAAACAAAGAAAGCACTTTTGTTAAATTTGCTGTGACTTTGCCGTCCTTTGCTTCCATGTTTTGGGCCATACCAGGCAATGTGCACTTTGAGTTCATCATCATTTATATATATCTTCAGACCTCCCTATTGGAAAAAATATGAAGTTCAATTCGAGATATTTTTACTAGACCGAAGATATTTTCATTAGCCAAATAAATAGTGATGTAAATTCAAATGAATAGTAAAAAGGGGTATATATTCAATAGCTGGCGACATCTGAAACTATGACACTTGTTGAGTAGAACATTGCAATACTGGATCGAATTTTATAAATTAAAACTGATGCATTTATTAAATGTGTTTGCGTCGCATGGTTATACAAGTGTATAATTATATCACTTCATGTGAAATTCCATATATAAAAATAGTATCAGCAGTTGTTTGAGAATAACCATCATAAATACTGTACATTGAAGTGTAGTTTTGAATCCAAAAAGTTATTTATCTGAGATGATAGGCTTGGACAATAAATATTTTTGTGCAATAGAATAATGGTGCGTTTGAAAAGAAATCCAAAACTCCGGTCGAAATTTCTGGCTCCACCATTTACATCAAGTTGCGATAAAAATCTAGTCAAATTATTCTGAGAAAACGATAAATTACTCAAATTCACCCATTGTACTTGTTGCAACAAACGTGTGACGTCCCTTTCTTGATCAAATGTTACGAATCCGTATCGTCTGAAGAGACAATAAATTATGGATCAAACATAAAATATAAACGACAAATTTATCTAAGAGCCAGTTTCGTTTTAAAATTATCTCGAAACCTTCAACAAATCACAAATATTGTATTCATTTCCCGGGTTGGAAATTCTATTAGAATTCATACAAGGAGTCGCCGCCGCCAAGAATAAAAGATAAAAATTTAGTTTTATCTATATCATAATGAATCACTGGAATCAAGTTTTGGGTTTTCATGGAAAGCATTGTTGAAGCATTATTCATTCAATTACCACAGTACGCAATAAATCCATAAAACATGTCTTACTTTGGCGCTGATCCACCAACTATATTTGCATATAAAACTCTTCCGTGGGCTTTGAAGGTTCTGATCAGTTCCTCTTCTTTTACCTGAAAAAAAAAACTCAATTGCAACTTATAAATATGCATCGGAAATGGCTGATACGTCGGGCAACGTCAACTACATCAGCTAGTGTCAGTCATGCACACCAACCGTAAAAATATTTTTGCGATGATTTCACACAACGGTACAATCCCCCGAATGTTAAACTTTTTCCGTTGTTGGACATGTGGTTAAATTGAACCTCGTGCATAATCAAGTCTCAAATGACATTTTTATCTGCTCACATGATAAAATAACATCTGGCACTGAATAATCTCTTGCATATTGTTAGAAAGTTTTGTGGTTGCCATATTTACGTAGCAATTATCGTTTCAATATATACGAAGAAATAGAATTGTCCACATAGGTTAGATCCTAAACCGAATTCGAATAAAAGTTGCAAACTTTTATACGTGTACGAATAATAAATTTAGGCAAAATTATTTTGAATTCGCCCAGCTTGTCGTACAGTTCGCGAGGCCGGAACAACCAAAAATAGGGAGTATTATTTGAAGTGTAACTGACGATTTGTCTGATTTTTGTTGAGCTTTTTTGCGTCAAAATTGTGCCGTACAATGACAGGCACTCCCGTATTTCTCGTGGCAAGATGACCAGTTGCGTACTCACTTTATAACGGTCACTTCAAAGCAATAAACCAAATCATCTACGATTTATCAATAAGATTACGCATGGACCGAAAATAAATCAAGCTTATTTTAAGTCACAAATAACATTATCAACATTGCTAAAAGAAGGCTTATAGTTCCGCTGCTCTCAGTTTCCAAAGATATATTACATCATTTATTAGAATTATACACAATTTAAGATTTAGGAATTCGCATGATTGATGCGCTAAATTGCGTTTAGTGGTCTTCAGAATCGCAAAGCATATAAAACTCGCGAATAAATATTACCTTTGTTCCATGATAAATACAACGTATTGATTTGTACAAAATTCGATGCAATTATTGAAAGTAAAGACTATGGCAATTTTGATCTAGTTTGAAATAGTAAACAGACGACAACGGAATTACGTTCCGATGTCAAAAAACGCAATATATGTTTAAAAAATCGAAAGCAATGATTGATAAAAATATTAGTAATCTTACCGCACCACCAAATCCTGTTACATAAATACGATTCAAAACGACTGACTTTATTCCTTTTCTTGGCTCCGCACGAAGTTGTAAATTGTCTCTTAAAAATACAACACCCTGATCAAGGATGTGTTTCCCCGACATTATCATACCTCATTTAAATCTGAATTATTATAATAAAATATCAATTGTAATTGAGTACAAACTAGAGGTTATTGGCGTTAATCACAATATCTTGATTTTTTAAATTTACCGCAGCTCAATTTTGTAGGCATCACTCATTCTCCAACATTCGCAACAAATCCAAATCACCAACATTTCACAATGGAGGATAGAGAATATCTTGAGGTCTTGGTGATGGTATCCCACAGAGATATTTTCAGTTCAGCGTGGTATCCATATCCAAACCCAGATCAGTCTATCGCTCAATCTGAGTCCACAACTTGTACTACCTAGCTCATTCGTGATCTTATTTAATATATTGCACGACGGAAAGATTTCGGTCATGTTATAAGCAGAATCCCGACTATCGTCAGCCTACCTACCACTTTTCAAAATTATGTCTTTTATTAATTTGTCACCAGCCTGTTCACTTTGTCGCGTATTATTACGACTTGATCTGTGCTAAAACAAAAATCTAATTTCCATCCCACTCCAATCTACCGAAACGAGACATGTCACCTTTTTGAGTAATATTTTATAGACGTAATCCCTGCCTCGGTATTTCGGATGGCGTCAGCACAAATTACAAACAGTATAGTAAGTGCAATAAAATATCGTTTGTGCACATGCTTGTAGCACGCATACACGTGTTAATTTCTTCCATGAGTAACAATTGCAACTTGCCTGCGCGTAGCCATAAATGTGAGTGGCGATCCAATAGTTGCCCACTTCCGTTTTGTCTTTATTTGTAGAAAACGTTTTGCAACGTTTCTTATCGACCCGCTCGCGGCATGTTATGCTCCGTAACTATTCTACTATTCAGATCAGTTATAGTTGCGTCTTCTCTAATCTAGTCTGTCACCAACATTTGAACTCCTCCTGCCGTACATCGCAACTTGATAGCTTGAGAGGCGAGCAACGAATTCATTAAAATTGGAGATCACTGTACCGCTATTCATGATTTCATAATTGCAGCGACTGAGAAGCAACTTGTAGCTGGTGGGGAGATCAGATCAACTAATGACAAAGAAAGAGACAAAATGGTGAAAATGAATGCGGTTCTAATTGCAGGGGATTGTGAAAATCTTACAGGTGAAAGAAAAAATTTGATTCATAATATTTTATGAATTTGAATCATGTGGAACCGGGATTGTCCCACACGGACGAGTGGTATTAAATTGTGACTGGTATGAATGCTGTCTAAAAGCGACTGTGACTTTGTTAATATGTTTTAGCGTTAACGGGACCGTTTTCAAAATTTTTTTTTGAACTTATTGTGAGATTGCGAATATGGGAAGAGATACCGGTCCGATATTGGAAAATTGAACGACGCCTTTATTAATTTGTCACTTATCGATCTTGATCGGTAAGTATGTTGATAGGTATTTGTCTGTTTGTCTGTCTGTCGTTTAGACACTTTCGTATGTTACGAAATATCTCACCAAAGCGAGGTTGAATCTGCTCCACATCTGCTCTTTTGCATGTGCATTCATCATATCTCGGACCAGAAGCCTATTGAATTTGGATGAATTGTCGTATCATTAGCGAGTTATTAATTAATTAATAATGGGACACGCGGTGTCGCTATTGAGTCAGAGCGAGGGATACACGCCGCTAGATCGATAAGTCGGCGGCCTCTGATCGCTATCTCGTTTATACGTCAATTCGTACGATAGTTTGATTGTTTTACGCATTAAACTGGGTATATAATTTACTCTTTTTTATTTTTTTTTTTATATGTTACCAATTTAAAGTTATCACATATGAGAGAGTTGGGGTTTCGGATTCCACTTGTAGAATAAAGACAGTGAGACTGCAAATTTGTATTTGTTTTTAACGTGTAGCGAAAAAGTTGTGTAATAAAATGTTTTATACATTCGCGAGTCCAACAATATGTCGGTACATTAGTTAGATAATTTAGTATAAAAATAGTTACGATTCCTTAGATTTCAAACTGCCATAATCTTTATTTGCAAGTTTGTCGCTTTTTCGAACTGAGATATAAAACGAACCTCACCACGTTATAATCGGGTGTGGGCGCGGAGACTTTATTTTTGTACCTGTTTCACTTTGGCCTGTTGAATGACTGACTTCTTGTAACAAAATTTTCTATGTTCGCAAAACGAGCAAAACAACATTCAAAGTTTGGATTGTTTAAAGAGAATCTTGAGCGCTTATATAGACATGTATACCGATTATTCATTTAAATTTTAAGTAATGTTTTGCCTTAGGCGCCTACCATGATTTGCAAATACAGATCCGACCCCGATCAACAATTTGGAAACTAACTGATTTGAAACTAACGCCAGTCATTGCATTTTGGCAATAGTAATGTAACTTTACAGAATTGCAGTGACAGCCGTCATTAGTTTTAAGTATTTATTTGAGGCTTCCCTCAACTATGATTGTTAATATTGTTTTGTGGTAAATTTAAAAATACGCGTAATTAGTGAATTGGTAAAATTTATCAACTTCAGCGCAGACTCATCTCGAGCACGACCAAAATACAAGTCGCAAAATGCGAGTGAGGCTGTGATATACATATACAGCCAACACATGTACAGGGTGATAAAAAAAAAAACAGAACCCATAAATTTGTTATTTACATCTACAGGAATGAAGAAAATTTAATATATTTTCAATGCTTGAACATCTGTTTTTGTATGATTATACCCGAATAGAGTTCAGTAATTTTGGACGTTTTGCACAAAAGTCATGTTCTCTTTAGAATATGTCCAAATAACCTTCTCGGCGTTGGAGACAGACGTGTATCCGCTGCGCATAATGGTCAATCACCCACTCATTTTCCTGCTGAAGCGAACTTTCTGCTGCCTGAGCGTGCCAATAGCAAAAATATTGATTACCTGGGCACAACATCACCGAAGAAAGTCGCGCATAGAACGTTAACCTCCGTAAAGAGCGCGGCATTAGTAGCCATTTTCAAACATTGCACACCCGGTCAATATTGACTCGAAGACGAAAATCAGGCCGTGAATAGGTTACAATATATGACGAGATATTAATTGAGATGATTAGTGGTCCAGCAAGATGGAGCGACTCCCTGCCCATATTAAATCACACATCACGCCATTGATTGACTGCAAAAGTGATTTCAATAAAGGCTGATTAGTAGGAAAGTGTGTCATCCTCATTTATTAGATTAAACCTTTCACATTTTTATCTGTGTATTCGAAGGACAATGTGTATCAGAACATCGTCCAAACGATTAGTGAACTCAAAACTGAAATTGCAGCAAGAATCCTCATAGCTCGCTGGCAAGTATTGGTCGCATTCTTTCACCTACAGTGCATTTTCAGAAACGGGTTTGTTTATAATTTGACAAGTGAAAATCCAACCAATTGTAATAAATTGATAGCTTCCACGCATCAGTCTGTGGTGGCCTCCATATGTCATCAGCCCGTAACCACACATAGAGTTTCCTTTGTTCGTGTTCCATAAATAGGTGCAGCAGAGGCAATTTGTGTTTCGTCAGACACGGATAAAGTACAAGCGAATGACATTGTGGGAAAAGATATCTATATCTTACGATTTACGACATTCTTGTATATTAGTTTTGCAATACGAGTTGAAAAAAAAGTATTAGATAAAACATAACATGGTTCATTTTTGTAAGCAACTGACTATATATTTAGTACGCCACGACTTTTGAGATGTGACTTCAGATAAAATCTGTTTTGAATATTTTAATATTGAATGAGCCATCTTCAAAATTTCTGTCTTCCAATATTATACTATTATGACGTTTAGCAGTGCCACCATATTCTTCAGGTTGCAAAGCGAATCCAGGAGATCCACAGCAATAAAAATTTCAGCTTGACAACTTTTCTGTTTCTCAGCACCTCACAAAGTGGGTATAAAAGATGGGTAAAAGCAATTCCAAATCGGAAGGATTATGTGTCTACCAAAAATAGTAACTTCCGCCGTGTCAATGGATGGTTGTACAGAACCTTGTTCGGAGTGAAACATCGTGAAAAAATGTATACTGTTTTGTTCCTGGAAATTGCTGGATACACAAACTAAAAGCGCGCTGCTGTCTACAAGGGGTCGAGTCTCAGGTTCATCCAACGATTAGGAAAAATATACGAAAAACTAGTGAACCAAATAATTTGAACAATCTGGAGAAGCCATCAGTCACGTACACGTGACAGGGACCTTAACACTTTTAATCGCAGATCTGCGAGAATGTCTGAGAATCCATTTTTTTTCATCTGTACTGTATTACTCAAAACCTGTAACAGATTATATAGTTAATAGTAAAATACAGTCTTCATACACAAGAGAGCAATGATTAAATATACGGACACATAAATAGTTTGTTGACTGGTCTGGTTTGCGGATCATCGAATTGTCTATCTGTCGATAGCCTTCGGCCGTAGAAAATAGACGTTTGAAACACCTTATCTTTTATTGCAATTCTGACAATATACACAGAATACAATGCGCACACAATTAGATCAAATCTAGTGCGACTCCAATTAGGAGATTTGAAACGTTTTTTATAAGTGAATAATTAGTCTATATCAGGATGTTTCAAATTTACGTTACTGGAATATTACTGGAAATGACATTTATATTTACATGGGATTGCACCGAAAGGCTATTAAAATATGAAATTGGATTTCGAGAAATTTTTAATTGCTATTGCGGGAATAACTAATTTAGTTTTTTTTTTTTATATATTTCAACTGAAATTGGGGTAAACAGGGTTGTTTATGCTATAGTGTAACATTTGATTGGTGGTATGCGCGTGTGTGCTATAAATTTGCTCGGTATTATAATGTTTCGGAAGTTTAAATTTTTGTAAAAGAAAAATTCGTAATTAAAGTTCTAAGAAATTGAACACCATTACTGCATGTCAACAACTTAACGATATTTGCTCATAAGAGTACACGTTGATGTAAAGTCGTTACGTTCAGAGAAACGCTACGCGTGTCTATATTTAGTATTCCAATGAAAGCTATAAATTGTTTTGCTAACGCGATAGCTGGAGGAATCCTCGACAGAACACTAGAATTAGGAATGTGAAAATAATTTGCGACCTCAATGTCAAGTTATTTATGAAAAGTATTGCGCTGATATTTTGTATGTAGGATGAGCACCAAAGCTTGTCATGATCTGGAACAAAAAGCGTTTGGGTGTAACAGTCACTGATTTAATCAAATTTATGGTATAATGAATGTTGGGGGGTACCACAGAAATAACTTCATATTCATCATATATTTGTTATTGGATAAGATGTTATCAAAGAAAATCTTAGAACATCAACCCGACAGATGAGTTCGACACAAAGCGACAGAACTATGGTGACTGTACTCGGCAATTTATAACTAATATATATGTAATCAAGCTGAAGTTACTGTATTTCATCGTCTAAAACAGCCATAACCTCTATGTATAAGTGAATGGAGGTGTCATAGTATGTTCGGCAATACCCGCTTAAATAAAGTCGATTTTGTTCCAAATCCAATAATAATATTACAATGGAATTTCAATATAAATATATATATTTATTATGTGCTGATATTAGAACGTCCGGTCTCAGAGTATAAACTGTCTCGCGGTGTCAGCGGTTGCTTTGAACTGTAAAAATTGTTAATTTATTGCAGATGACTCGCAAATAAACGAGAAATTGAAGTGCTCAGAGGTGAATTTTCAGCAGAAACGATGGATGTGATTTCCAATAATTTGTCTAAATTCTAACAAACCTTTCAAATTAATTACATGGTGAAATTGAAAAACAACCATAAACAGGCTTTTCATATTTGTTGTTGTTGATGTACGCAGGTCGCAAACATCTATATAAATACTCATGAAGTTGACTGTTATCCTTCCCTTTGCATTAGCATTGTTTTCCCTCTATCATGGTTGCGATGCAGCCACATACTTGATGAGTGGATGCCGAGGATATACTGGGATAGAATTACAACCTGGACAAAATTTCATGCTACAACATTGCAATAAATGCACGTGTTATGGAACAGGTGAACCGGGCGGAAAACAAGCTTATTGCACCACGTGAGTAGTTTCATAAATACTGCTCGTGTATTCTTTGCACATGCGACCGCAATATTTCATCATCAACTTGTCTCCACTTGAAATATCCATTCCTTCCAATGAGCGATTTTCAATAATAAAATGCACCTAGGGGGAGTTTGGAATTGGCAACTACGTATGGAATTCAAAATTTCAAGAAGAAATAAGAGGTTCTTTTTCGTATCAAACTCACTAACAACAGGTTCCCTCACTTCATGAAACTTGTAGCTTACCGATCTTATAGTTGCTTACTGAACCATAGCTTTAAAATCAAGAGCGAGCGGGTTTTCACGGATCAATCACTGGTTTAATAATATTCAAAATTTTCGGCCAGTTGTCGAATTTCATTAAGCCAATTATTATTATTTCAAGGATTCCTCGCCCGACTGGCCATAAGGATTGTAAAGCTGTGATGGATGAAAAAACATGCTCCTATCGTTGGGTAACCAAGAAGAATTTAATTGTCGCCTGCAAACATCCGATTATGGGCGTAATCGGTTAACATCCTACGCCAACCTTATTCATTTAATGTTTGTGGAGTCAAACAATAAAACGAAATATAATTTATAAAGCTGTATCACGGCAAGGGAGGCATGGGAACACACAGTACATCAAAACTTGTGCGATGATACATCACTTCATATATCTGAATATACAAATATATATGCTTGGCATACATAACATGGGATAGTCGTCCAATGGGATAGCCTACTTATTTAATAAAATCTGTTGGTGGTATTTCTGTTTCATTCACTATTTGTTCTACAACACCAATGGCCGACTGAATTCGACCATTGAAAAACATTCTTAATATATAAATATCGGACAAGAATTACATTTGAATCTCTGTTTTTCAGTCCCCACCACTAATGCAAAAATGTGAGAATTGGGAAGAACACCCTTATAAACATAGAGAATTAGTAATTATTCATTTAGAGTGAGAAATAATGTGAATTTCCAGCGAAATCTGCATTCCCAACGGATAACTACTAATATTCTTATTTTGGGCGTTGGCGGAGACCTAGTACAAAATATCCCTATATTCCAATTATATATAATAAAATAATAATTAGATATTATCCCAGTTAAAATAAAATCTATGTTAGTGAATCATTGTTGGCATTATTCATAATACGATGTGTAATAAGCATTGTGTCGCTGCTATAAAAGAGCGAAGTGTATCGACACAATGGAAGTTATTACGAGGCGCTGTGATTACCCTACACCCCCATAACATCAAAGTATGACACCACACTTTAATTTCTAACTAAAGTGAGCTATAATTGTATTTGAATATATAGAATATGTCATATTTATTAGTGTAGAGCAGGGGTGGCGAACCACTGGCCCGCGGGTCTCAAAGTGACCCATCGCGTTTTATTCGTGACCCGCCCAGGCACAAATAAAATAAAAATGCTAACATATCAGTTAGTTGGGAAGTCATGGCTGCGAACGCTCATATTCAAATTTTTAATTTCTGTTTCGGTATTGTAATTTTCAAAACCCCTAATCTTGGATGCATGTCTGCATCGCTGTGTACCGTTATTTAGCTATTGGCTCTGACATCGTTTATGACATATTAATGCAATTGATCTGTTCATTTCTCGCAACATCTTGTCTCTTTCGGAAGTGCATCTGCAGACTGTTCTAGGCCTAGGGGTTATACAAGAACTAGATGCTGCTTTGCATTTTATTAGTTCCCGCCTACAATGCCGTTGGGAAAACAAAATCTCTTAGACTTAAAATGAAAACCTAGAAATAACAATGGGGCAGTGTAAAAGTGCCTTAACGTGGTTGAAAGCTGGTCAAAAAATATAACACTATCAGACTGGAATTCCCTCCAAACTGTTTGAAACCGTAAAATAATTTGCCGCATCATCCTAAACGTTTTTGGTAATTCATATGCGCGTTTTCGTACTCTAATTTCATAAAATCGAATGCCATTATAAGTCCCTGATAGAAGTGCAACATAAGTAAAGCCCAAATCTACACCAGCAGAAGCCTATAAGATTTGTTTCAGAAGTTTCTTATATATACAAACATTGATTAAATATCTGTGACCCACTCTCTTCTGTTCCGCGAGTAAAATATAACCCTTTTGGACCCATTTATTGAAAAAAGGTTCGCTATCTCTGGTGTAGAGGGTGTGTCAAATACATAACACATTTTGTGAGTAACAAATAGTTTTATCGCTAACAGTAAATTATATACCACCCCTGAATTCCGAAACCCAAAATGAAGTGCTGCGAGCTGAATATTTCTCAATCCGTCCTCTGGCCATTACGATTGCCACCGGCTTGGAATGTACCAATTCACATAAATGCGCATGTTCAGTCTCTATTTTGATTTTCGCCACCATATTTTTTCATTTAATTAACCGTCGCCGTCATATCTCCAAACGAGATATAGGGTGTGCGCAACTGTCTTCATACCGGGTAAATGCCAATGCCACGTCAACTTATTGGTGGTTTGTCATCGTTTCAAAAGAAATTCGACTCCCGGGACCACAAGATAACGAACGTTAGACATCCCAGAACGCCACGCCCGACCAATATGACAGCAATGTGTTACGAGAACTGTAAAAAATATTATCTTCGCAAGAGTTCGAAATCCGAATGTGATCAGATTTTATTATATGCTATTAACAACAGTGATTACCGAAAAGAGTGGAAATCTTTTCCAGTTACCAACGGGAATTCTCACCTACCACAACTGGTATTCAGCACGAACCGGCACAAGACAGCAAAATGCCAGGGTCAAGCACAAACTCTTGTTCTCTTATACACTACGAAATATTTCTTCAAATCTGCGCCTAACTTAGTCTTCCGCCAGTTATGGTCAAACTTCTAGGTCTGTTCTATACTCCCTCCAACGGTAGAAAATGAAACAAATATAGGCAACAAGCAGTGCCTATCACCCTACCTAAAAATTTCCTTGGATAGCTTTCTGCTAAACGAATATATCCAGTATATTTTGAGTACCAAATGAACAGACATGATTTGTTATCGCCCTAAATGAGATTCTTAATCACAGTCAGCAGTACACAATGATCACATAGAAAAAACATGCAAATGAGATACAGAAATCGTGTCTAAATTCTACAAAATCACTTGCTGATCGAAACAATGATGAAAGCTTTTGTCAGCCACCCGAACAATTTTTTACCAAGAAATATTTGCTCAATAAATGGTTGAGAAACATGGTAGCTTTTCCAGATCAACAAGAAATCGGCATTCCAACTCGAGGTAATTTTAAAAAAATGATTCGGATTAACAGAAGTTGACATTTTTTCGGTGCACAACAGTAGCAATTGTATGTGTGTCATTGAGCCCCTAAGAGAATAAAATTTTCCCCTGTAACCTAACGTAAAAAGAAAGAAACAAGACTCCCAATTGACAAGGTACTGCACATATAACATAAATGAAGTAATGAAACTTGCACAGTTAAACAAACATGATTTTTCAATGTAAAAGAAATAAAAATGAAATTAAGGAACAAGGGCTGAACAAAGACACTCAAGATTCACAATTTGTGTTATTAGGATACAGGGTACAGCGCAGGGTAATGTAGTATTCCATTTTTTCAAAAATCCAACAGGACGCTGTTCTACAAGGCAATGATTGTCGTTCTACAAGATAATGATTGAAGTACATAAATGCTGGTAATTTCACTTTATTTTTGAAATTTTTCCTAGTCGAACAGGTATACGTATAAAGGACAGCATGGGCAGCATAACTAAATTGACTGTAGGACAATTAATGCATAAATATAATCAATATGCAAGGTTGAAAATAAACAGCTGAAAATAAAATAAGTTTTGTAATGGGAATAGGAATCCAATTCGATGTCTTAGCAAGTAAACAGAATCAAATTCCAAACAGTAATTTCATGTCTTGTAGAGTTAGTTTTTTTCTGTCTTCCAGTCCAGCACCATCCATTACTGCTTTGGCTATAGACAGCTTGTGTTCTTGGAGCTATAAAAATTGAGTTTTTACATTGCTATAGTAATATTTAGCATAGCAGTTTTTACTGAGTATCTCAATTGAGGGCAAAAATCACAAGATTCATTATAGTCAGGCATAGGAATGAAAAAGCTAGTAGAAGAACAAGAATTTAGACAATTTTCCTTTGCTCAGTGCTGTCTTTTGAGTAATGGCCTCAAAACCTCTCAATGAGGGACTTTCATAAGGTTTAGAATACAAAATGGAACAAAATTTCTGTTGCAAATAAATATTATAAAAATACCAATCAGCTTTTTCCTCAGAAAACACATTTTGAATTTCCATTTAGAGACAATTCATACCTTTAAAATTCTTTCTTCCACAGTGTCTTCCACAACAAATTTATGAACAAATACTGGCTTTGTTTGACCAACTCTGTACACTCTATCAAATGCCTGTTGAGTAATATAAAATATATGTTCATGGTTGTAGGTTGACAACCCTAAATCTGAGAAAAGCGAATGATTAGGACTAATTTCACTATGATAGCCTTTAAATGTTTGCTAGCAGCATATCGGGTCTCTAACTCTATAGTGACAATCGGGTTGGAGAAAGTATTTTCACCACTTTGTTAGTTAGTATATTCATCACACAACTATGGAAGTAAACTAAATTAAAACAAAATTACCTTTTTAAATTGGATTATGAGTATAATGACTGATATAATTATTTGAAAAACTTGCCATTCTAAGTCTCCTTCGTTGCTACTGACATGGAAACAATTGCACCTGCCTCATACTATACAACAAATCCCGCTACAAATTTTTGAGATTCACCTGATTTTCAAGTGCAGGATTCCAGTGCATATCCAACATGAACAAATGATTTCCTCCTATTAAATTCAATCCAACTCCACCGGCTTGAAGAGATAGAAGAATGATCTGGAATTAGGAAGGTTTGAAGAATTTAGTTTAAACAGAAAATAGATTTAGACGTTAGTTTATTTAGGAAGAGCTAACATGTATAATTTATTGGAATACTGTTGTTATTAAAAACTGATCCTATATTGCTGATAGCCTGATATGGTTTGTGATTTGATCATAATGTTACAACATTTGACGGCGCTACAGAAGTATGTGTACCAATATGGAAGTAACTAATTTGTTCGTCTACTTTACATCAAGTTGCGTAAAAGGACGGAAACCTATTTACTTGGCTAACTCAAACATTCCCCGAACTCATAATAGAACTAAAATGAAGAAAATTGGAATCAAATTATGGCCTAACCCTAAACTGAACACATACTACGGGAGTACCCATTTGACTATTACAACCCATCCAGGTTGTGAAATTTGTATAGACTATATCAAATTCCAAGTTCGCAGGTTACTCCATTTGAGTAAATGATTATAAGTCATCCTGTTCCAGGCAACGGTGTAAAATAATATATTAAACAAACTGGGAATATGGATAGACATATTATGCTTCAATCGCTTTTTCTATACAGCGGTATTGGGAAGTCATATAGACAGTAGGATTGATTCATTACATTGCGTGATGGTTTAATAGAAAGGTTCCCAAACTTTTCACTCTCTAGATGACCTTACCTCCAGTAGTACAAGTCACAACATATTATTAATATTTGATGATGTTGATATAACTTTAACAGATTTGATCATTTTATGTCAAGTTCTAAACGAGGATGATTATTTTTCTAGAAAATGGATTGATATTTTGTGGAAGATGGCAAGTTTGAAATATGGAGACAGACATTTTGAGAAATCATTGGTCTACTGACTAAAATCAAAAATATTTTGTCACAGAGTGAGATTATATTTCTTGCCATTTGTTAGATAATGAATTTACCTTGGGATTCACTGGATTTCTATTGAAATCATCAACCATGTCCATTCTTTTCTTTGCTGGCACACTACCTTTTATGATAACATAAGACATATTTGATAATTCCAGATGATATGCAACAACTTCTAGCATGCTTGTCCACTGACTCACAATAACACATTTATCATCTGGTTTTTCAAATCTGAAAATTGGAAAGAATGTTTAGTGTTTACGTCCATATCAAGTTCACATGTTCATATTAATTGTTCTCAATAGAATTCCAGTACCTAAAATACAAAGTTATTGTAAAAGTACCGCATTATCATTTGCTGGGGTTGGATGTAATCATTTAGGTAGACAGTGCCAAATCAGATTGCGGTCCTCCCAAAAATAATCATTAATTAATGCTATCTGATAATTGATTACCTTAGTTTGTTCAACTCATCGAGAACAAATTCCAATTTTCCGCTCATAGACGACTTGTCAAAATATTTTGATTTGTTTTTCCCAACATAACTTGCCAAGTTGATATCAGCCATCTTTACTGTTGTTAGCAAAAATATATACTTGTTAGTAAAATGTTAGTAATAAACTATATTTCATATATTCTAACCTATAGATAAAACACTGTAAAACATGAAATTTTGATTTAGACCATGTGAGTACAACTCGGCATATGTCTTCATTTACATGTTTTGATTATGTTTTTATGAAGACCGACCACTCATCCTCCCACTTAATTTACCTGAATTAGGCAATTCATGAAATTAAATTTTTTTTTGTTAGAGATAGAACAGAGATATCAGGTTCCAATGGTTATATTAAAGATAAATTATTGCAAAACTCCAGATATTATACAAAACAGCACATGAATACCTGGAGTTTTATTGATATCCATGGTTTGAAACATATCTTCCAATGCCATTTCTTTTTTTTCGTTGCTCAAAAGTTCAGGGTCGAATGACTGCTTTAACAAATTCAAATGTCCGCAGCATTGCCGAAGTCTGAAAAGGTATATCAAATAATTTAAATCCATCAAATTTAAATTCATATTGACTATTGAGTAAAGACTTCGATTATCAATTAACATTATATTTTAAACTAGATTTTCAGGGAGTCGTAAATTCTTTTAAAAAAATTTCAAACATTCAAATAAAAATTTCAGTAAAACAAAAAATGACATCTCATTTTTCAGTACTGATGATTCTTATCTGTTGAATTAGTTTAATACAAGGTCAAGTGTGAAGCGTTTATGTTTGAAAAGGAATATTAAAAGTTATTGGAGAATGTCACTGACAAAACAAAAAAACAGATAAAATACAGATGTCACATCTAGCTGACGCCAAGACCACTAGATGTAAATACTGAAAATGCATCACACAGACAGCAAAAAATGGGTAAGTTATAGTTTTGTCTACCTCAACAACATAACTAATAAAGTAGTTGCAGTCATTTTGTTCTCATTATTTCCTCCCTTAGATGAACTACCAAGATGACCAGATGCACTACTTTTAGGATGTTTCTTGTTATCTTGAAATTTTCTGAATGCAGCTTGAGAGTCTGATTGCAATTTTTGATATACCTAGATTAAAAAAATTGTGTTAACATTGTGTTAATGGAAATGGAATTTTGCATGCAGATATTTGCCCATCTATACAATGTTACCTCTCTTTCCACGTCATTCAGTTTCAACTTGTGAGTAACAAATGTCCGCTTCGGCAAATTGACTAGTGGTTTTCCAAATGTATCGCTTTGTGATTTCTCTCTAAATCCATTATAAAAAAGTTTAAAGAAAAGTTATTAGAAAAAAAATTGATTAGTGCAATGTTGGTAAATAAATACAATGTTTCAAACCTAAATTATACCCAATCCTAAAATCATAAAGGCACAGGCCAATAAAAAATACCTTCTCAAAACGATGCATGAAACCAATGTCTTCAATCTCTCTTTTCCATTGGTTGTTTTATTATCTACTTGATGTTTCCAAACCTTATATTCATCGAATGGTCGACAGTGTAAAAATTTTAACATTGCATACATGTCTGTAAGATTATTTTGTACTGGAGTACCTAAATGGAATGATATACATTTGAATTTCTTGTACAACTAAATTCGACATTCCCATCTTTGATATTGGTAAGTTTAATAAATCATGTCGGTGATGGTCAGATAGTTTACACTACGAGTACTTGTATGTTAAAAATCTTGAGTACAGGTACACCACATACACATTGAGAGTGAAATAAATTGGCTATGGTTAGGAAAACTACATATTCCTATCCTCCAAAGTCTAGTAGCATGTAGTAGCTTACACTAAAGCCATACAGTGGAACAAGAGAAGATTCTTATAATAAGCCTTTTTCCCACTAGGCTGGAAAGCTGAAGCTCGCTCTAAGAGGTGAAGCTAGAGCCGTAGCTACCAGAAATTTCAGTGGCATCACCTCCTAACCATCTATTCAGTTTATTGTGAAATATTTTTTTCAATATATATATATTATTCTCTAATATTTAGGTAAAAGTTTTATAGTTTTGACTAATACTGCTGCAAAACTGGTGGCAAAGAATAGTTTGAATCTAGAACAGAAATTCTGATTTCCAACCACCGCCCAAGTTATGCATTTAACAATACATTCCCAATTAAATTTATTATACCACTATATAAAATTATAAATCTTGATACCAGTGCTATTACAACCATATCAGTGAACATCAAGAGTACCCGAACTCTTCAAATGAGACATTTCCAAATATAAGCAAACTTTAATCCAAACTTTATCATTATAAAATCAGTAAATATTACCAGACATTGCCCATCTTGACTTTGCTTCCAATTTACATGCAGCTTCAGATGATTGGCTTTTGAAATTTTTAATCTGATGTGCTTCGTCAAGTATTATACGATTCCATTTGATTTGCATGAGTGTATTTTCTGTCAATACAAATAGTTGGGAAAGTTTATCAATAATCTTATATTCAGTGTTCAACCGCTAAAACACGACATTAGGCCTAATGAAGAATTTAATCTTGTAAGTAGTTATATTGAAAACATAAAATTTTTAAGTTTAGAGTATATAAGTTTCTAACCTTTCTTTTCTTCAGCTTTTGCTGATAAACATCGTCGCACTGTAACAGAGCAAGTATTGACTTTAGTTCAAAATTAGAAAAATACATACCGGGCATATATATTATAAAAATATATTAACTTGGCAAATATATCTCCAATAATCTTATCCACTGATTATATTTGTTCGCAAAATTGCTCCAGTGGCAATACATTTTTAAGTTTGGTGTGGTGAATTACTACAGATCCAAGCAATGTTAATAAGGGCGGTGGTTTTAAATAATTTTCTAGTTGTAATTCAATGACAGCTGTTAGCATGAGGCATTATTTGGACAATTGTAATTACATTTCCCTACCAGTATATCCTCAAGTAGAAATTACATAGACATCTTCCTACCTATATCATAAGTTGTAATAATCACATCAAATTCAGCAAGTCTTGAAGGTTCTTTCTCCCTGGAACTTCCATGAAATAGATGAATACTGAGAAGACCTTTATCACACCTACATGATACAAATACTAGTTACTGTATATAGAGTAATTGAAATAATTTCCAATAATATTCTAATCGATACTTCCTATCATACCATTCGGATAATATTAAAAAAATATAATAAGCAATGAAAGATTTATCATTCATACACCAAATGCCGATGCAAAAGTTACAAGACCTGTTACGAATTTCTTTTTCCCAATGAAAGAGTAAAGACGCTGGAGCTATAATTAAAGTTGAATCACTCTCAATCAATGGAGTTTTTTCTGAAAAACAAACAACCGAGATGAACAGCAAAAGGACAAAAAAGAAGAGTTATGATTCACACAGTTCAATTATGAGTTTCAGAATAAATTTTCTAAAAATTTCATTCCAGTATTAGCAAAATTATGTTAGGAATTTCAACGCAGATATGCAATATGAGTATATTTTTATGAGAAGTACTGCTACTGTAGAACAGTCCTTTAGAAGTTTTATTAGAGACATAGAATGATTTCATAAATAATTTTTTGTTACTATCACTGTACAGTAGATAGATGTTAATTATACCGAATGAGTTTGAAACTAAATAACTTAGGTATTTGCGGTATATCTATATTATTTCAGAGCTTCAAATAAAAAAGTTATCCTGGGTGTGTGCTCTTTTTTTTTTAAATGTGGAATGTATACTAAATCTTACAATTGTAAATCAACCATGCTTCAAAAAACAAATCCAATTACCTGTTTCACCAATGTCACTTTCTTCTTTACTGCCACCTTTAACTTCCCGTTTGATTTTTGATTCAGTTTTCTCATTTTCAATTAAAATAACAGAATCGTCTGATTCACTTGAGCTATTAAAGTCTTTGATGTCATCCTCTTCTTTAATCTGGATTTTAGAGTCTTTGTTTTCATCAGACAATTCTCTTTGTTTCAATATAAGACAGATCATTGTAAGAGTTTTGCCAAGACCCATATCATCAGCCAGAATTCCACCAGACATAGATTGTTGTTCTCTCCACACTAACCAAGCAAGTGCTTGTCGTTGATGGGTCATTAATGTTACCTGTAGAGAAACAGGGTTTATTTTAGTATATGTGCATTATACGTTTTGGTTCATGGTTATGATTTATGGTACTCCTGAAGTATGCGCACCAAGATGTCGCACAACCTGAACCCTAACCTGGTACACAACCTGAGTTCAGGTTGTGCGCTATTTTGGTGCGCATACTTCAGGAGGTCCTGATTTATTTTAACCGTTGACTGACATCTTGGGTACAAATCCTCTTTATAATGTACAATTTTTTCAAAAATGATTACGTCATCGCAAATTTATCTCCTGTGGCGTTTTAATTTTAAAAAATATCACTAACTGTATTGGTAAGGACGCAATAAATGTGAAAAATAATTAAATACCAAGATTGCTGATTATGAAAATTTGACAATGATAAATTCAGAATCAGTTTTCGGTCGAAGTAGCCTATATTATAGTTCACAATTTTATTGCAAAATCATATACCTAATGTCATCCAACAAGTGTGCAGTTAATGCTGTTTTTCTTATGGTATCTCAAAATAGAATTTGCACATCAAACACTGAAAATTTGTCACATAAATGACATTTAATAATGGAATCAGGTTTTACTAAAATACTTCCATATGTGCAAAGCATGCTGCATATCATTTTGTAGGAGAGCAATCATGAAACTATCTCGCTTAATGAATAATTTTGATTGATACTGGGATAAGACCACACAAATTTACTTTGCAGCCATTGTGACGTAACAAGCTAAAATTATAAATTATTATGTCAAACGTCATGCAAAGGTTAACCGGTTAATTTTACCGTTATTTTAAGTTAAATTGTTTTCCTTGAAATTCTCAGCCCTAGCGTTTACACAAAACTGCATTTTCTTACTCAATCTTAGAAAATGACCAAGTATCAAGAAATGTTCTTATATGGACCACACATGCATACATCTTTTGCTCGAATTCATTTATCTAACCTTCAGGCCATCAGGATCATCCAGTTCTCCTGTGGGTTCAGGTCTCGTTTCCAGAGACTTGTGAAGGTCCTCAATTGCAGCCTTTGTTATCTGGAAATAATAATAAAGATCATGAAACTCATTTCAGTATTTGGTTATATCTCGGATACTTAATAGTAAATACTACCCAAAATTAGGGTATGAATAATTTTAAACATTTTGGCAATAAAAATGCTGACCAGCTGACTGAATGAAAAGCGATAATAAAAAGCTAAGCTTTTAAATTTTAGATTAAATATTCGAATATGAAAAATTCTCAAGAAGATTAGAAGTACAACTATAATATATTACCTGGCGAACTTCAGTCAGACGAGCACTTGTCATTCTTCCTCCATATAACGGACCATCGTTAAATTGCATTGGACCCATATCATATGCACTAAGATCTAATTTTCCTGTTCTCCCCCCAAATGGTTCCGCTTTCGGGAACGTAAGTTTTGTTTGAGTAAGTTTCCTATCAGGAGCAGAGTTAAAAGCCATAGGAGGTGCTATCATTACAGCACCTTGGGCATCAGGCTTTCTTGAATATGACTCTAACCATGGTCGTGTATGCTTAGGCTTTGCATCAGCGTTTGAAAGAGGTAGTTGATTCTCTTTGTCAATGAGTTTTGAAGGAGTTGAATCATGACTTTTATCTTTATTTTTGCTTTTCATGGATAATTTTTGCAGTTCAAGTTCCAAATTGTTTATTTCATCTTTCAGTCTTCTACCACCATCTGGAAGTTTATCTAGTTTTAAACTGCGAAAAAGTGTTTTTTTCTTACCTATGTTCTCTTTCAGTCTCACAACTTCAGAATCCTCTAGTCTTGGGGCCATTTCAGCAGAATTAGGCCCAGTGGCGGAGACTACAATTGGCCCTTTCCTCATTGCAGGAACAACGCATGGGGGACCAACACGAATTTTTCCTGAGCTTAAATCTATAGGCTTCGGTTTTGGTCTCCGTTCGTGCTTTTCTCTGTACAAATTTTTTTCAACTATTTCACCATGTTTTGAAGAAACCTCTTTTTTACCGTGAACTTTGACATCATGAGGATGTGGGATCGAAACGAATGCTCCGGAGTTACCATTACTATACGTGCCATGTTGGTGTTTATCATGCTTGTGAGTTTGTTTCCTGCTATCCTGGTTCTGCATTTGATGATTTCGTTCAAGTCTTGTAACTGCTTCTGCTCTAAAATCCAGTTTACTATCACGACCAATGTGTTCTTTAACATCGAAGCAAAATTTATCACCCCTCGATATTCCTGATGTAATACCACAATTTCGCATTGTCGTCATATGAAAAAATACATTATCGTGATTAGGGACCGAAAAAAATCCATATCCTTTATCTTCTTTATAAACTGTGACAGTTCCACAATATCTTGTTCCTACAGTCAAAGCCTTACGATTGTGGGAATGATCGTTTGAATTACTGGAACTTACCTCGGCCATTAGGAATATAATACAATACTGAAACTGAGATCAAAGCATTGTCAGATGTAAAACCAAATTAATATTTTTAATATTATTCGAAGTTAATTAAATAGATTAATAATCAGGCTCAACCCTAAATAATCAAACAAAGCAAAAACAAATTCAAACCATCGAAAATGAATAATAAAACTTAGGTAAAACAATGAAATGCATAATTCTGTCCTAACACTTGCATAGAAATTACAAATTAGTTAATATTACTTGTTGAAATTTGCAAATAGAAATGCCTATTAAAAATGGCTTTGATGTAATATAACACTTGAATAGACATGTTTCATTTGAATAAATATATAAGCAGTATATCAGTACAGCAGTATATTATTGTATTTCACAATTCATAACAATAATGTAAAATGTAGCATTTTTTATGGAATGAAAAAAAATTTTGAATGTCAAAACAAAATGATTCTATATTTATTATTTTATATTAAGAATTAGTTATTATTACTTTATCGAAGACTCATAAACTAATACATAAAATTCCTAGTCTGAATAAAAAAAAACTGTAATCATGGTATTTGAGCAACTTGAGCTTCTAACATCAGCAGAGAATTTTGAATTTTTTTAATGCTTTGACCAACTTTATACACAGGAACCATTGCTTTATCAAGTTCCTCACAATGAGCAATCAGCATGTACATCGATTTCATTGAGTCATCAATCTCAACTCCCATAGCTTCAATTGCACTGCTATATGTTTGTGAATTAGCCACAGTAATTGCTGATGTCTCGTGTAGTTTATTAGTCAGTTTCTTAACTATATTGCCAAGGCTGTTAGAGAGTTTTTCTGTTTGCCGTTCAAGATCATCCAGTACAGTGCTATCAATCGCAGGAAAGTCATCATTCAAACCAGACATATTGCAACATTGGTTTGTTACAGTAGCCTACTGAAGTACCAAACAAATATGTATATACTGATATAATCTGCAACTATTGAACAGACACAGCTGGCATTACTCTATTACAGTTTTACATCACATATTCAGATATTATTGTGAACTGGAACAGATATGAATTATTCATTGCACAAAAGTTTGTTCTAAGACTTTTCAATTTCTTACAATATTTTTACATCACCAATCATAGGCAGTGAGCTGCCCTGTACAATGTGCTTCAGTGACAAATTTATGCATTGCAGCTAGGGCTGGGCGTTTCGAAACGTTTCGAAACACTGATATGTCGAAACGGCGGCGTTTCGACCTTCGAAACGGATATTATGACGTCATAGCAAATGCAACCTGTAATTAGTGTCCAATTCGAATTTAATATCCGAATTTATTCGAATATCGTGACTCTCAAATATCGTTTTCAGTGTTTATAAGAATATTAAATATTGTGCAAACATCCAAGCGCCGCCGTCCACGTTTTGATCTGGCCACTGCTTTGTCATTGAGCAGAAACATTCGTGGAAATATCATTATTATTTATCCTCCCGAATTAGCATCCAGTGATATCCTTTTGTGGATTTAATTGTGGAAAATAGATGTCATTATAGGCTACATTAAATTCCATGGGTAATAATGGTATTCACTTCATTCATAATTCACTGTTTACACTGACAAAGTCACAAACGTGTGTTTCGTTTCGATTCGAAGGCAAAATATTTCGAAACACCAGTGTTTCGAAAATGCCCAGCCCTAATTGCAGCAAACTATGCAATCATACTTTTGCTATCCATATTCAAATATATCCTCGTGATGATTTTAACTTAGCACATATCCTGATATCGCGTTTCAAATGCAGAGAGTATACCAAAAAAATCCGGAAGTTTATGGACGACGATGTCACAGAGTAATAATAATATGTCGACGATAATGAACCCCAAATCACTGAATTATGCTCAACATAACCATGCCAAGGATTCCTCCCCAAGTGTAGGCTATTACGGTACGTATTACAGTATTATGGAATACGCAAACCGAATTCCCCCGCGAAGAGAACGATGACCCATTTTTTCTCTTTCAATTATAACACGTGATTTCACAATACCTGCACGCATGACTTCACTCAAGACGATTGCTCGAGGCGGGAGGGTCTACTTAGCACATCGCATTTCGCTAGCCATTCTGTAAACAGGCTTCCTCTCTTCCTTTGAATATTTTGGCGTCTGCCTATCATTACAAATCAGAAGTCAATCATGATGGACGAACAAAATCAAGATGCCAACTCGGCGCTCATGGAACTTGATAAAGGTAAGCCTGCTTGTAATAATCGACTCTTAGGTCAGTGGTACAATGAATACAACATATGAACAAATAAATAACATAAAATAATTTATTTGAACTCGCCATCGTACAAAAAATGGCATAATAAGGTTTTAACATGGCATAAAAGTAAAATTCTATTGTTAATATATTTGCCTACTGTTTGTATGCTTACGTTTTGGATTGTTTTGATTAATGTTGATGTAACAAAATAGAATAATGGATACATAACATGGGCAATCTCACTTGTGACTGTATGACCATTTACACAATATTGAAAATAGTATATATCAGTACCGGGTATATGGAGTTATTTTACTTGTTTCTGTGCAAAAATAGTCTGTTCCTACTGTCCTATATTAGCATTTCACTGGCAGACTGGTAAGTGTAAAGAGTTAGATATAGGATAGGATTTACTTATTTATCCTGGGGGAGAGCAAAGTCAATAAAACGGCTTAATCCATTGATGAACCACAGCCTACCGTTCGGTTACCAGTCCATGTGGAATATGGGATTAGTTAGTCAGGTATTCGTTTTTCGATGCATGAACTTGATGGTGGAGGAAGCTGTACCGACCACCATTCCATCCCCCGCAAGATTCGAACCTGAGAACCCACGCAGAGCAATCAGAGCATATCAGTAATGCTTAGCACGAAGCGCCACACCGCCGAGCCATGAATTTTTGCTATCTTTTAATTTATGTAACATAACAGTACCACAGTATCCTGATATTCAAATATTATTTTATTCAATATTCTTTCAAAGGTCTTCGTGCTCAAAAAGTTGGCCAGCAATGTGAAGCAATTGTTCGATTTCCTGGATTATTTGAGAGATTTCCATTCCCAATTCTTATCAACTCTGCATTCTTGAAGCTGGCAGATGTGTTTCGTGTTGGGTAAACATCAGATTCCTTATCAGAAATGAATATTTCTTAAAAATAAATTTGGTTAAAGCTATAGACTAATTGTGTTAGTAAAAACGGTAGCGTAAAGCAGCCTTTTTTATTAATGATGATCAAGCATTTGAAGTAATGAAAATAGGTATGCACTGATACAGTAATGAAGAATTATGAAATGTGTTGCAATTTTATTTGATATGTGTAAATCAACACATGTATTTATATATATACTATAACTGAATCTCTTCATATTATCTTTCCCTCAAGCATCGTGTTTTGATACTTGATGTTAGATGAAGCGCAGTCAATCTATTTTCGTATTCAGGTTGTCAGTTTGAATCTTGATTAGTAAAGCATTAGCGTTTTTATCATTTCACTAAAAGCATTTTTGTCACGAAGTAGGTACAGTTCTTGTTAGTTTGAATAAGTCGCATGTATATCATTATGGATAGAAATTTTTGATTTTCAAACATCGACAAACTGACAAATTATTTTTTCAGGAATAATTTTCTTCGTCTTTGTATACTTCGAGTGTCTCAGCAAAGCAATAAACATCTTGATAAAATTCTTAACATAACAGAATTCAGAAGAAGAATTTCAGTAGTTATTCATAGCAATGATCCATATGCAAGAGCAATAACTTTAAGGTTGGTTTTCTAAAAATTAGTTCCTCAACCTTGTTCTACCAGACCGGCTATCGCATACAATCTCAATATTTTTTTTTGTCCATTTTTGTTGCAATTAGGATCTTAATCTATTCATTGTGAACCATTAGTAGGCCTATTTCGAAAGCTGGATCAATACAATTATATTCCTTACCAAATGTATTTCATCATGCTAACTACTTATATTTCACTATTCATTTTTTATTTTTTTTAATATGATGCTCACACACTTTGTTCGCTCTGAGCAAGGCTCTTTACGAGCTGCCACTGATCTCTAACAATACGTTAAGAGCTACCTACTATTTATTTGGGAGGACCGAGATCTTTCTGACTTGGGGAATTGCCTGATCAATCACCCTGGTGGAGATGTGTGTGTGTGGGGGTGACATGAGATATTAGCCAATTTCAATTAGCTGTTAATGACTTGGTAATTTTTCAGGATGCTGGGCAGTATTGCTTGTATAATAAGTGATGAAAAAAGTGTTCACCACAGTATAAGACAAGGTTTAGATTCTCATGATCGTGTTGAGCAGGAAGCTGCAATATATGCAACTATTCAATTTGCTTCACATTCGGGGGAATTTGCTACAAGTATTTGCAATAAGATTGCAACAATGTTACAGGGTATGTGTCGTCAACTATCATACATGGATATCTATATAGTGTTTAGAACATTCAAAGTTGATGTATTATCTATCCATCAGTTTTATGACTCCAACTAAATTTTTCTATTAAAAAATGGATGTTCATTTTATTATTGTTTCTGTATTTAAAAGTTTAGTTTTTCTAAGTTAGCATTGATTATCTGATTTCCACATCAGGAAAGATGCTGGGTATGAGATCACATTATCTAATAAAAGATTGCTTGTGAGCAGCCTTGTATGGAGGGAAGGCATGAAACAGTTCATGTTAAAGTCGACTAATCAGATCTCTCATATTATATTGTAGCTAATTATTTAGCCCCTATGTATTACCATGTGTGGTTTTGAAACTCCCTAAAAATTTACTACTTCACAGGGCTGTCAACACCGCTTGAAATTAAACTGAAGTTGATTCCGGTTCTTCAGCATATGCATTATGATGTCCAGGTATATTTCTCATAAATATTTTCAATAATACACAGTTCATGCTGGAGAGTGGCCGAAATGTAACAGGTGTTATAATCACCACCATCAAAGACAATTTTTTCCTAATATTTAGTTTTGTGTAATGTTGTATTACCTTTGTTTAATGTTATTCTCGTAAGGTTTCATCAAAATCAAGAGCTGTCTTGAAAGATTTGTTGCCTGCCTATCCTGCACAAGATTTTGTTGTGACAACTTTAAACACATTGACAAGCTTATCAATGCATTCTTTAGTTGATGTTCCATCACAGGTAAGAATACCAAGTAAGCAACTTCTAGTTGTATACCTGACTAGCTTGCTTTTTTAAATTAATATCTAGATAGACTGTCTGGAAGACTAGTGTTTTAGATCAATTTGAATTATTTGCATGATTAGATGATTTGAAACTTTTTTCTTTGGTTGACTCAAAGGCCTTTTATCACACTTTTCACAAATTGATTTGATTCTTGCTGCAGTACTATACTTGCGGTCAGCAGCTACACGAAGAAGCTAGTATAGACTACACCAACTAACTAACAATTTTTATTGCTGTCAAATTATATTCATATAATTTATGCATTGATATATATTTTCAGGTTTCCCTGCTTTTGCAATATTTGAGATGTGATCCAAGAGAAGCGGTTAAAACTGTCACTCTACAAAATTTGAATATGCTTGCTAAGTCTGGTCCACATCTTTGGTCAATAGAAGACACCAATGAACTTTGCAAGGTAGCTTTCGTTCTCAGAGACACACATACTTGCTTAGATGTATCTCTAAGTAAAGTGAATGGTGAACACTGGAATTCCAAGAAAATACTGAAACTGTATAGAATTATGGTGATGCATTACATGCCAATAAATGCTGTTTAGCGCTTGAAGCAGTTCCATTATTAAAATTATTCTATCTTGTCATGATTCTTAGTGCTCATTTATTATTGTTTTAATTTAACTTTGTAGATCATGTTTTTGATATAGATATTCAAATAATATTTATGCGCATTTAGCACAGAATAGATATTTTTATACAATTCCATTGATGCTTTTATTGTGTGGGTATAAGCATTTTGATTTCTTTTTTCAGGCTTATTCATTGTCAGCAATGCAATCGTCATTAAAAGGAGCTATACTTCAAGTACTTTGTACCTTGGCTAGTGGCAATACAGTGTTACACTTGAATCTTAGCGATGGTAAATATTGTTTTATATATCCTGTTGATAATGATATCTGAAGTGCCCTCTAACTAATTGATTTTATTGTCATCATTAGAATTATTCAACTAAAGTTGAATTCAAAATTTACAAATAATTATTTAATTTACTTGGTCTTTGGCGTAAGCAAGTCTCTATGTAAGCAACCACTCACTAAACTACTAGGTTTAGGGCAAACATTACGAGACTATAATAAATCTATTTGAGTGACCAATTGGGCATGGCGTTTTAGGCACAACTAATATGGCAAAGGCCTTTTTGGCGGTAAATAATTATCTTTTCGAAAATTTGTGTTTACATTTTTAGGTGCCTGTTTTTGTTTTTCAATAAAAGTTTTAAAATTTGAAAACCCTATGCTAGGGATGGATCATTATAATCTTAATGTTTTAGTTTTTAACATCTTTTTTTAAACAGGTAGCGATCTTATCAATCTATGTAGAAAATGTTGTTACGACAGAGATGTACGACAAGCAGCATTAGCAAGTAGATTACTAGCTATGCTTGCAACTCATGCTACACAATCTGACCAAGGATCAACTGCTTTACAAAGTGAATTATTACAAGAGTCAGCTGATGCTGTAGAATCATTGTTGTTCATTCTTGCTCCATCTAGTGATTATTCTTCTAAAGATAAATCAACATTAGAAGTAAGGCTTTCAAATGAGTTTGTTTGAATGGAATTTAGAATCCAAAAATGTGTTACTGAAATTTTAATGTACTTATTTTCAAGGGAAGATAATATATATTTAATAATAATAATAAGAGTTATCCTTTTGACCTGGGTTATTGAAATTCACTGCCTGATTTTGATTTTGACTTAATCACGTTCACACACTTGAAACATATAGCTGGTTAATTAATCCCACACCTGACATGGTCTGGTAATCGGACGAGAGGCTGTGGTTTGCCATACAATTGAGCTATCTTAACGGATAAATATGAAAATTCTAACTCGTACTACTCTCCAAGGGTAAACTTTTCTAATATAAATTATTGGATTCAATCATTTCGAATACCAGTTTCATGAAGATAGTTGGAATTTGGTACAATGTAAGTTTCATGCATATAAAAATGTGAATTCACTTCGACTACAGTTTGAAAGGAGTGATTGGATGTTTTTTAGTAAGTTGAATCAATTGTTGAATTTTATCTCTCAATACAACATGCTTGGCATTTTAAATGGTCTTTTACTTTGTTCCTGTTGTAATTTTAATAATATTGACTTTGTCCATTTATTCTGATGTTCTTGTTTATTTTAGATAGTTCTTCCAGCAATTAGTGAACTTTGTCAAGTTTGTGATGCTGAAGTTGTTACAAGGTGATATATATTATTATTTTTTGGTTTCTTTTATTTTCATTAAAAATCAGCAGTTGGTACATCATGTTTAGTGTTAGAAATACACTTGCCATCGCACCTCTGCTCGGGTTTGCAGGTTCGAATCATCGTAGAGTTCATGCATCTGAAAACTAATAACTGGCCAACGATTCCCATAGCCGAATGGAGTGATATGATGAAGTCGACCTATCGGCTTGTCTCTTCTCTAGTTCAAATATGAAAATCCTACTCTAAAATATTACAAAACATATTAATTATTCAACGGATCCAATTTGAACTATAATGAGTGTTTTTATATTTGAATCATTTTTATTTCAAACAAAGCTGTTATATAGAAATATATTAACAAGATCATGGGAATTCATGTTCACTTGAGAAAGAATTTGTGATTGGTGGTTTTTCCAAAATATATCTTTTGCCAATTTATTTCCAGGTTGATAGAAGTTGTTGTGAGCTTACTAACATTGGATTGCCAACCTGATGGAGATGTTGCTTCAATGTTATGTGAAATACTGGCTTCAATTGCTTCTAAGAGGTATGAAAACGAGAATAAAAATAAGTGATAGAAAATAGCTGTTTTGCGTTGTCAATTGTGCAGTACAGATGAATCATTCCATTTCGAAAGTCGCAACAATGCAGAATACCATAATCAGTAGATAAGTTTTTTCTTCTTTGGAGCTAAGCTGGCCAAACTGATGTTTTACTATTTAAAGGGTGTCTGATATATATTTATGTGTAATATATTGCATCCAAAATACTGTTTCTACATAACCTAGTTTGGAATATTGAAACATCTCATAAAAAGGATTGGTACATGACCTGTGGCGTGCATCCCGTTATTGTTAATTTTAGTTTAGTCATCTTTGATGTTGGGATTTTCAATCATTTGTTCAGTAAATTCCATTGTATGTCCATAATCTTTTGATTATTGAAATCTATACTATATATTTTTCTTCAGCAAAAAGCCAGATCTTTTGAAGAAATTTTCATCAAATCTGATAGAACTTTTGTCAAATGTTGTTGAAACTGTGGATGATAGTTCAGAACGAAGTTCTTCTAACTTACAGAAAGTTATTGTAAGATTCCTATTTTTTATGTTTGCCATTTTTAAAATATTCACACTTAGGCATTGAAATGTTCATCGTAGATCATAGATGTTTATCATAGATTTTTGTCAGATCGAGTATGACAGCATTTCTGTGGCCTCGGGTTGGGAAACACTGCACTAGTGGTTCTGTGTGCGTAGAAAGGATACTATACCAAGAATAAAGATTAGTAGCCTATTCTGCCTGTCTCATCTGAGTCAGGCAGCACGCCAACAAATGTATTTGTGGTAGCAGGGTTTGACAATATATTTTTAGTTTTTATGTTAATTCATGTCTTTTTAGACTCACATATGTACATTGTTGTTCCTATCAAATCAATCGTTCAATGAAGCCGACCTAGGTGAAAGAATTCTTGACATTATAACTGATACTGAGTCTGCAGCAAATAAATGGACTTGGTACAGAGTCGCAAGACAAGCATCTAGACTGGTATAATTTCTGATTTTTAGTTTTTGTTTGTGTAGTTACTAGTTAGTTTGGTTAACACTCACTAACATGGATTATCTCAATGCTTTCGATCTGAAATAGAATTATGATATTGTTGCATTGCTTTTGGTGTCATTCAGGTCATATCAAAAAAGTTTTGAGAAAGTTCAATGTGGTTTATGGTAAATTGTTACTAGCTTGGATTGGTTCTATGTCATATTTTGACAAAAATGCCATGGAATTAAATTACAAGCTATGGTGTAAAATAGACGTGAACAGTCACCGTGCATTGTTTTTTAATCTTGTCGAATAAGAGTCGTAGAGCTCATCAGAAATAAAGAATATTTTTGGAAATTGGAGTACACTACTTTAAATCACATTTCCAAAATAAAGAATTCAAGTAAAGATGTGTCATCTTTTTACGTTTTGTAAGCAAATGTTGTTTTTATTTAGGGTGAACATAATCTTGCCAGCAAACTGTTCCTCAAACTTTCTTCAGCTGTTGCATCAGAACAATATTACTTTTGGTTGAGTGCTCTACACCAGTTTGAACTCGCTGAATCTGGTTTACTCTCAGTTTCCTCAAAAACAAAGAAGGATGCAACTTCTTTATTTACTCCAACTGTTTTATTCGAAGCTTCTCAGCATTATCAGCAAGGCTTGACTGCACTGAGTGTAAGTGACCTTTTATTTATTTCAGTTTTGCAATAACGTATGTAGAGTATATAGACCACAAAAATGTTCTATTTTTGGTATTTTCTATCAGGATAAAACAAAGGTCTTTGTGAAATTTTGAAAATATAAAATGTAATGGAATTATTGTATACATATTCACATCTTGCCTAATTCTCCATGTCAATTTTGTGGCTTGGAATAATATACAGTGATGTAATAAAAGCATGCTTTCCTATCACCTTTTAACGTTTTAATTTTTGTGGCACCCTGATATGCTATTTGGGTCATCACTAAACCCCTGTTAACAATTATTCGAAAACACTTATTATTCGACTTTCCAATTACTTGAAATGAATCAGAAGTAGGACCTGGGCTTTAAACCCGTTTTTTTACTATTCCATGGCCTTATCAATTATCATTGTCTCTTTTTAGGCTGCAGTGAGTCCAGATCATCCTTTGCATTTTCAATCCAGATTTGTAAAGTTACGATGTGACACATTACTTGCCTATTCACAACTTTTGATGACTTGCCAGCAAATTCATTTGTCACCACCACCTGCCATTGCAGATTCCAGCTCTGATCAGTCAGGAATGTCATCAAATATAAAAGATGAGATTGTCGCTTCAAGATGTGGAGTCTTAAGCAGTCAGGTCAGAATATATACAAAATATGGGTAAATATATAAAACAAATTTATTTTTTGTATAATTTTTGCGAAAAGTGAAACAAAAAAGTTATTACAAACACATAGAGAACATGCTTTGGCATCATCAATGATAGGTTGCCCATAAACTGTGAAAATGATAATCTGATTCGTTTTTAGGACATCTCATGGTTTGAACTTGTAGAATACATGGTGTGAGTTGCCATCACTTTCCCCAGCGCAATAACAGCCTTGTTAATGGCATAGAAATTAATCGAAATAGGAAAAAAATTTATTTTTCATAAGGTTTTTTCATTTTTAGTTGAAACATTGTGCTGGAGAATTTATAGCAATAGCAAACAGATATGGAGATCTTCACTTAACATCATTTGATGCTGATCCATCTACGCTTGCAAATATTGATATGTATCCTTTACTTGCTTTGGAACAAGTTTATTGGCTGCATTTCTAATCATTTTATGACGAAATAACTTAGTTACAATTGAACAAGAATGCGCATGCCTTTAGTATTCAAGTCGAGAGAGACAGAAATTTTAATATAAATGAATTCATATTTTTCCTGACTCAACATTTACAGATTGCAGCGTAGTTGTTCAGTATTGTCACATGCTATAGAACTTCTTGCTAACTGTAGAGGGTGAGTGTGTTTTAAAAAATGATAAAATCATGATTTATATGATAAAATTTGCCAGACCATGTATAACATTACATCTGTTATGAAATAGAGTATTTCCAGATTCTATCACAGAGGCTTGAATTTCCAGTCTATGTAAGATTACCATATATCTGGAGCAAAATAAACGAGAAAAATTGTTGGATTTAAATGAAAATTATTCTTGTTGTCATGCCAACTATCAACTTATAGAATGAAAGAAAATTATATATGGTCTCACTTTGAAAGTTATTTATAGCAACCTTCTGTGTTGCAGTTTAAACATTATAGTATTTTCTTTATTTACATTTCAGACAAGAAACCACATCGATAAGAAGAGTTGGCTCTTTCAGTAAAGATTTATCAATAGAAAGAGATAATTATAATACCACAGTAAGTGTTTCGTAAGTGGAATATGAAAAAAATCATTTTTTAAGTAGAACAACATCATGAGCATAGGAGTCTGGAAATAAGTAGGCTCTGGTCTATATGTTGCTTGATAACTAGTCATAGACAGATTGGTGAAGTGACTGCTAAGTAGTAGAAATGTAAGTTACTTTTTGATGGCAATTTGGATTTTTCATATTTATTCTGTGGAAAGGAAAGCCAACAAGATGAATTAATCATATGGCGTACCATGGCCTCTCGTTTGGTCACCAGTTCATGTTGGGTATGAGATTAGTTAGCCTGTTATTCATTTTTCGGGGATTGCGATCACCAGGGCAAACCCAGGGGGCATTAGCGGGTCGCTCTTCTAAAATGTAAAAAAAAAAAAAAAGTTCTGTATCATACAATTTAATGTAATTTTTCAGCTTGATATGCTTTTTAGACTTGCAAAACTTTTGAACGAATCCTCGTTCATTTTTCCAGGTTTTACTGGAGACATTCGATACAATCATGTCAAAATTGGATAAAGTATTTCGTAGTTCTGCATCTTCGTCTTCATTCAGCAATATAGTGAGTGGATATTATAGTTTTAATCTTTCATTTGGTCTGTCACATCAGTTATTGATGACTTTGTATTTACTTTCTATCTATAATATATTGTGAATTTGCATTGTGATTCTGAATATTTTACTTCTACGAACGCAATCAAAAATTTCACTCAATCTGATAAATACAGTCTTGTGCTGTTTGCTGTTTATTTTTTTGCAATTGTAGTTTCGAAGGCCAATTTACTTGTCGAAACACTAACTCGAAATAAGTCATGTTCGGGTCATGGCAAATGATATCAGAATAAAACTATTGACAAGAATATTTGAGTAGAAAAATCTTATTACTATATACCAATACTGAAGAGAAGGAAAAACATTTTCAATACAAGGGGTTAACTTGTTAATTGTTATAAATATCAGATTAATACGTCATAGGTAATTGAATTTGTTTATGGTTTCCAGCATAAAATTAGTTCCATCTTAGAAAAGTGTCAATCTTTACTGTTTATGTGAACTTTAATTATGCACACCTTTTTGTTTATGGAGTCTACCTACCATGGCTCAATATGTATGGAAATATGATATTCAATGCTAATTTCATATATTGGGCCTGGCTTGAATATGTATTGATGAATGGTAACATATTTGCCAAAACTTTTTTTTTCACAGCACGCAGACTGCATTCTTCAATGTGCATCTCTTTTGCTTTCAATTCCAATTTCTTATCCAAGATACTTTTATCAGAGCTTACAAACAACTACAATAAAGGTATGAGAAATATTTTAAATCGTTCTCGACTTGTTCTATGTCGAGTAAACAATTTGATTTACATATCACTACATACAAAAGATAATATTGGTAGTTAATATGAAAAATAATGAACCTGTAATTAATTAGTTTTCATATTATGTTCTATGCTCATATCCTGCATTTTTCAAAAAAAAAAATTTTTTTTCAGAAATAGATGTTTTGCGATTTCTGCTTGTTAATGTGCTATGTATTGTTTTGTATATAACCATTTTTTTTTTTAAATTTGATGAATACTGACATGTTTTTTAAAATTTTTCTAAGCTTGCTATATCACCAAGTCAGCGATCGCCTAATGATCCGGTTACTGTTGATGTGTGTGAGAGGTTAGCTCTCAAAATTGAAGGTGTGATAAGACATGGTGGACCTGGTGGTACTACATTGGGAGAAGCAGACAAAGCAACAAGCAAGAGTGGTTTTGGTAATAATGGAAAAGAAAAGCGTTGTGCATTTCGACATGTTTCTGAAATCAAATTATCAGTAAGAACTAATCAAGCACAACAAGGAAGGCAAGCATCTATGAATGTCAAGGTGAGTTTTGTCAACTTTTTGAGTGGTCATGATGTCTTGACCAATTTACTTGGACTAAATCATGTTTATTTTTTTTTTCCATTAACAATGAATTGGTTCACTGTTTTTAGTTAAATTACTTCTGCACTATTGGTACTCACTAATACAGTGAGTGATACTTTTTTAAATAAACGCCATGGGAAACTAATTATTTTTGATAGAATTTTACATAATAAAGGTAATACTTGTACCCAGTGGTGGGATTCAAATTTTTTGTCAGCCGGTTCCATCACACAAATGTTATATTTTTCAGTCGGTTTCGTTACAAAAAATCATGTTTTTTTCAGTAATGCGTGAGACGGTTCTATAGAATCGGTGCGAACCGGCTGAATACCACTACTGCTTATACCTGAGATGTCAGCTAGTGGTCAAAATAAATCATAACCAGTAACCATCTAAAGTCATTCAGTCGAAAAACCAACCCCAATGAAGCGTTATAAGAGGCAGTAAATGTTGCCTGCATGATTCCTCCAAGGCAAAAAAATTATTTTAGTCATCAATACATGTATACTAACTTATACTTCATAACATTCCAGATCAGATCAAAGGTCTGAACATATCGGAAATAACAGTTTATTTTTAGTCCATACCAAAAAAAAATGACTGATACCGACTTACATCGGTACTTCTTTAACTTGTATATGTACATTTCTATTTTACATTCGTTTTCTTAGAATAAAAAAGTTCTTGTTTCAAAATAATTTTCGTAAAGTGATCTTCAATCATTTCTAAACAAATTTAACAAAGAATAACGTTTTTACAGCTCTCTGATTCCGGAAATTTTCTTGAAGAAACTGTGAAACCACACAATGATTATTTCAGCACACAATTTTTACTCTCTTTTCCTGCTTTGGGTGAGAAACCATCTTCATCTACTTTGTGCTGACTTAAATTCTCAGTTTATAGTTGAAAAATATTCTCAGACCCTTCAATTTGTTTTACAGTTAATCAACCCTCAATCAAAAATTTTATGCTTATTGGATACCTTCTTGAATTTAAAATTTTACGATAGACTAGAATATTCCAATCATATTATGACAATTTTTTTAAATTTTTTTATTTGAGTCTAAGAGTGTTGATTTATGTTGTAATGGTCTGCCTGACTTATACTGTTTTAGCAGACAACTTATCTGGGCTATGTCAGTAGTGATATGAGCAGTGGGATTAAGGGGGTTTGCACAGGTTTGTGTGAACCTGGTAATGGAATGTATAGATAATCAACAACCCTGTTTTCTTGTTAATAAAGCTATAAGTTCGGCATGGTTTTCTAAAATGAGTGAAATAAGAGAACCTGTTCCTGAAATTTTGAATCATTTCATATTAGCTATATGATTTTGTATATCAGCAAATAGTTGCATGGGAAATCTGTGCCAGCTATTGTCCTCACAGCAGCAGAGAATTATATTTGACACTTTGACAGCCTTTTCTTAATGTACTTATGTCAATACTTTCATATGTACAATATAAAAATTTGCAAAACTGTCATAAATGCATAATTGTATTTCACTTGTTTTCTAATCAAGGCAATCATAATATCATTGTTGAATCGAGTTTGATAGACGAACATGGAATGTGTTGGAAGTGTGGACCAACTGAGTCATTGACAGTACGAAGTTTGGATGATTCTATAAGAGTTAAAAATCTGATTCAACAGAGTCAGGGATCTCATAAATAGTCTTCATCTATTGTTGGAAAAACTAGCCTGTCTTTGCTAAACTATTGTGTTGCGACATCTTACGATATCTACTGCAATAAACTAATACAACAATTTGTTTTGTATGTCTGAATGAATTGAAGAGATGAAGTCAAACCTATTTTTGTAGGCTTCAGCACCAGAAATCAAACACTTTGCACTACAGTCTTTAATGTCTGTACTGTAACGAGTATATGATATTTTCATATAGTGCTCAGATTACACTGTGTGGGTTCGGATCTTGTGAGGTATAATTATGTGCGAGAGGATTGCTGGACTCCTCGTTTCCGTAGGGTGGTTCATGTAACTGCTGGTTGGTTACGTCTTCCTCTACTATCATGTTCATGCATCTGAGACAAATAATTGGCAAATTAACCCCTTACCCAACGTGGACTGGTAACTGAACAAGAAGCTGCAAATTTCCCATATGATTAGGCTGTCTTAAAGGCTTTCTTCTTCCTGGGTGAAATCTGTATATCCTATGCTTTAGATTAATTAGGCAATGGTTTCCCATGATTCCAATATCTCGTTTTAAGATGTTCGTTTCAAAGTCTTTGTTTCGATCATCAGTTTTGTGTTTTCCCTGTTTAATAAAGGATTTTCATAGCTATTCCAGAGGTGGGTGATAAGATGAATTATATATTTAGCAAAAAATGGAATACCGTGTGGATACCGAGTTGAATAATCGAATAATGACAGCCTCCAAGTACTGCCGCAAAACCATGGCAGTATTTTCATACCATGGCCGCTACGGCCAAACCTATGGCGACCATACACCTCGATGATGGCGACTGACTTTTTAGCTGCCACAAACCAACGACGAGCTGCCGTTACCGCGGCAGCAAATTGAAAACTAATGGCAGGCAAAATTTTGCTGCCGTAACCACGACAGGTGGGCCGTAAAGACAGGGCTGTCCCTTATGGTGATAAATATTGTGTAAGTTGGGACGTTTTTCTTATGGATACAGTTTTGATAGATTTAGGGTTAGGATTTAAGTAGATATAATTTATTTGTGAATATACCGTTAGGCGTTAATACTGTTTACTGAAAAACGACCGCGGTCCGTTCGTGGCAGGAGCTGCCATGAAGTGGTAACTGCGCCTCGTCTACCAGTTGATTGCTCCGCATGGCAAAGAAAGCCCCCAATATACCAATGGTTATGTTTCCACAGATGTCCTGGGAAGTTATACAAAATAATCGTAAATGCAATGGAAATAGTATCCTTAATTTTCAGAATAATGTAGTTCCACTTCGTGTTTTACAACTTATCAAATAACTACAATTTAGTAAATGGATAGATTTTATGTCTAGCGATACTATGTATACCGGTATATTTAAAATTTGGAGGTAACTTTTAGTTGCATGTCGAGATATGGGGAGCATGTTATCCGACTGCAATACATGAACTCGCCTATTTAGCATTGAATAATGTTTGTTTCAGGCGAAACTATTAACATAACAAAATTATTTTAAATATTGCGAAGAAACGTATCATGAGCCATGAACATTTATGCAAACACGTTTGAAATTTTAATATCGTATCAAAAATTATCCGGATTAGACCCAACAGACGCCCGTTACTACCACCTCTAGCCGATGATTGTTATGGCGACCGTCATGGAACGCTGACCCTGGAATCAACAAAATATTACGAATAAGATGGCGCTTATGGAATAAACCCTTTATGTTGTTACTCCAGATTTTTCTGTAAAATTGGTTCATACGACTGGCTACTGAGTATATTATCTGATTTGTAGCATCGAAAATTCTAGCGCAATGGCTGATTCTGGGGAAAAAGAATCGGCAGGTAAGACAGGTTTCACTGAAAAACTTTGATTGTAGCGAATTATCATTATGTAATACAGAACTTAATTTAATCTTACGCTATTGCTGGTAAATTTTCTAGGTTTGACTGACCTAGTACCTATATACCGTAAAACTAGATTTTGTGGCTTTTGCATATTGATCTACAGATCTAGGCTAGTAGGCATGCTTAATTACGATAATAATGCTGCCATGCGTGGGTCTGCCGCTTCGAATACTTTGGGGGATAATTATGTGAAAGAAAATTGCTGAACTCCTTGTCATCGTAGGGTGGATCACATAACTAACCTCTGGTCAATTACAGCTTGCTTCGCCATAAGAAGTCATAATATGGTAAAACAAATAACTGGCTAACTGATACCGTAACCAACACAGACTGTAAACCAGATGACAGGCCATGGTATGGCATATGATTAAGCTGTGCTATCGGCTTTACTCTTCTCGGGATAAATATGTTAATTCTATCCTAGATGAAAAGTGTATTAGATTTTGACAATTTCACCACATAAGTGTTTGAAACAAGGAGCACTTAAATTTTTTTCGAAGCATCACACACATTATAGAAAACATTACTTCCTTAATTTGCTGTAGTGAATGTATGTATTTTATGTTAATGTATCTTATAATTTACTGCATATTTTGCGCTATTGCATTTGGAAATGAAATCCTTTGCCAAACTATTACAAACATGTATATTCGTTGGAAATTATTGAAATATATGTTTATTTCAATAATTCATGTTTGGATTACTGACTTAATTTATATTTCAGAGTCTATGCTGGCAGAAATTGAGAAGAAAATTACAGATGCTTTTGAAATCTTTGACCATGAAGCAAACAAAACAGTTGATGTTAGAGAAATCGGAACAATTGTGAGATCACTAGGATGTTGCCCATCAGAAGGTACTAGTGTAGTTTACTTATGTTTGTCTCTTCTTGTATCATTTTTCAAGTTTCCTTTATTTAAGCTAATAGTCTGTCTACAATTCTGTAATACAATGTTAGGTAACTATTGGCATATGTGTTGCAGTGGTATGATTTATTTTTGCAAATGTTTCAGACATTCAACTATCAGTTGAGGTTGCACGTGACTAACTCCCAATCTAACGTTACAGAAATACATTTGTGTTAGTGTGCGGCAGGACTCTTAAATTGCATAGTTTCAGACATTGTTGTGATTCAATAAACCGACGATTTGTCATAATGGATGTACAAATTGCTCGGCTCACATTGTTCAACATAACTGTGATACACTTTAGGGACCAATCCAAGCAGTATGATTATTAAATTTTGAATAGTCATCAGTGTTCTATTTTCAATTCAGTATGCTAATGCTAATTTATAGAGCTTGCTTTACTTTATGCATAATTGTTTGTATGACTTCATGCAAGCTGTCACTTTAATATATTAGCTACTGTGATGAAAGAAATTTACTCTTACATTGTGTGTGAAGTGGTATGTATGAGCCGACAACTGATATCACTGATCTTAAAAAAAACTGAACCTTAATTTCTAACATTCAATGCAAAGTTAAACTGACTGTGATGTCAGGATCTTAATTTTACATTGAATATCACAAATTTATATTAATTGAAACTATGTTGATATAGGAGAGTTGCATGATATGTTGGCTGAGATAGAAGAAGAGGAACCAACAGGTTACATACGCTTTGAGAAATTTTTACCTATGATGACACATGTTTTGATGGAACGGAGGTATGTTGTCGTCGTTAAAAAGATATTCGCTACTTTGTTTCTGGTGACCCCACATAGAATGGATATGCAATAATCTTAAATGTTGCCATTATATATTGATTGTATTTTTTGTTTTTTGACATATAATTGCATCATTAAATTTATCTGTTTTTTTCAGCTATTATATATGTTAATTAGATATTGTTATATTCAGCAACAGAACTATGTTGAACATGAGAGATGGGTGTAAAAAGAGTTTTAATTCAACTTTAATGTTTATTGTCCAACTCCGCGTTATTCCTTGCATCGAGTCTTGTAATGAAGTTCAACAGCTGCGTCATTGTTTTGGATGATATTTGACAAAAAGTTCTTTTAGATCATAGAAATCACAATACAGCATTTGCATGTATTATCAATCATGCTTAAGGTAAAGTAATTTCCCTAGCGACGCAAGTATAAAACAAATATCGCAAAGTATTCTATTTCCACCTCCAGATATAAACCTTCACCTGAAGATCAGTTGCTCAGGGCATTTGAAGTTCTTGATCAGGATAAGAAAGGATGCTTGTCTCAAGAAGAAATCACAAAGTATATGACTGAAGAAGGAGAACCTTTTACACAAGAAGAAATGGACGAATTTCTCTCTGCTGCCGTTGATCCTGATCGTGGCGTTGTTTTATACAAAGACTATGTTTCTTTAATGGCTATTGAGGAAACTTGATTAAATTATAGCGTAACCTAAAACTACTCCATATTGTAAACCAAAGTATTAAACCTCCAAGTCATTTGTTATTAAAAAAAATGATTTAATAAAATTGAAGCTGTTTACTCTTGTTGGCCTTCATAAAAAGGTACTTATTGCTGAATGTTCATAACTTGATGGAATGTATAAATTTTAAATTAACCACATGACTTCCTCAGACATCTTGAAGTTCAACATAAACGCGTCAATTTCTAAACAATAGGCAAAAAGAAATTTTACGCCCCGAAGAATAAGTGTCTTACAATTACGGTCCCCCCATTTACACAGGACGAGTAAAAGTACGTATATTAGGGTGTTTATACAACGAGTTTGAAAACATTTCTACGAGGGGAAGATATATTTGTTCTTGTTTAAACCTGGCCCAATCGTTAACTCATAAAAATATTGGCAAAAAGACATACTTCTCTTTTATTTAGAAAAAGATAACTTAAACTTTCATTTTCATAATTCACATTCATAATTTTTATTAAATTGCATTCCAATGGGATGGAACAGGCACAAATTGCTATGGAATGGAACAGAAAAATATGTCTCATGGACAAGCCTGGAAATACATCATCAACTGTGTGCATAAAACGTTGCATGAAAATATTCATGTAGAAAATGAAATTGAACAACGTCCTTGTTTGAGGCAAATAACATGCACTATTAACAATAAATGGTTTAAACATTGAAATCCACTATAACTATTCTTATGTACAATCAAAGAAGAAAGGCTGTGCATCTGATCCTACATCCCTGATCTAACAAAGAACGCATTAGGTTTGGTTACGGGCATCATATTATTGTGTCATAACTACACATGGAGAATACCGAGTTACCGCCGCGATAACAAAAATCCGTAAAACGTGAGGAATTATATATCACAAAACACAACATAAACGTAAAGAAAGTCCTAAAATATAGATTCTATTTCACTTCTTCTAGTACGCTGTCACTAAATTCGATATTCTCACCAATCAGACTCTGGTGCTCAAGACGTGTATTCAGACTTACGTTTAGCCGTTTGTAAATCGGTCATGCAGGAATAACAAGACATACTGCTATCATACAGGCAAGCGATGAGACAAATACAAACGGAAGGAGCCACTCCAAAGATTTCCATATTGTATCTAGATTTTAGATAATGATGTCAGTAGAGATAATGTAATTTCAAATATGAGAAAATCTGAAGTTGTCAGCATACCTTTGTCCATTGAATATGTCGCTTCAATCTTATATATATTCTGCAATTGCGATGTTAGCAAAATTCCCGAAAATAACTGTAAGAGGATACGCAATGGCAAGACAGATGAAACTTTTGTAATGATGTCCAACGACCAATGCCACGGCTATCAACACTGATCCGATCAGAGCTGTCAAAATATAATGAACATATTCATTTCGGAAATATTTATATTTCTGCACCAGATTTGTTAATCGGCCATGGCACCCACTACATTGTTAGTTAGCGCTATTCTACTAAATTCCGTATAATCAATTGTCGTGTAATACGTCTTCGTCTGTGACATCACTGAATGTAGCGAGAAAAAGTGAAGCAATTACAATTTTTGTTAATACAGCCGTTGAACTAGAGAGACAGTGGGCAGCCGAAAGAAAAAGATTTTCCCGATTTCGGTGAATTTCAACAGTAATCTTGCGGTTTTCAAGCAGAATTTGTAAAAGTGATCACTTTTTGGATTCAGTATTCAATAAAATTGGCTCCTGTGATGCACTCGGAGGACTGGGTGGATGATTCGAAATATATAACCAAGCAAAAATGCCTATTAATTGATACGCTCGAGGAGGCCATACACGAACAAATACACTATGAACAACGAGAAAGGTCCGCCTTGTTTCTGATAAACTGTATCCAGCTTCGGTTGTATCAGATGAATTCAAAATTACATACGGTAATAATATTCTGGCTGCCGCTCCTTATCACAGGGACCACGTTGCCCAAAATACACGAACAACTGTGGCGGTTTCATGCACTGGAAACCAATTGGCATGAAGGGTAATTTGTATCGCAAAGTTTACTGCCGAAGATATTCCGGTGAAAGTTTGCCCGGTCATTAGAATCCATAGCAATTTTCTGAAATGCAAATTGATTCATATTTTGAAGAAGCCATGTGTGGAAATCTATGTGCCGCTGTGTATGGTATTAACGGATTATACACAATTAAAATCGGAGAATTTCAACTTCGGGGACCGATATGACCAACTTGAATGTAGCGATAACTATCTAGCCATTATGCTCGAATCCTGAAACTTAATCATACTTGAGCTGAATACAAACTTCACGGCGTGAAAAAATGAATAACCAGAACGCCAACTAACAGCACTCTTATTTGCTTGGTTTCTATGACAGTTATTTTTTAATTTAAATTTGAACTGTTTTGGGGAATTGTTTATTAACCTACAAGATCTGTTTATGGGAAAATGTGAAGCCTCGGAATCTATCCTTTCAGTGGGGCACGTTATGCATTTATTTCATGTTCATATTAATGGGTGTCTTCCGGATTCTACCGAGTGGTATTGTATATCAAAATAAAATAAATTCTGAGCTGTATCAGAGGTTTAGAACAATTTTGATGTCGATTAAATTCATGATGGAAAATGAACAAAAACTTACAACTTTCAGTCATCATTGAAAAAACAAAATGGACTGTAATTAGAAAAATGTCCCTCTGTAAAGTGTAAAGCATCCTCAAAACCTTTCATCTAGATTCTGAACAACCACTAACCTGTTCGTAAAGTTAATTGCCGCGATAGTCGATTCAATTATTGTACAAATGACAGTAGACATAATTAGATTTTTCAGTGCAAATCTGTCTTCAAACAAGCCAAAAAGTGGAAGACAAATTGCGGTGACCAGGATTGTCCACGAGGCCAGAAGATCCGTAAAAAAGGGAGTCGTTTGGAAATATACCGACACCACGTCGTTTATTCTGGCATAGCAATACGTTTCAAATACAACAGAAAATAGGTTTGTCGACGAGACTGCTAAGAACATCCATCGGGTGGAATATACTCGGTAGTTCATTTATATTCTACTTTTAACTTCAAATAAAAGTTAATGTAAGTTCTCTGTTATACATACATAAAGCATTTTCCTCAACTTAAGTTTGGGGTTGCGAAACGATATATAGTCAGAACTGAATTTTTTAATTGATGCTTAGCTGATTTTCCGACGCCTATGCGAATTGCCCAGAAGTCCGTCATAATCGGACTCAACATCGCTACGCAAAGTTGGCGTCAAAATTGTTCATTGATTTTGTTAACTCTTCGGACTCGCGTCTTCCCAGAACGACGCTACTCTGTCGCCCTGAACTTCCACGGATCGCATCGATTTAGCGCGTTGAAAAGCTTATTCATAGATTTGTCTTCTAAATATGTTATATATATGTGGTAAAATTTCAAAAGAAATAAAAAATTACTTTCTGAGGACGTGCGGATGTCTTTCCTAGCTTACGTATAACTTATTTTATTGCAGATTTTTTGTTCTCGATTCTAATGGTACATGAAGTGAAACAGTTCATTTGATGAATTGATTGGCTCGCTGGTATCATCTCTTGCGGGCGATGCCAGTTTTCAATGTCACTGGAGCCATACTTATCGATAATACCAGTACTACGAAAACTAGAATTCTCGCTTTTATCGCTGCTTGATAACCAGCGTTGATTCTCCAGTGGAATGTGTGTTTACTTTTCATTTGTACACGAATATTTTTACTGGAAAACTGTTGTAATGAAATTTTCGAGTACTATTTAAATTCGCAAATCGAATGGGAGTCATGGGAAATAAAAACTGGTCATCGACAACGACACTTGATAACATTTTATGATAGTGAGTAATAGAATATTTGTTGTTAAATTCATAAATTCTTCTGATTCATCTCTGAATTTGAAGTATTTGCCACATCAAGGTCTATACTATGAGAACTAGAATATAAATAAATAAACATGCTGAGTCACGCGAATAACTGCTAAAATACTACTGCTAAAAATTCATAAACACCCCAAGAAAGAATTTTTCACGAAGCAAGATATTGGTTATAGATAAGAATAATATATAGATCATTGAATTATTTTTAAAACTCAATCAATCTGGAAACATTAACTCAGAGATTTCTGTAAATTAGTGCACTGCACATTGCCACCGTTATACGTGACATGCAAACATAGCCACGGCGTCAAACATTACTGTATGTGAATGAAAATGTTTCAATGAATTTATCAGCTTATATTATTTTTTAATATGAGCAGCGACATTTCCATTTTATAAATTGCTCAAATGTACTAGATATTTACAAAAATTACCCCGTAACTGCAATACCTATATCAATATCCTATTATCGTTTTGTCTTTTTTTTTCTCGTTAAATATATAGTTTCAAATTCGCGCTATACAAGTCCATTTGTGATTGCGATACTCTATTATAAAAAATGTAAACTTTTTGCAAAATAATATTCTCGCCAAAATCCGTTGATGCAAAACTTCCGGTTAAACTACTTTTATTCACATTTATGCTGACATGCTTTCATCGCAAAATGTTGTAATGAAAGTTGGCTGATCGCCCAAATGGTGGCAAGCAAACACTCGAATTGTAAACACAAATAAAAACAATTTTTCATGACGATGTACTATATTCGTATTTCGTTTAAACATTTTACATAAAGGATGCATACATTGATAAAAAGAGTATTGATTATCTACGTGAGCTATTTGATAAAGTTCAGATAAAAAAAGTCTAATGTTTAAAAAGTCTTATCTTCAAACACCGAACGCTTACGAACTTCTGAAAAAAATAAAGGGAGACAATTTGGTTTTTATGACTCCTGGAAAATCACACTGTGACGCGAAAATTTTAACACTTATATACATGTATAGGTTTTTGTTATAATTTTTACCAATCCGTTACAATTGCAATTTCGACTACCAAAAGGCAATTTGCAGTTGGCGAAAAGAATGCCATGAATGTCTAACACATTTTAATATTAACAATCACAGCTTGCAACAATAAATAATTTAAAAGACAGTTTCTTTTATTTCATTATGCGGGGAATCCGGCAAATTTTGACTACAATCATCTCCGGTACAACATGAATTTATAAAAACATTTTCTTTGCTATTCTCTGCTATTCCTTTTGACGATTTTTCGGGAATGCCAAAACGTAATATTTTGCAATTTATAACAGGAACAAATAGATCCGGATCAGCTTCTGATACTTTGTTAAATCCTAAAAATGAAAGATCCGAGTTAAACACGGAACATACTTTTAGTATTAGTAGCGCATTGCACAAAAGTCATAATCTCCTCAAAACATGGATGACGAATCATTGACCCACGGGTCAAGAATTCGTGCAAATAACGGTAACTTTCCAGTAACAAAAATTGATGATGAATCCGGCTTCAATTCAATCTACTTATAACGGCTACTATAGTATACTGATCTGTTCACGTTAACGACATAACAATAAAATTGATCTGTTCATTTTTTGCAACTTATCTTGTAACCGCAGTTTCATCTCGGGTGTTCTCAAACCAGAGTGGTCGCAGAATGGTATTTTATTCTTTGGGGGAGGGGGGTTTAGAATCAGGGGTATCAATGGAGCGGAATAATAAAGTCTTAGAAAGCCGATCAAAAATTGAATATATTTTTCAGATTGGAATTACCTTCCAAACACTTTTGAACGCATAAAAAAAGTATATTGTATGGTAATTTTTATTGAGGATAGGCCGAGATTTGGATCTTCTACTATTCGAATCGAATTAACGATGTTTAATCTTAATTGCAACAGAATCGAGGAAAATCCTCAGAGAAGGAGCATATGCAAGTAAATAAAAATTTGAATAGCGGATGCTAGTTTGTTCCCAACGCCGAGTATGGTATTTGAACGTTTTCTAGAGAAAACATAACTTTTGTGCAAAACGTTCTAAGTTCCTGAAACTTTTGGATTCAATTACGCACAAACAAAGTTCAAGTGTAAACAAGACTAAATAAATTTAATCCAATTCAATGAAGTTATTTTAAAAATTTATGGCTGTTTTTTTGCGGTATCACCCACTGTGTTTCAGTTAAACGAACGAGATTATATATTTAAAATTCCTGGGAGCCTCTGAAACGAGAATTTCTATCCAAATTAAAGTTGATCAGTAGTTGTTTGCCACGAATATTCATTTCGAAACACTTGTGTATTTGTCCCTGGCAAACGCCTGGCCAGGTGAGATTTTCTCGGCAAAGTTAGCCTCTCAATTATAGTTACCAATAATCTGAATTTTTTATATGGGGCAATGCAACAGAGGGAAATTCTGACCTGTAAACAGTGAGACGATATGCCCGACGATAATAGAAACGAAGAATGCAAATGTTCCATATAAAAACGGCGACATCGAATACAGGGTATATTGTAAAACAGATCTAGAATGAATAAAAAAATATCTGAATTATTTCGGAAGAATAGTCAGCAAGAGCTGTTTGATCTGATATGTGTGTTGAAGTTTTGGATGTGAGGGAATTAAAATATATATTTCAATCTTTTACTTTTTATAACAAATAAGAAGTGTAGATTTTTCTTGGCAGAATGGACTCATGGTGATTGTTGCGACAGGGAAAATAAACAACTAGAAAAATTGCAGAGGTAAACTCCGAATGCTCCTATGCTGTTTGAGTAGATAGCAGGCAGAACTGACAAAAATATATAGATACCCATATTCGTCAGATATCGTAGACATTGATTCGAGTGTAGTGGTATCTTCGGATACTCCAGTAAATGACGTAGTTGAGGCATTGTGTAGAAAATTCGTCAAAGTACAATTACTAGTGGACACGGGTAGGGACTCAGTTGTAGCTGGGTAGGTTGCTTGATTGATCGAAGCCAGAGCGACCCAACTTCCACAGACAATGCCACTTATCATTCCTGACAACGCTCCCTGGACGACAATAACTAATTTAAAAGACCATTGTGGTATGTAGGACTCTTCAGAAGTCCTGGCATTCAGAAAATGGTGACTCGATGGACCACAAATGGATGTCGCCTTAAAAGCGGGGCAGGCAAGGCAAGTTTCAAGTAATGATAATTTGCTTGAAAACATACGTACCCAACTGTTAATCCAAGGCATGAACATGCCCATGGTGAAAACGCTTAGAATTGGTGTTCCGACAGCCCCGGTTATCATGTTGATTTTGATAATGTTTGAAGATAAAAGCGAAACGGTGTAGGCTATTCCCATGACCACTCCTCCAAAAACTACAGCTGTACCCAAGATTGGCAGCAATGAAAATAGCAGAATTGTACATAAAATGCAGTTAACATATTAGTAGAAGCTATTTGATTAGTAAATTATGGAAGAAAGTGTAGACTAAATAAAAAAATTATTTTAATAACAAATCAAAGATAATCGTTCAAACTAACCTCTTTCAAAATCGCGAGAACCTCAGGGGTATTCAAAACCCACATATATATTTCAATTATGTCAATATCATTGCGTAATATAATGTGTGTATTCATTGAACTACATTATTGTCGTTCTGAATTGTGCATGTAATAGCTCACCTAATACTTTGGAAAAAATCATTTTTCTTGTTGTCGACATCGCTGGAAAACATGGAATGACAAAATCTTCAAGCGCCAATGCTGATAGAGAGTTGACTCCCGATGATATTGTGCTGCAAGAAGACACATTCATAGAGTGACATTTGAAACAAAATTTACAAAAATCACAAAAATTGATTTGGGTTTTTTATTCTTACAAACATTATACATATAAATCACATATAACTCAAGCTCAACACCGTAAATGGGGTATAACCGCCATAAAATTCCGCATGAACCACGAATAAATAAAACTCGTAGAAGAGAAGAATTTTTTAGATTTTGAGCTCTAAAGTTTTAAATAGGAAGTAAATACAGTCATTTTTATTAAGATATGTATTTTATTTCTGTTTTTTCGTGTTTTTGAAACCATAACTATCAAAAACGTTGTGTTTGAATTCACCTCAGTGTTCCACTAAATGCAGCCGACGTAAACATTCCTGCCATGCCAGGCAAATCTTGAAATATTTTCAGGGCTAACCTAGGCATTGCCTGGTCATTTTTCTCAATCGCACCAGATAAAAGTGGATCGCATCCTTCATAATAGGCATACATGACTAAACCATTTGCAATGGAGAGAAGGACCATGATTGTGCCAGGAATCCATTGTAACAGTGCAGCTCTGAATAGAGTAAACAACATGAGAATAAAATTAACCGATATTGACGATGTATTGGAAACACGAAATTAAAAATCTAGTTTTACAGGTGCGATTTCTATATGAGTCACGTAGTATAGCCGCTATTCTTTTTACTCGTTCATGATTAAAATCTTGTTATTGACTTATCTGAACAATTTTTGTGCAGGTGAAAGATGAAAGCCAGCAATATGTATTGTTAGGAAACTCTATAAACTATGCGCTTTATAAATTCGATGCAAGTAATGCAATAAATTTTAAACAATTTATCGGGTATATAATCTTATGTTTATCCCAGCCTGATCGTGTATTTTTATTTAAATAGTATTTAGTCACCAACGAGAACTAGGTTTGTGCAATTATCTTACATAACTTAACTCGCATACATGGTATCGCTATAGCCGATCCACTTTGTTAAAATATTTCGCGTTTAGTATGATAAATACAATTCATCTCAATTGTACCACATCCCTGAGATGATGCTACAAAATAGGATCTGTATTACCTCTAAGTGTAATCAGTTAGTGAATACTTCATGTTTCTATTGCTGAGAATGAGGTGTTACGTATTTTCACGCACGGAATATGCAAAACAGTAATATTACAAAGGTGATCTGACTTAGATTAATCGTCGCGAATGTAAGTTTTAAAATTTCAGAATTGAATGCAGATTTTTTTGGAATTCAACTTTCATTTAGTAGGAATGTTTGAATTAATGAGATGATAACCTATCTCGAAATAGTTCCGAAACACGCACTCAACTACAATTCCTATTATATACTTACATTCTAGATGATCGAACTGAATTACATGACAAATATCTCTGAGTTGTGACTTGACTACAACAACTTAAATAACAAGTATTGAGTGCCAATGCACCTCCAATCGTCCACACGGTACTTCGAACTCTGGGATCAATGTCTAATCTAAAGTCAACAATGCGGAAAAAAGTTATCATTTAATTTATGTTCAAGCATTCTAGATTGAATTGGAGATTTTATTTTAGAAATCGGAGGCTTTTATTGATTATTTCTTAATAGCTGTTATGTAGAAATGACTGTAAATAAAATCTGAACTCTTTGTCCAATAATAATTTCACTCTTATACCAGTATACACGACGTGTATACATTACTATGAAGCTGCATTTACGCGGGTGCTATTGACATCTAGGTAGGCATTGAAGATCAGACCTGTGGTGGAAAGGGCTAAACTACAAAAATATTAAATATTGTAGACGCGTGCTGGACAAATCCACTTGAGCATGTTTTACTTGAGCAAATTGTTTCTATCTCCACGATCCGCGGCATCCATTATTGGTCCGTATCCTCCATACATTATTATTGCCTGAATGAAAATTGCAAGCATTCCTGCAATCATGATAACACCTTGCAGAACATCCGTCCATATCACTGCCTTCATTCCTCCCTGTAACCATAAAGTTAATGATAATCAAATAAATAGGGCCGCCAATAAAATAAATACAGTAATTTCCTTTATGCTATACAATATTACATTTTACGCCAATTTCGATTATTTTTCATTGTTCGACTAATGTTATTCTTTTGCAACCTGAATCGAGGTAAATATATAGACGTGACATCATTTTAGTGATGCCTAATTTCATTAGTTTTTTCAATAGTTTTCATTTATTGTGCGTAAATTTGTAATTTCATCAGTTGGATTGTTTAAAAATCAACGTACGATGCTGGTGTAAAATGTGCAGAGGATACTTGTCAATGCAATTGTCCAGTTTAGCTCGAGAGGTGTCACTGCGCTCAACGCAAGAGAAGGAAGATATACAGTTATTCCCAAGTAAAATGTCTGAAAATGAATTTCAGGTTACATTTCTTTCATTCATTCAAGTTTATATCACATTTATGACATAGTAAAGTTCGTTGCTCTTGCTTCATGTAATCACGTAAATACCACGTTTATTCGCGAATCAGTGTTATGGGAATCATCTGGTAATTTTCCGTTTACCATATAATTTCGTCATTTCTTCGTTTTTTACGTAATCGAACCGATTGATTTTTTAAATTAAGAACGTTAAGTTTTGTTTCTAATAACATCTTCGAATAGCTTACCAATTTTAGCATCGCCATTGTGGAAGCAAATGATCGTATTCTAGAATGAAAGCGTCGACCCAAATACTGTTGAAATATTGAAAGTTGAAAATATCATATTAAATAAATTTATCTTATATAATCCTGCTCAGAACGATTTCACAAACTCCCGAATACAAGTCTTGATATTATTGCTATTATATGATACACTTTGACGTATATCAAGTTCGAAATGGCGCAAAATTGTAATGAATATAGAAATGTTTAAAATGTAAATACCGTGAGAAATTCCAATTTGAGATAATATAGAGTTGTGGTCTTTATTGTGAAAGATAATAAGGCAAATTACAACGTTTAATTTCAGCATATATATATATATATATATATATATAGCATACTAAATAGATTGATACGAAAATTTAGAAAATATAACTCGTTAAACCTAATACGAATATAAAAGTGTTGTCATCAAAATGCAAAGCTAACCTCGTATACGCTTTTTATACGAAGCCGATGATACAATGGAATGTAATATATTGAAGCAGCAATAAAACCTATGAGGTTTGCAACCACGGTCCATGCATATACCGTACCATAGAGATATACTTCGACTGGATTGCCAATGACAGTGATCGCTGATATGTATGACACTGATAATGACATTGCAACACTTATCTGAAATCGAAAAAAGTTTAAACTTGTTTTGAAGCTTGCCTCAATTATTGACAAGCATATTAGTAGCGTTTCGAACCAATGATGAATACGATCTCAGTACTGTATTTTAGCTTCACGCAATATTTCGGAATGTCGAGGTTGTGAAGAATGTCAAGACTCGTCTTGAGTGTGAGAGGAATTTAAGCAGTTAATTATTTCCGTAAGCTTCATCTTAGTTTTCAAAATAATTGCAACAACACCGAACTTCTAAGTCATGTCATATTATGTTTAAACAAGTGCATGTGTACCGGGGACACATTTCTGCGTCCAAAATAGTAGTTTTCCGTTGTTTGAACTTTCCTGTCCTTGTAAGCAAAGTACACGCCAATTGCAGCGCAGATAAACAGTATTCCTGAAACAATTAAGGACATGATATTATTTGAAATGATATCTTTACTCGCGAGTTTGTGAATTGATGTTTCGTGACGGGTTTGTAAACAACATTACCGCATTTTTTTCCCATTTAGCTATAGTATATAGAGCATTTGTCTGCCATGTGCCTTAGTCACATATTTGTTCCAATATTCAATATGGTGGTACGATTGATCTTATGGAAGTTTCATATAATAAAAAGTTGGCATTTAATGCACGTCCATCGTTTAAATATACAATAACAGAATGTGATAGTTCGATAACTTTCACTCGCACAATTCGAATTTTCAATTGCAAATAAAAATAATGCAAGCTCACCTCCAAATATTACAAAGTCAACAGGAAGGAAATATGAATTTGCTGACTCCATGTTTGCTCTAATAATTTACGTCGAGTATATGTATATAAACATTTTCACACAAACAAAATTTTAAATCGATGTCATTCAAATCAATAATAACGGCACATAGCACGAACAACGTCAAATTAAAACAGCAACTAAACAGTTCGTAGTGCGTAAGCGTAAGTACCTGCAGTTCAATACACAAAATCCAAGCTCCCCTGATCAGCTCGTAATTGCGAATTTAATAATCTCATTCGTTAATGTACCAATAAGTTTTGTAGTCACCACATGTCATATGCAATAAAAAAAGGGAAAGACCTTTACCACCACAACTCGAACAAAAATTCAACTCATTTCATCTGTTAATAATACAAAAACCATATTCAAATAAAAATTTCCCCCGGTGACCTATAAACCAACCGAATTGAGCTACAGCTTTTGAGCAGTGACATTCACTAGGATAGTCATATTTCTACCAACTCAATATGCATTTTCACTGATTTTTATCGATTTAAAGAATCCTTTTTCTTTAAAGTTCAAACGATAGGGTATGGATACGTTCTCCCTTGTCTTTTCATCCATCTGAAAACACGAGACAGACATACGGTTTTTTCTTTTCTCTTATGCAGTGATTCTCAAACTGTGGTATGCGAAAGTCTTCCAGGTGGCTGGAAGAATTCACCCGCGGACCCGCCTGGGGAGGATCTTCAGTTGATCCCGTTTCCCAACTGAAGAATATCCCCCTCCCCTAACCCACCTAAGCCGATAATACCAGTTGATCCTTCAGTTGACTGGTGAATATCAGTTGATCCTTCATTTGACCTGGACTAAATATTTGGTAGGGTCATGGTTAGATGGTCTTAGTTGGGGTGGAGATTCTTCAGTTGGGTACCTCGGGTGGGAGATTCTTCAGTATATCCAAACTTCCTAATATGCTCTTTTATATAGCCAATATATATAAATACCACATATTATAGGCGGCAACTTCCTTATTTGCTGTAAATTCAAAATAGCTAACCGTTCTGGTAGCTGCACCTTATTGCAAGACTATTGCTTAGGATGATTGCATAATTATTTGAATTCAGTATCATTTGGGGAAGGCCATCGCCTAGTGTAATAGTGAAGTACTAAAATATAAAACGCTGCTTTGTCCTAGAAGATGCTCAATTGCGTACTGACAATCGTTTGCTAATGGGTATTGGTTCCGGCATAATCAAACTTCAAACATTTATTGTCGATAAACCGTATGTCTTTTACAAAAACTCAGCTATTTTTGTTGAAAATCGGTGCAACGATTCCACTACCTAATTGTAGGGCGAGCATTTAGCTATGATTGCACACGAGCGTGCGGCCGAATGAGATGACGCCACCTGAACCGCGCATCTCGACTGCCACTTGACCCTTCAACATGCGTCAGTTAAAGACAGAACGCTAGCGGGATAACACGTGTTCAGAAATATTTGGGATTTATTGCTCTTTTTGCCGAGATCATGGCGCCAGAAAAAATGGTGATAACGGAGTAAGACCCCCTTTTTCCTACTCTCCATCTTCTACCATTCATCTCCATGCCAGGGGTGGCCAACCGCGATCGACTAAAATCTGCAAAATACCTCGCGATCGACAGATCGGTAATGAGAAGTCATAGACAAAAAACGAATGAGTACTGAATATGCAGATAACTGCACACACACACACACACATACACAAAATCCACCGCTGCAAATAAGATGGGCTCTGTGGGCACATTCTTAAGGAAATCGCCACAAAAATTTGTAATTTTCAAGCTCCTTCTAATTTGTCGATTTAATAATGTATATGTGCCCGGATTAAATGTTTAATTATTTATTTAAGATGTATTAAATCATACAATTCAGATGTGAAGCCTGCCTATTTCTCAGTCATGAGCAAGGGCGCAGCCAGGATTTCCAAAAGGGGAGAGGGCGCTCCAGTCCTAGTTAGTGCTTGTCTCACACTCAATTGCACTGCTTTTAACACAAAGGCTCTTGTTTTTCTTTTCGAACATGAAAAGAGCCGACTTTTCAGCGTATAATAAATTTTCTGTCAAGTAAAATATCCAAATTAATGACATCTACGAAAATTTTGAAATGTCTTTGTATATCATTTTAATTGTGTTCAACGTAACTCGCTGATGCGCCGACTTACGACAACATAAAAGCACTGGAACTCTAAAATACCGCTGCAATCTGCAATCATAAAAATATGGGAAAAACTGCCAGTAAATATTTAGTTTTGATACGTATCTTTGCGATCTTGCGAATCCGTCACGCGTCGTTGAAAAATCTCGAGATCTGCTATGAAATCCCAAAGAGTATGATTTAATTTAGTACAATAAAAATACGTGTGAAGTCATTTTACGCCTCTCATTTGAAAAGCCGACTTTTTTACCGGATATGATGAATGCTCATTTTTTGCGCAAAATATTCAATCCATACGGGTTTATTTAAAATGTCTTGCTTTATTAATTCAAATTTTCATTATTGCAATTGTTTTGAATAAAAAGCATTATTGCTGTGAAATACTACGGCAATCTGCGCAGATAAAATGTGAGGTAAAGTGCCGATAATATGTTTATATAACAACTTGGTTTCACGGTTCCGTGCAAGAACGAAAAGTAATTAACATCGTCCTTGTGGCCCGAGACATATATAATATGTTAATCGGGCCGTGAAGATTTCGCAAAAAAAAAGAAATGACCTTTTGGCAACTTCTTCCGTTTTCAAGTACTGCAAATTTGAAATTAATTTATTCAATACAACAATATACATTACGAACAACGTCATTTGGTCATAACTATAAAAGTTTTTGCATTCTGTAGGGTCTGAGGTTAGAAAATTACAAAACTGCAGAAAGCTGCAAAGTGAATACCATTACCTGAACCCGAACTAGCTCTGATACGTTGATGATGATTTAATGGTTAATTGCTGAATATGTCTGAGATATTGACCCATACAATCATGCAAATTGTCACCTTATTTTAATGGCACATTTTGCAAGCAATGTTCCACAATTATGAAATGTATGCATATTGCTTGCTAATATTTTCTTATAAATGGATAGTTTCAATATGTAATTTATTTCATATTTTTGGTACTCATTTTCCATTTTATCATGAGTTCCTATAACCTTAGTGAGAGTATATTATTGCAATAGTAGTTATTTTTGCTCTTTTCTCGCCAATATTTGTTATTTTGATGGAATTTGCAGCCACCGTACTAAGGTTATGCAGCACATAGGACAGGAGCACAATTTTACTATATTTCTATCACTTATTTCACCTTTGCTTTATTATATAGAGCATTTTATAATATAAATGGTAACAATGTGCATATGAGTAGCCAAAACGAACTGTATCAACTATTCTGAGCTCTCTCATTCCACAAGGTATCTTTTTCCTTTTGTCGCCATCGGTAAAAAGCGATTAGTTTTCTATTTGATTAATGAAACTTACTGTGTTGAAGGAAGCTGATCAACTAGATAAAAAAAACATGAATCCCTTTCATTGCATAAATATTTAATATCACATATTGGTTGAAAAAAAACCTGATTTGACTGATATAAGTAGTACAACAAATCTTACTTCGTTTAAAACCTCAAAAAATTGAAAAAAGTGAAAATCTCACAAAAAGTGGACATAAGTCAGTCTTGTTCTACAGCAGCGCTATAGCTTTCTACCTGTTCGGATTTGCGCTATACGCTATACACAACCAAGAATTCCATAGGTCTACGCAGTATTTGAAGTATTCAGAATCGGCTTCATTTATTATTAATTCTGGTGATCTCCCGATAAATCCTAATTGGATACCAACATGTGGTTCAAATTTTCATCAACCAACGACGGAAGAAGTTGTCAGAAGTTTATTACATTCAATTATCTACTTCATATTTGCTGTTTTTGTTAAATTTCCTTCAAAGTACTGCCCGAGAACCAGATGTCAGAGAACCAAATAAATGACGACCCAACCACAGACGTGTAACGTCGTTTACTTAAGGTCATACGCTTAACTCTTCGCACTCGCGTCTTCCCAGAACGACGCTACTCTGTTCAACGAGTTAAAAAGCTTATTAACAGATTTGTCATCTAAATGTGTTATATGTGGTATAATTTCAAAAGAATACAAAATTATTTTTGAGGACGTGTGGATGTCTTTCCTAGCTCACGTATATCTTATTTTATTGCAGGATATGTGTTGTCGATTCCCATGGTGAATTAATTATCAAAATCGATGACCGATTTTACCGCCTTCGCGTAGCGATGTAAAAAGTCCGATTACGACAGCGTGTTGACAACTTTCATCAGCAACAGAAATAACCAATTTATAACGAATGGATTCAAACATTCGACACGATGTGGCTTTAAAACGCCAGTAAAATAAACATGTGTGCTGTTTACCGAAGGCTGCATTATGATGGCGATAAGGTCAACCACCACAACCCCCAAAATGATTTCCAGAGGCAGAGCGAATCGGTGTTTAAATGCACCTGTCGCGACGTTTTATTACGCATAGGAAACGAAACGAATAATCATTGGTCTAACAGGCACAATATAGTGCAGTATTGAAGTGAACAATGCCTCCGATAATATATATTATATATATAACTATTCCTTTTTAGAGATCCGTATTTTTGCTTTTCTTGATTTTCATATTTGTATGCAATCAAACGGTAATAACACGAAATATTGTGTTTTAAGTCAGACAAGTTTCGAGACTAGATGCAATGCGTAAATTCGCCTGTATGTCGCTTATAAGTTGCTTTAAGTAAAACCTGCCACCTCGTGGATTGATTGGAGCGCTATTATAGGCCTAATTTAGCGGTCGATGCCGGTTGGTAATGTCACCGGAGCCATACTTACCGATAATACCAGTACTACGAAAACTAGTATTCCCGATTTTATCGCTGTTGATAACCAGCTTTGACTCTTCAGTGAAATGTGTGTTTACTTTTATTCATTATTTATTTCGTTTAATCATTTTGAAGAAATGATGCATACATTGATGAAAAAAATATTGATTTTCTGCATACGATATTTGATAAAGTTCAGATAATAAAAAGTGTAATGTTTAAAAAGTCCTATCTTTGAACACCGAAAGCTTACCAACTTTAAAAAATTTTTGGAAAAAGTATAATTTTTATAGCGACTAGAAAATCACACTTTTGCGAAAATTTCAACATTTATATACATGTATATGTTTAGATATATTTTTTAACAATCCGTTACAATTGTATAAGCAATTTCAGCTATTAAAAGGCAATTTGCAGTTGGTTAATAAGAATGCAATGGATGTCTATCAAGTTTTAATATTATTGACAATCACAGCTTGCATTAATAAATATAATTTAAAAGACAGTTTCTTCCTCTTCATTGTACGGGGATTCCGGTGAATCTTGAATACAATCATCTCCGGTACAGCATGAATTTATGAAAACATTTCCTTTGCTGTTCTCTGTTATTTCTTTTTCTGTTGGCGATTTTTCTGGAATGCCGAAACGTAATATTTTGCAATTTATAACAGGAACAAATAGATCCGGATCAGCTTCTGATATTTTGTTAAATCCTAAAAATGAAAGATCCGAGTTAAACACGGACCATACTTTTAATATTCTAGAACGCGTTGCACAAAAGTTATAATTTCCTTAGAACAGGGATGACGAATCATTGACCCATGGGTCAAAAGTGAGCCCACGGGTCACGAATTCGTGCAAAAAACATAGTAACTTTTTAGTAAGAAAAATTGATGAAAAATCCGGCTTCGATTCAATCTACTTGTAACGGCCACTATAATATACTGATATGTTACTGATATGTTCACGTTCACGACATAACAATAAAATGATCTGTTCATTTTTTGCAACTTATCTTGTAACCGCAGTTTCGTCTCGGGTGTTCTCAAACCAGAGTGGACGCAAAATGGTATTTTATTCTTTGGGGGAGGGGGGTTTAGAATCAGGGGTATCAATGGAGCCGAATAATGAAGTCTTAGAAAGCCGATCGAAAATTAAATATATTTTCAGATTGGAATTACCTTCCAAACACTTTTGAACACATAAAAAAAGTATAATGTATGGTATTTTTTTTATTGAGAATAGGCCGAGATTTGGATCTTTTATTATTCGAATCGAATCAACGATGTTTAATCTTAATTGCAACAGAATCGAGAAAAATCCTCAGGGAAGGAGTGCATGTGAGTAATTGAAAATTTGGGTATAGCGGATGCTAGTTTGTTCCCAACGCCGAGTATGGTATTTGAACATTTTCTAGAGAAAACATAACTTTTGTGCAAAACGTTCTAAGTTCCTGGAACTTTTGGGTTCAATCACGCACAAACAAAATTTAAGTGTAAACAAAACTAAATAAATTTTATCCAATTCATTGAAGTTATTTTAAAAATTTATGGCTTCTTTTTTGCGGGATCACCCACTGTGTTTCGGTTAAACGGACGAGATTATATATTTAAAAGTCCTGGGAGCCTCTGAAACGAGAATTTCTATCCAAATTAAAGTTGATTAGTAGTTGTAAATAATTATGTTTGCCACGAAGATTCATTTCGAAACACTTGTCCCTGGCGAACGTCTGGAAAGGTGAGATTTTCTCGACAAAGTTATCCTATCTTTTATAGTTACCAATAATCTGAATTATTTATATGGGGCAATGCACGTAATTCTACCAACAGAGGAAAATTCTGACCTGTAAACAGTGAGACGATATGCCCGACGATAATAGAAACGAAGAATGCAAATGTTCCGTATACAAACGGCGACATAGAATACAAGGTATATTGTAAAACAGATCTAAAATGAATAAAAAATATCTGAAATATTTTGGAAGAATAGTCAGCAAGAGCTGTTTAATCTGATATGTGCGTTTAACGTTTTGAATGTAAATGAATTAAAATATATATTTCAATCTTTTACTTTTTATAATAAATAGTGATTTTTGCGACAGGGAAAATACACAACTAGAAAAATTGCAGACGTAAACTCCGAATGCTCCTATGCTGTTTGAGTAGTTAGCAGGCAGAACTGACAAAAATATATAGATACCCATATTCGTCAGATATAGTAGACATCATTAATTCGAGTGTAGTGGTATCTTCGGATACTCCAGTAAATGACGTAGTTGAGGCATTGTGTAGAAAATTCGTCAAAGTACAATTACTAGTGGACACGGGTAGGGACTCAGTTGTAGCTGGGTAGGTTGCTTGATTGATCGAGGCCAGAGCGACCCAACTTCCACAGACAATGCCACTTATCATTCCTGACAACGCTCCCTGGACGACAATAATAAATTTTAAAGGCCATTGTGGTATGTAGGACTCTTCAGAAGTCCCGGCATTCAGAAAATGGTGACTCGATGGACCACAAAGGAAAGTCTGCCTTAAAAGCGGGGCAGGCAAGGCAAGTTTCAAGTAATGATAATTTGCTTGAGAACATACGTACCCAACTGTTAATCCAAGGCATGAACATGCCCATGGTGAAAACGCTTAGAATTGGTGTTCCGACAGCCCCGGTTATCATGTTAATTTGGATAATGTTTGAAGATAAAAGCGAAACGGTGTAGGCTATTCCCATTACCACTCCTCCAAATACTACAGCTGTACCCAAGATTGGCAGCAATGAAAATAGCAGAATTGTACATAAAATGCAGTTAACATATTAGTAGAAGCTATTTGATTAGTAGATTATGAGAGAAAGTGTGGACTAAATAAAAAAATTATTGTAATAGCAAATCAAAGATAATCGTTCAAACTAACCTCGTTCAAAATCGCGAGAACCTCAGGGGTATTCAAAACCAACCTATCTCAATTATGTCAATATAATTGCGTAATATACTGTGTGTACTCATTGAACTACATTATTGTCGTTCTGAATTGTGCATGTAATAGCTCACTTAATACTTTGGAGAAAATCATTTTTCTTGTTGTCGACATCGCTGGAAAACATGGAATGACAAAATCTTCAAGCGCCAATGCTGATAGAGAGTTGACTCCCGATGATATTGTGCTGCAATAAGACACATTTATAGAGTGACGTGACAAATTTAAAACAAAAATCTACAATGATCACAAATATTGATTTGTGTTGTTTTTATTTACAAACATTATACATATAAATCACATGTGACTCAAGCCCAACACCTTAAATGGGGTATACCCGCCATAAAATTCCGCATGAACCAGGAATAGATAAAACCCGTAGAATCAAAGCCTTTTTTTTAATTTTGAGCTCTAAAGTTTTAAATAGGATGTAAATAAAGTCATGTTTAATACGATATGTATTTTATTCCTGTTTTCGAAACTATAACTATTAAAAACTTTGTGTTTGAATTCACCTCAGCGTTCCACTAAATGCAGCCGACGTAAACATTCCGGCCATGCCAGGCAAATCTTGAAATATTTCAAGGGCTAACCTAGGCATTGCCTGGTCATTTTTCTCAATCGCACCAGATAAAAGTGGATCGCATCCTTCATAATAAGCATACATGATTAAACCATTTGCAATGGAGAGAAGGACCATGATTGTGCCAGGAATCCATTGTAACAGTGCAGCTCTGAATAGAGTAAACAACATGAGAATAAAATTAACCGATATTGATCATGTATTGGAAACATGAAATTAAAAATCTTGCGTGTTGTATTTTATTAGTTTTACAGGTGCGATTTCTACATGAGTCACGTATTATAGCGGCCATTCTTTTTACTCGTTCATGATTAAAATCTTGTTATTGACTTATCTGAACAATTTTTGTGCAGGTGAAAGATGAAAGCCAGCAATATGTATTGTTAGGAAACTCTATAAACTATGCGCTTTATAAATTCGATGCAGTTAATGCAATAAATTTTAAACAATTTATCGGGTATGTAATCTCAAGTTTATCGTGTATTTTTATTTAAATAATATTCAGTCACCAACGAGAACTAGGTTTGTGCAATTATCTTACATAACTTAACTCGCATACATGATATCGCTATAGCCGATTCACTTTTGTTAAAATATTTCGCGTTTAGTATGATAAATACAATTCATCTCAATTGTACCAGATCCCTAAGATGATGCTACAAAATCGTATCTGCGTTACTTTTAAATGTAATAAGTTAGTGAATACTTCATGTTTCTATAGCTGAGAATGAGGTGTTACGTATTTCCACGCACGGAATATGTAAAACAGTAATATTACAAAGGTGACCTGACTTAAATTAACACGCACACGCACTCAACTACAATTCCTATTATATACTTACATTCTAGATGATCGAACTGAATTACATGACAAATATCTCTGAGTTGTGACTTGACTACAACAACTTAAATAACAAGTATTGAGTGCCAATGCACCTCCAATCGTCCACACGGTACTTCGAACTCTGGGATCAATGTCTAATCTAGAGTCAACAATGCGGAAAAAAGTTACTATTTCATTTATATGTGCAAGCATTCTCGATTTAATTGGAGATTTTATTTTAGAAATCGGAGGCTTTTATTGATTATTTCTAATAGCTGTATGTAGAAATGACTGTAAATAAAATCTGAACTCTTTGTACAATAATAATTTCACTCTTACACCAGTATACACGACGTGTATACATTACTATGAAGCTACATTTACGCGAGTGCTATTGACATCTAGGCATTGAAGATCAGACCTGTGGTTGAAAGAGCTAAACTACAAAAATATTAAATATTGTAGACGCGTGCTGGACAAATCCATGTAAGCATGTTTTACTTGAGCAAATTGTTTCTATCTCCACGGTCTGCGGCATCCATTATTGGTCCGAAGCCTCCATACATTATTATTGCCTGTATGAAAATTGCAAGCATTCCTGCAATCATGATAACACCTTGCAGAACATCCGTCCATATCACTGCCTTCATTCCTCCCTGTAACCATAAAGTTAATGATAATCAAATAAATAGGGCCACCATTAAAATAAATACAGTAATCTCCTTTACGCTATACAATATTACGTTTTACGCCGATTTCGATTATTTTTCATTGTTCGACTTTTGTTATTCTTTTGCAACCTGAATCGAGGTAAATATATAGACGTGATATCATTTTAGTGATGCTTAATTTCAATAGTTTTTTCAATAATTTTCATTTCATCGTACGTAAATTTGTAATTTCATCAGTTGAATTGTTTAAAAATCAACGTACGATGCTGGTGTAAAATGTGCAGAGGATACTTGTCAATGCAATTGTCCAGTTTAGCTCGAGAGGTGTCACTGCGCTCAACGCAAGAGAAGGAAGATATACAGTTATTCCCAGGTAAAATGTCTAAAATAAATTTTAGGTTATATTTAATCCTCTCTAAGTTCATCTCACATTCATTAATATAGTTCGTCGCTATGGATCCGTGTAATTACTAGTACGTTTATTCGCAAATCGGTGTCATGGTAATTACCTGGTATTTGCACAATTTAACATAAACATTGCTTTGATCATTAGACGGTAAATCAAACTGACTGATTTTTTGAATAAAGGACGCCTGAATCTTGTCGTATTTTAAATATATAGCTTGGAATACCTTACCAATTTAATCATCGCCATTGATGAAGCAAATGATCGTATTCTAGGATGAAAACGTCGATCCAAATACTGTTGAAATGTAAAACATATAAAACGTTAAAGAAATCATATTTAATTAATTTCTCTTATAAAATTTGGCTCAGAACGATTTCGCAAGTTCCCCAATACAAGCTTTGATGTTATTGCTATAATATGATACACTTTGATGTAAATCAAAGAAATGGCTCAAAATAGTAATAAATGGAGTAATGTTTTGATAAAAATACCGTAAGACATTTCAATTTGAGATAATATAGAGTTGCAGTCTTTATGGTGAAAGATAATAAGACAAATTTCAACGTATAATTTCAGAATATATATATTACATAATACATAGATTGGTACAAAAATTCTAACTCGTTAAACTTGATACGAATATAAAAATTGTTGTCATCAAAATGCAAAGCTAACCTCGTATACGCTTTTTATACGAAGCCGATGATACAATGGAATGTAATATATTGAAGCAGCAATAAATCCTATGAGGTTTGCAACCACGGTCCATGCATATACCGTACCATAGAGATATACTTCGACTGGATTGCCAATGACAGTAAGCGCTGATATGTATGACACTGATAATGACATTGCAACAATAATCTGAAATCGAAAAAAAGTTTTTTTAAAAATATGTTGAAACTTGCCTCAATCATTGAAAAATACATAAAGAGCGCCTCGAAAGATCGGTGAGCACAAACTCAGTACTGTATTTAGGCATCACGCAATAATCGGAAAATGACAGAGGAAGTCAAGACTCGTCTTTGAGTGAATGGCATAATTATTTCTGTAAGCTTCATATTAATTTTCAAAATAATTGCGTTAACACCGAACTGCTAAGTCGTATTGTATTATGTGGTAATAAGTGCATGTTTACCGGGGACACGTTTCTGCTTCCAAAATAGTAGTTTTCCGTGGTTTGATCTTTCCTGTCCTTGTAAGCAAAGTACACGCCAATCGAAGCAGAGGCAAATAATATCCCTGAAACAATTAGAGACATGATATTGTAGCGAATACATAGGGATAGTTACTGCATGTTTCAATATTTTCACCACGTATTGTTAATAGTGCATGTTATTTGCCTGAAACAAGGTCGTTGCTTTAATTCATTTCCTTTATGATATATTTCCCTAGCTCAGTGTTGATTGTCTTTGTCGTTTTTTGTTAGTTAGAAATTGATTCTCTTTTTGACTGCATTAAGAGTTAAGTGTATTTTCAATGTATCTGTATTTGGATTGGATTGTGAAACTTTCAATATAACAATTGGTGTTTCATATATTGTGTGCTTTATTGATTTCTGAAGGAGTTCAGATCGGAGTTACATTCAACAACGTGTGTTCAATACCACGGGTGTGTGGACACGCAGATAGGGTCAATACTCTTCTCCAATAACATGAATTAAAATGATATCTCTACTCGCGAACTTGTGAACCGCCGTGTTACGACGATTTTGTGAACACAATGACTGCATTTTCCCCAATCATCTATAAAGCATTTGCCTGTACCGTGCTTTAGTCACATTCATTTCACCAATATTTAAAACGGTGGTAGTTTCACAGAACTTTCATAAAATAACAAGTTGGCATTCAATGCAAGCCCATTATTTAAATATACAGTAGCAGACTTTGATACTTATTTTTCATTCACAAACTCCCAATTTCAAATTGCAAATAAAAATAATAATAAAAAATCAAAGATCACCTCCAAATATCACAAAGTCAACAGGAAGGAAATATGAATTTGCTGACTCCATCCTTTATGACTAATACGTGCTCTAATAATTTACGTTGAGTATTATGTATATAAACATTTTCACACAAACAAAGTTTTAAATCGATGTAACTCAAATCAATAATGAATCAAACATAGCACGAACAAACGTCACATTGAACAGCAATCAAACAGCTCGTAATCAACACTTTGTGAAATGGCCTGGGTAATGTACCGACGTGTTTTGTTGTTACCTAATGTCATATGCAATAAAAAAGGCAAGTCCTTTACCAACACAACTCAATCAAAAACTCAATTTATTTCATCAAATAATAACACAAGACCTATATTCAAATAAAAACTTTCCCCGGTGACCTAAACAAATCTAATTGAGCTACAGCTTTTGAGCGGTTACATTCACTAGGATAGTCATACTTTTACTAACTCGATATGCATTTTTGACTGATTTTATTGATTTAAAAAATCTATTCTCTTCAAAGTTTAAACGATAGGATATGGATGCGTTCTTCCTCGTCTTTATATCCATCTGAAAGCACGAGATGACAGACGGTTTGTTTTTCTCGCCTGTGAATGATGTAGCATTGTCATGTCACTATAAAACTGCCTAATATGCTCTTTTATATAGCCGATACGTATTAATACAACGTATTATATGCCAAAACTTTCTAATTTGCTGTAAATTGAAAACAGCTAACCGTTCTGGTAGCCGCACCCGATTGCAAGACTATTGCTCTGGATAATTACATAATTATTTGAAATAAATATCATTAAGGAAAGGCCACCACCCATTGTAATAGTAAAGTACCAAAATATAAAACGCTGCTTTGTTCTAAGAGATGCCCAATTGCGTACTGACAATCGTTTGTCAATGGATTATTAGTTCTGGCATAATCAAACATTTATTGTCGGTAAAGTCGTTAAGCGATGTACTGAACAAAAAACTCAGCTATTTCGGCGAAACGATTCAACAGCTTAATTCTGTGCCGAACATTTAGCTATGATCGCACACGAGCGTGCGGCCGAGTGAGATGACGCCACCTGACCCGCGCGTCTCGCCTCTCGGTTCTTCAACTTGCATCAGTTCAAGTTAGCGGGATTACAGCTGTTCAAAAACATTTGTGATTTATTGCTCTATCTTGTCTCTTTTTGCCGAGATCATGGCTCCAGAAGAAGTAGTGATAACGGAGTAGCACCCATCTTTCCTCCTCCCACATCCGTTCATGTATGCCATGGGTGGCCAACCCGTTTTCGACCGCAATCGACTAAAATCTTTAAAATAGTTCGCGATTGACTGATCGGTAACAACGTCATACACAAAAAACGAATGAGTACTGAATATGCAGATAACTGCACACACGCATACAAAAAACTCCACTTCTGCCAATAAAAGTTTGTATTTTTTATGCTCCATTCAATTTGTTAATTTGCTTATGTATATGTGCCCGGAGTGAATGTTCAATCATTTACTTAGAATTTATTAAATTATACAATTCAGATGTAATGCCTGCCTATTTCTTAGTCGTGAGCAAGGGCGATTACGTGCTAGTTAGTACTTGTCTCACACTTACTGGTACTGCCTATAACACAAAGGGACTTGTCTTTCCTTTCGAACATAAAAAAAGCCGGCTTTTCAGCGTAGAATAATTTCTCTGTCATATAAAATATCCAAATCTATGAAATCTACGAAAATTTGGAAATTCAGTATCAATTTGAATTCAGTATTAATTTAATTGTGTTCAACGTAACTCGCGGCTGCGTCGACTCACGACAAAATGAAGGCATTTTTACTCTAAAATACCATGGCAATCCGCAAGCTTAAAAATGTGAGAAAAACTGCCAGGAAGTATTTAGTTTTGATACGTAACTTTGCGATCTTGCGGATCCGTCATTGCCGTTAAAAATCTCAAGATTCGCTATGAAATCCCAGAGAGTACAATTTAATTAGGTACAATAAAAACATGTGTTAATTCATATTACGCCTCTCGTTTAAAAAGCCGCCTTTTTTAACGAATATGATGAATGCACATTTTTTGCGAAAAGTAAACAATCCATACGAAATTATTTAATTGATATGTGTTGTTTTATTAATTCAAATGTTTTCAGTCCTGCAATTGTTTCAGATAAAAATAATTATTGCTGTGGAATACTACGACAATCTGCGGACATCAAATGTGAGGTAAAGTGCCCGATAATATATATATCGATACTATGTTTATATACCTACTTGGTTTCACAGTTCAGCGAAAGAACAAAAAGTAATTACCATCGTCTTCGTGGCACAAGACATATATATATATGTTGAGTAAAACATTTGATTTAGGGGGTTAAATAACACGTCACGCTGGTGAAAACAATCGGCGATTTTAACAAACGCGCGTGTTATTAGCGACTTGTTCACAGTGAGGGGTCGACCTCGAACTGCCAACTTACTGTACAAATCGAAACAAAGGCACAAAGGTAAAATTATTTCCACAGGGAATAGTCACGTCAGCTTCATATGCTTAGTTGCATAACGTTCTATTGAAGATGAATTGCATAATGAAAATTTTTGAATTACATAACTGAAGAGTTAGACAATTGAGTCTGAAATATGTGTAATGCTTGTTTATTCCAATAAAAAATCAATTAAACGACAGCAATATAAAATGTTGAATTCCAAACACGGCGCGCGGTTTAAACCCGCCGACGAGACATTAACGAGCCAAAACCCGGTGTATCATCTGCAAACCTAAAGCATTGTTGTGATGGTACTCTCAAAATTCTGATTGTTTTAATAAAATTTTCATTCGTATTCAATGAAAATTATTTATTAAACTCAAATAAAACATATATTCTGATTCACTTTAGCTAAAATCACTGCGATAGCTCCTTTTGTGATTATACTGTCGGACCGTGGTTCTCAAAGTGGGCGTCGCCACGACCAAGTGAGTCGTTTCAATTTTGCTAGGGCGTCGCGACTAGGGCTGGGCATTTTCGAAACACTGGTGTTTTGAAATCGAAACGAAATTTTGCCTTCGAAACGAAACACACACGTTTGTCATAAACAATAAAATATGATACCATTATTACCCATCGAATTTAATGTATAATGACACCTATTTTCCAGAATTAAATCCGCAAAAAGGAAGCACTGGATGCAAATTCGAGAGGATAAAACAATAATGATAATTCCACGAAGGTTTCTGCTTAATGACAAAGTAGTGGCCAAATGGCACCAGGATAATACGAATTACGTCATTTTTAGAGATAGGTCTCACAAACAGCATAACATGGGGCCTCTCAACGTCCCAATGCGCCCCTGCCCTCATATAATGTGATAAGTGGGCTCATTTTCTACTTTATCCGATGCCAATAATCCTTGTGATCCAGTGTGATAATAATACCAGGGAGAGCCATAACCGAATATCTGACTATTTCTAAGACATTCTGGAAAGAGATATTTTTGAATCTTCCGAATTCCGAATACATTCTAAACTCCAGGAACATAGGAATTGGGCTTTTATTGATTGAAATTAGTTATTCTTTTGCTCTAAGAAAATGGACTTGATAAACATCACAGTATTTATGAATTGTGGTGCATCTTGGCAAGCATAGAAAAAAGAACAACTAGGTGAAATGTTTTAAATTATACAGTAAAATCAACATTAATTCGGATTTTTGACACGGCTAATTTTCGTTATGATTTTGACTGTTTATCGTCAGCGTGACATCGACATCGTTGAGCTAAATTTGATTTAATTTCAGATTTATTGCGCGGTAACCCAGACTATCTCAGCTATGTTGAAATATTCGATAGTAATTGTAAAATATTTTTAATTTGAAACTTCCTCGACGTGTAATAAGTACTTCAAGTCGGCGCTGACTTAAATCCTTTTATGTCGGCAGTAATTTATTTCGCCTCGCAAAGAGTGTCTTCGAATACGATAAAACATAAAATGAAATAATTGTAAAAATTTTCAATCAAAACGTGGACGGCGGCGCTAGGACGTTTGCGCGATATTTAATATTCTTATAAACACTAAAAGCAATAATTAAGAGTTACGATATTCGAATGAATTCGGATATTAAATTCGAATCGGACATCCCTGAATGATACCTTGACTGTTTTCACGTTGCATTTGCTATGACGTCATAATATTCGTTTCGAGGTGGAAACGGCGCCGTTTCGACATATCAGTGTTTCGAAACGCCCAGCCCTAGTCGCGACACTTTTTCTTCTTCTGCGGAATTGTTTTGCGGTGCATAGAAAAAGTGTAAATATAAAATTGCACTGCAGAAATGGACAGGCTTAAAAATGATACTGGATAAGAAAAGTCTGAAAATGCAAGTATGACGAAAGCTAGATTGACTTTGGATCGTTCAAGTTTCAAGCAAAAAAGCTTTTTGTTGCAACTAGGGATGCGATGTTTTGGGTTCCTAGAAAACATTCTATCACTTGCCAAAATCTTTCTCCAGCAATACACTGCTGCTTTTCATCGCCATTTTGTGAATGGTATCGATATAAAAATAAATTTTAATTCTGAAAATGTAATGATTTTTTGGATTTCCTCGCATAAAGATTATCCGAGAAAAAAAGAGTTGCGCACTCTCAACCTTTTGGCGACTTCGTATTCGTGTGAAGACCATGGCCATAATACGGGCAAAATATCGATCCAGAGTAAATGTTGAAAGGGGGAAAACATGCGGCTCTCACAATTCACAACAACATGACAATCACAAGTACACTCATCATATTAAATGCGATTTCACTGACTTCCGTTGGGTTGTGTTTGTTCGTTTAAATAGAACGCATCGCCAAAAGGTCTATTATTGAAAAGTATTAGGACGTTTTTCACGGAGAGTCGCCAACTTGATCATATTTTTGGAGGGAGTCACAATACGAAGAAGTTGGAGAACCACTGCTGTAGGATTTTATATATATTTCGATAACGTCTTGATGCTGATCTCTTCTTCACCGCACCTCAGCCACAATAGCGGACGATTGATATGGAAGATCGATTCTACCGTAAACCAATTCACAGTGATGTGTTACATTAGTGATAATTATGCTAAAAGGACAATTTAAGTTTTGACCAAATTAGTACGAACGTGTTAGATAAGTGATTTTATCGAATTAGGAGAAGTTTTTGACCAATCGGGATTTGTCAGGGTCATCATTTTTTCTTTGCTGTTTAACAATTTGTTAGAATTACTAGTATTTCCTACATGTTTTAAATATTACCCAGCAAATTGCTGGAAGACTTAAAGTCATGTTCCAACTGATGGACAAAATGGTTACTGTTGTGGAAGTTTTGAATGATATTGGTGCTGTGAACACTTCTCTTCAACACGATGTTCCAGTCGTGAAAGCAAGTCAGTAGGCTACTTCATCAATATCGAATTCGGAATACAGAAAAGCTATTTAAATAATCTTCACAAAAATTCGAAAAAATGTCAGCATCAAATAAAGCTTTAAATCCCTTCAACATAGATTTGACAAAGACATCGAGGACTTAGCGCAATATGTCAGACGAAAAAACCTCGAATTTCATGGTATTCCTTACAAAAAAGATGAAAAAAATGATCAATATAATGATCATAAAATCAATATAAAAATTGGCAAATTCTACCGGCCATCGTAAGATTTACCAACAGGAATAAAAGAACGAATTTATTGAGAAAAAAGCGTATTATATCCACCATACGAAGTTTCGGAATACCAGGCATAAAATTTTGTTTACATAAATGAAAATTTAACTGATTACACTAACAATTTGCTATTACTGTTTGTATGTCGAGAAAAGATGCATCTCTCGAATATAATATGAATTTTACTTCCTCATTGCATTGCATCTCAGGGAGCTCTATTTAAATATTTGCCGCGCTATTGAAACCCTGCACTCAGCATCAACTTTTCCGCGTGTTGCCATTTGTCTAAATATAATTAAACTGTAGGTTCGTTAAACGAGTAGTTCTTTACTAAATTGTTAGGTTATAATAGAATTTAGTCTAAACGTGTCTCACGATAAATTCTGTTACGTAAAAATTATAATCTACTCTTCCAGCTTAGATTATAAATTAATTCATGGTCAAAACCGCCGTTTTGTCGCTATGATTCAGTGAAGCGTCGCGGGATTATTTTATTACGCTAGCCGGATCTGGCCCGCGGGCCGTAGGTTGCCGATCCCTGGACGCGAACTACCTTACGGTGGGGAGGAGTCCAACAATCCTCTCGCGTGTGACAAAAAAAGGTTTTGCGAAATTGCCCCCCTATCACCTCCTTCGGCTTTCCGCCCCCTTCTGTATCGTTTTCGCCCACCGGGGGGCGATATCGCCCACTT